TGTAGTGTTCTCAGAAGTATACCCTGCTATTCGCATATCATATATATGTATCAGATTGTATACTCTTGGCTTACAGTCACTGCTTATTTTATCAAAGGACAAAATAACACATAAAACCAATGTGTTTGCCCAAACAAACTTCATTCTTGTATTTCTTAATATTCTGCCATGCTTTTATCAAATGATTGACGTGTAGAAAATATTTTTAAAACACCAGCTACATCCAATTAGCTTATAGTCTTGATTAACAATTTGTTCATTACACTTAGTTTTTTTTCTTTAAATTTAAAAAAAAACCACCCCAAAACACTTTGGTCTTTACTCTGATATGCAACGCTAAGCTAACTTAATTTACTGGTGTTGACTGATCACCTTTATGTACGCGACTCAAGAATGAATATTGACAAGATAACTATATTGACCAATATGTTTGATACGTAGATAGAAGAAAGAACAGACAATGCAGTTCTCCACTGTAAGAATTTACTTATAATTCAATACGCTAGTCCATCAGTGTCGATTTATAAAAGTTAACAGGTGACAGGATTTGCAGACTAATTATTCATTGTTCCCCAAGAGTCACGTGGTATTATTATAGTTAGTAGATCTTGAAAACATTGTTTCATAAACGATTCTGCTTGACGTAGGTATAGTGGTGGAACAACCCCAAGATCTGTTACCATTTCTTGGGGAACAAGGTATGACGAAGCTTTAAAAATGAAATGAAATGGTGTTTAACGTACTGTTCAGCTCCGACGGTTCTAATGAAGATAGGCATACGCCATACAATGTTATGAGGGAATTTTGGAGGAAACCCCCCTCTAGCCATTGCTATGCGAGACTGAAAACTTGAGTTTTGACGAAGTGTGTCCATTCTCATCGTCCAATGAAATTTTTCCCCGAGTACAGTAAAATAAAGGGAATTTTCATGAATGTCGCTTAAGGGGGGTTTGTTAATGCTGATTTCAAAAATTTTTACCCTTGGATGCATCGGGAGCAAACATCGATACTCACATCCATAAATTTGGTCGTCGCTGCAACTCGCTATTGGAACGAAAATTCTTTGACTCAAATCTCCGATATAAATTCTATAAACGAGTACCAATTCTTCATTCGATAATATTTATCCATTTTTGTGAAGAAAATCCATGAATTATTTATTTATCAAAAAAGCACATGCCGTATTTCTACCCAGTTTGTTCAAACACAATACGTAACATGACAGCCCCTCTTTGATCTGGGGTCTTCGGACAATTGATTAAATGTATTAAACGGTGGTGAAAATGTTGTTCGTCGCAAAGACATCTTGATTGAGAAAATTTTGGACCCCTCGTGATCCCTTTAATAGGTTTCAACCAAATTTGTTAGGTATGTTGAATGAGTGGTACTTGTCCAATTTTGATCAACTGAGCAGAAAATGGGGGAGACATTAGCCAAAGCCGTGCATTCAGAAGGAAGGTGGGGTGGCGCCAGACATCCATGTCATTAGTTACTTAAGTAACTGATTCTTATCGGATCCTTCTCCTCTATCCAGGCCACAGCCGATAAGAATCCTTACTACCATTTCACGAAGAGTGAAATCAAAATTAAGTTTGTAGAAATTTGAAATCATCGCGGTTACCGTTATTGTAAAAGGTTTATTTCATCTTATTTTACAAAATTTCTCAGTTGTATGCCCTATACTGGAGTACTGGACTCATTGCAGCAGCGCTTCGATTTTGTAAGGTGGTCTTGATTTTGTAAGGTAGTCACAAATGTTTCACAATTTAGACACCATCTAGTAAACCTACCCACTGAAATCACCAAAAATGGACAAAACTGGTTATAGGACAGCTACCAAGTACCAGCAACTGAAACAACTAAACCCAACACAGATACATGCCCCTTCCTTTTCCACAGTAAAGAAGTGAGTTGCGGAATTTAAGCGTGGCAGAGAGCCTTGACGATGACCCACGTCCTGGAAAGCCACCACCAGCAACCATTCAAGAAAACAATACCCGGCTGCATTAAATGGCGATGGCTTATCGACTACTCGACAAATTGCCAGTGTTATGGGCATCTCTCATGAGAGGGTCGGCACAATATCGCCAACGACTTAGGTATGACAAAAGTTTCTGAAAGATGGGTGCCAAGGCTCTTGGCTCATTAAGTAATTATCCGAAAATCATTTGGATTTGTTTGGGCCATCTTAACGTTTAGTATACAAAACATTTAATATCATGTATTTAGTTGTTCAAGTTATCAAAAATCATTGAAAATACTTGTTTGTCTCAAGATCCTAAACTTTGTGTATACATCTAAAGTAAATCGAAACAATTATAATATAGGCGTAAACACTGTGTATAAATATAAAATCAATCAGATGATTACTGCTATCCATAAGATTTTTCAAAGTGATCAAGGGCCATAACTCTGGCAGTAATTATCGCAAATCGTTGAAATCTATAGGATTCTTCGTCTGATGACCTCAAACACTGTGTACAAATTTAAAGCGGAAATTGCAAATTTTCAAGTTTTTTTTTTAAAATGTATCAAAATAAAGCCTTAAAATAGATGGTATCTATAAACAGTCCTACCTTGTTAAAGAATAATCCTATAATTCGCTATTGCCAGCTGAGAAATTGGCAAAAATATCATTTTTAACTTCAAATTCCAACGTTGGAAAATGGCTGCCCCATGTTGTCAATAGCAAAACAGGGGAGGTAATTGTGTTGTTATTTCCTGTGTCATAGATTTTTAAGGGTGGGAAATAATGCCCATGATGGTATAATAGTGATTTGATAACCTATTGAGCAAAAGACATAGAAATAATTATGTTTTGACTTTCTTAGAAAATTTGAAATTCTCGCTTTAAAGTTAGACTAGAGCTTCCACGATATTTTAAAAAGTGATCAAGGGTTATAGCTCTGGCATTAATTATCAGAGATTGTTGAAAATCAATAGAATTCTTTGTCTGGTTTCTTGAAACACTGTCTATAAATTTAAAGTCAATCAAACATTAACATTAGCCTCTAGAGCGTCCACAAGATTTTCCAAAGTAATCAAAGGCCTTATGCGATTTGATGGGTATTTTCTTGCACCGTATACGAATTATCTTAGAAAACCAAATTATAACCTAGATAATCTCATGACGTCAATTCGATGTAAAGAAATAAAATTCAATCTCAACAGTAGGAAATGATTTCAACATAGACACGCACATCACACGAAATGCTAAGGACAAACTATTCTAGAAAGTCCTGTTCCCGAGGCAAGTCACCGCTCCCTTTACCGAAAAAGTTCTTAAAAATTTGGTGTGATGCATTAGGGTCATATGTCAGAGTTCCTCAATGTTGCGTTATGCTCCCTTTTCCAAAAACATTCTGCACGCGATAGGTTATAGTCTTTAACGAATTTCATTCCTGAGTTATCCCCTCCCCATTTCCGAAACCTTGTGTACGCGTTAGAGGCTAAAATTGTTTTTGGCGTCATCAGAGGACGAATCACGTGGATATTCCCTTTTCCGATAACTTTGTGAAAGTCATATAGTCTACAGTTTTTTGGTGTAAAGTATTGGATTCATGAGAGAAAGACCCCCCATTGATATTCAGTGTTCTGCAACCTTCCGTTCAAGAGTTATGCTCCCTTTCCTGAAAACCTAGTGAAAGCATGAGCGGCTACACATGTTTTTGCCAAAATTTGGTGCAAATCATTATGGTAATGAGAGTGAACCTGGAAATTGTATACAATTTTTTTTGTGTTTGATTTTAGTAGCCTGGGATGTCCTCTTTCAGTATCTGCCGGGTGAACCTCGGTCATCCTTAAAGAGAAATTCAAGATGGCATTCAAGACGGCCGCCATTTCAAATATTTAGTCTAGGGTTATAATTTTGGTGTCTAACCATATGTTTTTAGGATCAAGGAATACACTGACTCGTTCATTATGTTGTGGTGTGAGTAGATGATAGTAAAATACAAAATGTCAGACAATATGGCCCATTAACTCGTTAGCGGCGGTTGGGGTCGATTATTTCACCAAACCACATCTAGAAACAAACTATATATTTCTGGACATAGGAGCATATGAGTCATTATGAGTGATACAAGCTGTTTTTGAACATTTAAAAAACAAATTCCATCCGCAAAACCCGAAAATAACCTCCACAAAACTAGGAAATAATCAGTTTAATCCTTTAGTCGTGTTCCTGATTGCAATCTACCACAATACAAGCGCAAAATACTGTATATTCTACGGCATCCCTAGTGCAGCCCCAATCAAGCATACTACATGGGGTGTTACTCATGTATCGGCATCTGATGAGCCACATGACAGACTCCGGAAACAGCAGATCGGATTCAAATCCAAAGAAAATCAGACACATAAGATGGCATCGAGAGTTGATATGGTCTTTTTATGTTAATAAATGTCTAATTAATAGTTTATATAACATTTCAGGTCTAAAGAAAGACCTCCAATAGGCAGATTTATCTCTTGCATAATGCACGTTTAATTATTAAGCTAAGTATATAAGAATAAGATTATAAACATGCATTATGCAAAAGCTAAATCTGCCTGTTATACATTAATTAACTTACGGTACCAAGACCATAATCAACCCTCTATGCCATCAGATGGCTGAAATATAGGTGGATAATCAAGACTTTGTCTATTATCGTAACAATGGTAGTAATGATAATCAAGACTAGACTATAATTGTATCCCCAATATCTAGGCTTAGAGTAAAGAAATTTGACTGAAACTTTCAGCATATCCTCTTTTCACTATTTCTTAACTACATAAGTTATACATGTAGCGAGAACTGTCCGCTCTTACCTAATCACCTTTTAAGTGGCATGATTTAAATTTAAAACCAAATTACACGTAGAACTATTTCGTTAATTTTGGTAAATATTTATGAGCTTGTATAAAACCAATATATACATGTATTGAGTGCCATCTTATACAAATGCTATATTCTTCACTTCTGTATGGCCTGCTGGGAGGTGGGAGAGCATCTGGTATTGGATTTGGATAATTTATTGATCGATTCTTCGTCTTGGTAAACATGGATACCTAATGCTACAAACCTTTTTCATGTTAACTTTCTGAATCCTGTTCAATATGATTCATTGATTATTATTAAAATGTTTTGTATAATAACAGTAGAGAATATGTTTTACAAGATAACAAGTCCCACATTATTGTTCTTTCCATTAAATAAAACATAGTGTGAGCAGGATGAACATGCAAACAATTTAATGTTTAGAATTGTTCGCTTTTTGTTCTATGAAACTTCCTTCTAATACAGTTTAAATTCCGAACATATTAAACATTATTGATGGAATACATGCACCTTACAATTCATCATAATTTACGATTTGCGCTATTTATTCTACCAACACCAGTGAAAGTTATGTAAATATATATCTAGATCATCTCCTCTGATAAATGGGATAACAGTTCATCAGTAATATCTGGAATATAAAAAAACAATAACACCTTTCACGATTTTTTGTAGACTTGCTGGGATTCTTTAGTTATCCTTAGGAGTCTTTTGAAAGGCCATACACATAACTTAGAATTGATTGTGTGGAATAATATTTGGAGCAAACTGTTTAATATGATTTTAAACACTATTTCAGTGTCTATTTTGGAATGTTGAGGCTATAAATTGCAACATGCAATAACTTTAGACACATTAAAAATAAATATATTTTTTAATTTTTTGATATGTAATGCAGCTTGAAAATATCAAACAAAATTGTAGTGTAGAAATATTTTACATACCATCTTGCCACATTTCTTCCATACTGTCATTTTTCTTTTTGACTAGTGTTGATGAATTATTATCCAAGTTTATAACTGTATTTGACTGAACATTTATTACTGTTTCTGACTGAACACTAGTTTTTTCACAAACAACTTTCTGTGTATCTGGAGTTCTAGTCCTCATATAAGGTTTAAAGTTTATGTTAGTTTTTGGAGAGTAACTGGGTGTTTTATTTTTAAAACTAAATTTGGCAGTCTTAGGAGTCACAGTAGCACTATTTAACCCATTGGAATTAATGTCCTTTGAATGTCCAGTAAAATTATTTGGACTGTTTGTAGAAGATTTACTATCAACCAATGTTTGTTTATTTCTTCCAAATACTGGTACATATCGACCACTGTTATTCACCACTGAAGGGTTTAATTGTCCAGAATTTTGGGCCACTATATTTTCTTTCGCATTAGAATTATTTAAGTTTGTTTTCAAAATGTCAGTTCCTGTTACATAGTTACATGTGGTGCTAAGCCTGGAAGAAATTGTCTTTGCCGAACTAATGGCTTGATGAACATTTCCAGAACTCCGGTTTACAGTAATGTGTGAACTATTAAGTTCCATTGATGGTTGCTGGTAACAAGTTATTGGAGTAAGAAGTTGGTTGTTACAACTATTAGGTATTGAAGGTCCTAGGTTGTAACTTTTTGGTTTTGGAGTTGAGACTTGTTGATTTAAATTATTTGGAGTTGAAAGTCGTTGATTAAAACTATTTGGAGTAGAGAGTTGCTGATTAAAACTATTTGAAGTTGGGAGCTGCTGATTAAAACTATTTGAAGTTGGGAGTTGCTGTTTAAAACTATTTGGAGTTGAGTGTCGCTGCTGATAAATATTGAAAGTCCTTGGTTGATTTGGTGTTGCTATGTTCTGATTATTTGCAGTAATATTGGGAGTAACTACACTTGTGTCCATCTGATCTATAAAATTTTGTTTGTTTTTTTTAAATTCTGTCATAAAATGTTTTAAAGATGTATGATGAAAAACATGTTTATTGACATTGATAGTGTTACTATTCAGATAAACCATGTTGGTAGGGGTAATATTCAGATAGTGAGTACGACTGGTTGGACTAACAACACTGACCTAAAAACATATTATATTTATTTTAATAAGTTAAGAATTCAAATAAATATATTTAAACTATAATTAAAGACAACGTAAATTTACAACTAACATTTTTCTTTTGCCCACTTCTAGAATTTCTGTTGACTGCCATTGCATTGTTTATTTTATGCTTTAATTTTTTTTATCATAGAAATATTTATTATTATTATTAAATAAAGAAATACTAAATCCATATTTTCAGCTAAAAATATTCTGTGTAGTTTTTTTTCATAAAATAAATTTTGGTGAAGCAGACCTAAACAGAGATTGCAGTATTATGGTACAGTAAACTTCGCATAAATCGGATCTAAGTGGACTGACTAATTTTATCCAAGTTAAGCAAAGATCCGAGTTAGCCGAAGACCGAAATTCAATCTTTGCTCAATTAGAAATAAACTGCAAGAGCCGGATAATAATTAATTTAAAGGCACATTTCACGCTTTTGTTCGGATGTGCGAGTAGATAACTTCCGTTTTTTTCTCCATCTTTGAAAAATGTCCTAAACTTTTCCAGAAAGTGTCTCGTACAGCAGACAGAGAGTTTCGAATTTTCTGGGAAAAAGAATTATTGCATCCCATCAAATAGGCTGAATTGAGTCAAAATGATAGGAGAAAGTATTTTGGGGCTCTGTGTGCATGGAATACCTAACTGCGTTTTAGGCCATCGGTCCAAAACTGACTTAGTGAAATTCTGAACATACTGTCAATCCGGGAAGTAAAAAAGCCGCAATTAGATCAAATGGACCAGACATTTTGATCCGAATTGAGCAAAGATCTGACTTAGGAAATCTGACATATGCGCTGAATTTTAATAAGAAAAATGTGCAGGATCAAAGGTTGCAAACGATTTTATCCGAGTTGAGCAAAGATCTGACTTATACAAATCCGACTTATGCGAAGTTTACTGTATTTACAGAAACCGGGTCAACCTACAGCTTCACTATTTTTGTTATAATATATATTATATACCATATACAAACCTGTCTTAGAACTAAAGTTGTTCCTGCTTGAATATCAGCCCCATATTCTTTAATAACATCTCTATGTAAAGTACCCTTAATTTTACCTTCAAAAGATTATAAGAATAACCTAAGAAATACAATTACATGTAGCAAGAGTTTTGTTTTTCTATACAGTTTACAAAGCTGAAGATGATTATAAAATGCAAATTAAAGAAGATAGTCAATCTGTTTTATAAGAAAGATAATGAAGCCTGCTAAGCAGATCAACTTTTATAAATATTCCCCATTCCCCAGTTCAAGCACTACCCTTAATCAAAGAGGCGCCGTGGTGGCCTGCTAACCTGGATATCCTGTGTTGGATCCCAATGTTGACCTAGAAAGTTTACTGGGATTTTCCTGTGTGGTTTCCCTTGTCTATGGTGCAGGACGAAGGGCCAATGTAAAGTCGTTCTGTCGAGACTAAAAACCAAGGTCCTGTGTACACATTGGTGGGCATGTAAAAGCACCCTTGACAATTGGAATTTGAATAAAAGTAGGCTGTAGTGCTGCTGTCTGGGCAAAGTTTCCCTCATAGCACTTTGTATGGCGTATCCCCGTCTTCATTAGCCCAGTTGGAGCAGAACAGGAGGACATAAAACCCCATCCGATGAATGTTTTAACAGTGAGGTTTAGAAATTGTGATCTTTTTAATATATCGTTCAAAGGTGTTTAATTTGTGTATCAAAATTATCTGTTAGTCATGTTTCTACACTTTACAATTGCCAATTGCTAGTTCTGATTCCATCAGAGACATGTGTGAGTGAGAGTGAGAGTGAGTGGAGGAGTGAGTGAGTGAGTGAGTCAGAGAGTGAGAGAGAGAGAGAGAGAGAGAGAGAGAGAGAAAAATGGGGTTTAAGGTCCACTCTACACAAACTAGGTCATTCCGGGACTAACATATTGTTTAATTTTTTTATTTCAATAATTTGCTTGCGCGTAGGGGTCTTTAGCAGTGGGAGGAAACCGGAGTACCCGGAGAAAACCCACGAGGTTGGACAGGCGACCCTATTCCTTGTCACCAGGGCTGCCGACAACCAGTATCGCAGCGCAATTTGCGATACATATTTTGTCCGTTGCTAATCAAAAATTAAAATCTAAAGTTTTTGATTCGCAGTAACTGCGAATCATTAATATGCCTGTCATTTTGGATATTGACAGAAGGATAATCCACATTTGAAGACTAGAAGGCTTTCTGAACACTTTCAACATGTATAAAATGTTGAATAAAATTTTATAAACAAAACTGAATTCTCCGTGTGACATTTTTTTCTCGAACTACCCAGACACAATTTATTATACGGTACTATATAATACAGGGACATAACTCTATGAATAGGGACTATTAAACCGGAAATAGGGAATCAAGTAGTACCACTCACGTTGCGAGACATAAAGTAATTAAATTATATTCATTTTGAAAGAAATAAAGCCAGTGTATCCCCCACGTATTGTAAATAAAATATATGTTAAAGTATTGTAAAATGATAAATCAAAGTAAAAATTCCCGTAAAATATCGCGTGTGTCTAGTTAATCGAGGTGCGCCCGATTGAACAAAAATAGCAATACACGATAAAAAGCAGACGAAATTGTTTTCTAACGAAGATTTCTAACGTAACGAAAAATAACAATTAAAATGATTGGGGCCTTGGAAGTCACTGTTAAGAATTGGATTCAGACATAAGACCTAACTAAATGTCTACATCACATTCACAAACTGTCACAAGTACTTGTGGCAGTGCTAAAAAAATCTAAGAATAGTAAGAATGGAATCTAATCATATTTGTTATGAACTAAAGTAATATCTTGTTATTTAGGTTTTTATGTTGAAACTGAAAAACTGCTAATCAATTTTTAAATTTGCTAATCAAATTTGGCAAAATTGGACTTTTTGATTAGCAGTGCTGCTAATCAACTGTGAAAAATTACCGACAGCCCTGCTTGTCACGTACAACCGGGGAATCAAAACCCCGCCAGTTGACTCAATGACAGACCGTATGATACAGTGCGCGCGTGCTAACCATTCGGCCATCCAACCCCCCCAGAGACATGTGACCTGCAGAATGTTGATTCGAGTAGCATCTTCCCTCCTTTAACAGGAAAAAAGAAACAGGGCACATTAATAATTCACCAAATTAATTATCTCAATCAAATATATATTACAATCAAATATATATTTTGCTTCAGAAATGTGTTTTGTTTACACAATTCTTTGAATAATTGTAGATTACTGAAGTAATGAAAGAAAACAAAATTCACCATACAAAAGGAGGCAACTGTCCAAATGGGCATATTTCAGTGATGCAGATTCATTAGTCTAGATAAACTTATTGACTAACAAAATGTCATGTGTTGACTAATCTTAGTCAGTTTAATATTTTATTTTATACTTTAGGTAAACCATGAATCAATGTGTGGCTCCTTACTATATTCAAGTTAGACAATACAAATATTTATCAATATTTAGACGAGTGGAAACAAGAACATTAAATGAAATAACAATATTTACCAGTTTTATCTTTTAATACAACACTAGCTCCAGCACCTTGTAAATCTATAGATTCTACCATGACCAATAACAGTGGTATTTTACCTTTAGGTAATAATTTCTTGGATGCCTGAAATCAGTCAACAGTTAACAGACACTCCTTAAACTCTGATGTGCAGGATCCTGTCTGGAGGCCATAAATGGTCAAGAAATTTAAGCAGACATACTTTGAGAAACCATATGTTTCATGGTGAGCAAGTTGTGTTTTTTCTTTACCAGCGGTTGCCAGGCAAGATACGCTCACATTTTGCAAGAGATGGATAGAGAACAAGCTAAAACAAAAATGTGATTTTTCATACAATCAGGGGCCATAATCCAGGAAGTTAAGGTCTGAAATGCATGATTATCGAAAGGGACTGAGATCTTGTGGATATACAGATATACCGTAAGTTTCATAAAAATCGGACAAATTAATTGTGACCTATAGAGGGTCCACAGCCTTCATATTACAATATACTTTTACACAATTTGCGTACAAGGAGTGGCCATTTAGTCGGATAGTATCGTTTGAACTCAACCTTCCTTATGGTGTAACGGTAATATATTTAAACGGTTTTTAAAATTAGATAAAAATTGGGACCTCTAGAGTGGCCACAAGCTAAAAACATGATTTTTCGTACAATCAGGGGCCATAATCCAGGAAGTTACGGTCCGATATGTGCAAATATCGAAAGTAACCGAGATCTTTGGGCGATAAACCCTATTTCAAGTTTCGTCAAAATCAGATAAAAATTGTGACCTGTAGAGTGGCAACAAACAAATATGCACGGACGGCCCGGGACGGCAACAATATATGTTTACATAAAAATGTGGGCGTCTAAACAACAATATCTTTATTCCTGATATCTGAATGGGATTGGAAAACAGGCTTAGCCAATGTAAATCCCCTCTCCCTGTTGTGTTGTTGACAAATTCCTGCAGCCATACCCACTTCTCTTCATAAAGAGGGCATAAACTGAAATGGTCCATTATGAGGTAGAATATGCTTCCATTTTGAAATAATTGGTGTTCCTATCTGTTGCTTTATACTTATGACTAATTTTGGCCACTGGAGTTTGTTTTTTGGCTATCCTGCCCCCATATGATAAAAGCTGATTAATGTACTGCACCTTCTGTAAACTAGACATAACTGAAAATTGATCCAGAATAATTTCTGCTTCTTCACCAAGATCTTGTAATAAAGATTGCCATGAAGTTTCATTGAAACCATCATCTGCTGCTTGAGATGACATTACAACATTCTACAAAACAAGCATTGAAAAATTAATATACGGTTCGATGTTGATCATAATAATGATTATATTATTCACATGAAATACTAATAGGTTTCCATTATGAATACAATATGAAATTTGAGTTCTGTAAAGTAATTCACAAAATACATGTACTCCAATGAACCATGGCAGCTGAAACATGTTTGCTGTGTTTGGTTACATCACGATTCTCCCGACGTGGTGTGGGGAGTCTGATTCTAAACAAAATTAGTGTCAGATGTTTGTACAGTACATTGTTCTCTGTAATTCCAATCTGGTTAAAACACAGATCCTATTTCGTTTCATTTTTATAGTTCAAAATTTCATTTTACTTGTCTTTACTACACTTGGATCTGGAAGAGTTGTTATTTAACTCATGGTGTCAGGGATAAGCCAATGAAACGGTCTGTCACGGCGAGCTTTAGGCATGTTTTGCACTAGTAACATCAATGCTGATTGGTTAATCAAATGTCTGACATCATAGGGTCATAAGTCGGTCTGTTGACCCCTGACTTTACCTATCGCTATAACTTGTCAGATCTTCATGTAGTGTAGGCCATCGAAAATATAAAAAAACGAAACGAAATATAGATCTGTATTTTAATCAGATTGCTGTAATTCAGACTATTCCAGGTTTGTCTATAGCTAATGTACAGTATTTACAGTGTAAAGTCTGCACTAGCATACATATACAATGTGCATGTCATAACTTAGCCTTTTTAACCTAGTAAACTGACAAGAATGTTCTATTATAATACCTGTGGTAATTTGTTGTCACTTTCTGGTGATGTTGAAGCTGTTTTCTCTATATGTTGACCCGGTTTCTGTAAATTAGAATACCCAAATAAAATACAAATATAATACCTGAAGAATAAAATATCAAATGAATTCTTATTTCAATAAAAAAAAGCCAGTGTATAATCAAATTCAAACTTGTCCTACATTTCTTGTAAATACTAACCAGTTTAGGTAATCGACCAGCTGGTCCAGGAAACTTTCTCTTAACACGTCTTATAGGAATTTGATTATCTGGATCATTACTATCGGATGTTTTTAAATTAGGCCTACTTTGTGTTGGTACTTGGGTTCTTTGATTGGTAACACTTGGTGGAAGAATAAGAGTACTTTCTGCACTACCAACTGACTTCTTCACTGGTGTGTAGAATTCACAAGATGCTGGTCTTCCATTATTTCCAGGAATTTCATTCATGATGAAATCTAATTTTTCATTATTAGATGTATTATATATACTACTAGTGCCACCCTTTTGCTTAATATTACATGCATTACTATTGCTAGTCGGATTTCCGGTGGTTGATTTAATGATATTTAAATTATTTTTAGTACAAATTGAATTTGAGAAGATTTGTTCAGCTTTAATTGGATCTTGTTCACCACTGTTCTGTTTTTCAAGTCTTATTCTTTTGGCGGATTGACCGGTTCCATCATCGGTGGTAGTTTCTAATTCTTTACTTGGTTTACTTTGTGGTAGGTTCTTTTCTGTGATATCCACTAATGGTAAATCCTAAAAAAATTAAGGACATTCATCTTGTAGAACATAATATTTATGGTATTTCAAATAAAAAAGGATTTGAATCTTCAGACTCTTTACTCAACCTCGGATAGTCAAGCTATGTCAACCTTGGCTAGTCATAACAACTAGGCACTTAGGGATTTCAAATTCCTCAGCTAAGAAGATCAGGGGAATTTTAAAATCTCTTTCAGATTTGCAAAACAATAATTAAGCACGTGTACTTATTTGAAAAGGTGACTGGTTTGCTTGTGTAATCCAAAAATGTAAATTTTACACATTCCTATGTATTCTGATCGCATACTATTTAAAAGAATCATGTACCATAATGCGTTTCAGCGCCATTTGTAGCACAGGACTCGAAGAACGAGTTAGACATATTCCGCAAGTCATGTCAAACGGTGACGTCATATTCTTATCTGGAGAGCATGCACAATAAATACTATCGGTGTAGCCTGAAATAACGCTAGAGATTGCCATTCCATTGAGACTTCTATGGCGTATTTCGCCAAACATAACTGATTTGAAATTAGGGTAAAAACGGAAACGATTGAATGTAAATCAGTTTATAAACATTCATATTATATTATTATATGCGTTGCAACCCATTTGTGCCAATTTCTAGATCCCAAATATTAGCGACTTAGCTCCTTTAACCAACATATTTCTACATCCTAAAATTAAACTTTTAAAGTCGTGTGAACGAGTCAACCAACACGTGTGTACGACTCTACCAACAAGTGTGAATGACTCCACCAACAAGAGTGCATGACTCCACCAATGAGGGGACAACTTAACCAGATTTTTCGTGCGGACGACTTTGCTAAGTTGTGGATGACTTAATGACTGGCATTCGATAGAGTGCCGCTTGGTCCAAATATTGACCCATGAATGAAAGGTAGCACGTCATTTCGGTCCCGGGTCAGTCCGGACTCAACACAAACGTCGTTTCGGACTCAGTTTGACAACCTTTCGGACTTACTTGGAGACTTTTCGGACTCGGACTGGCGACGTTTCGGACTCAATAAAAGCTAAAATTAAACATTGTTAGTTGTGTTTTATTTATCCCATACCGACCTTGAACTTGAAGTAAAACCAATATTATTTGATCGGCGAATACATTATTTATTTATTTTTTTTTATTTTATTTTTTTTAATAGCTTTATTTATTTACAAATATACACGTATACAAAATTATAATAGGTACAATTAACAATATGCATGGACAAACATATAATACATTTTATATTTGTTTATAGATTTTTATATGTAGCTATTTTTTTCCCAAAAGTTTATATACAAATCGAACAGATATACAACTGTGCATTATCTATTGTCAGGTATATGATAATATAGTGAAACCAAGCCGAGATTATTTAATCTCTATTGAAGTGATTGGAGATTGTTGTATTTGATCTGAGTAAGTTTAGATTATTGGCGATAATTGATCAATTGATCGGCGTTTCTTAAAGCCGTTAAGAAACGATTGAGAAATAAAAACACTGCTACCTTCCTTTTGTTGATTGAGTCAACGCCAGGGGTCCGGTGTCATTTTATTTACTTAATTGTGAGTTATTTTCAGAGGCAGAAAAGATACCCTTCAACATTACCATGATATCGGAGGGCTCAATGAGACGGCACCAGAGAAGCCGGTATCGGCATATAGAGGGCCGACTATTTCAATTATGGGATGAATAAGCTTATAACCACCAAGATATTAGTACTAGTAGGCTATTAAAAAAACAAAAAAACACAGCCATTTGTACGGCCCACCTGCCCAATAAAGAAAAGTGAAAAAATAATTAAAATAATTGGAAAACTGAAAAAATAAAATGAAACTGATAAAATAAATAAAATAAATGTATGTTTTATAAAATAAATGAATACCCGACTGAAGCTTTTATTTCATCAAATAATGTTAATGTATGAATTTATATGTATGTTTTATACAATAAATGAATACCCGACTGAGGCTATTATTTCATCAAATAAATATGCCCGTTGTTATAAATCGCTGTTATCGTTTTATGCTATATTAATAAATAAAATAGTTTATAAAGTAAATTGACGGCAATGCGCATGTCAACTTACCAAATCTCAGCCAAACGAGATCACGTAACTAACAAAAATAATTCTACACACCAAATCTCGACCAAGCGAGATTACGCGCCTCATAGAACTATTTCTATGACGCGTCTAATCACTGACGTCACATATTTTTTTACGTCAATGAAAATAATTCTCACACATTTTTGTTCTTTTTTTAAAAACAAAATTAATGTTAAAATTTAGATCTAAATCAAAATCAATTTTGAAAAAACTAAATTATTTAACATTTTTTGTATCAATTGAGAAAATTAATTATAAGGGTTGTATATTTGACAATAATCAGCTTCGCTCTACTCAGGCAATGTCTGTTACATATTAATAGAGCGAAGCTCTACAGCATCGCACAAAGCGCGGTGCTTGAGCAAAGCTCTTTTCCGGTAACACAGGAGCGTAACTGAAATTGTCACCCACAGACTGTTGATTAAAAATAAATTCAGACCGGAACCGAATACACTGGGCAAAACAGGCAATACGCATGTCAACTTACCAAATCTCGCCTGAAGCGAGATTACGCGCCTCGTCATAGAACTATTTCTATGACGCGTCTAATCAATGACGTTACATATTTTTGACGTCAATGAAAATAATTCTCACACTTTTTTGTTCCTTTTTAAAAAAACAAAATTAATGTATAATGTATCTAAATGAAAATCAATTTGGAAAAACTAAATTATTTAACATTTTTTGTATCACTTGAGAAAATTAATTATGAAGGTTTTATATTTGACAATAATCAGCTTCGCTCTACTCAGGCAATGCCTGTTGTTACATATTATTTTCATTTTTTGTCAATGTACTGAGTGATATGTAGAACTAGAGTCTACCTCCCAAAATTCTTCATCATCATCTGATATTTCAAACATATTTAGTATCTACAATGTCAGAATGACTATATCTTAAGATAACAAAATATTGATTTCGAATCTATATTGGCTGACTGGCAATTTCATTTAGAAACATCATCCAAACGAAAATTTATTTTGAACCAGCCCGCCATGACAGGAAAGAGTATACTAAGGGAGAGTATTCGTTAAATAAGGCGCATGCGCGTTGCGGATGACGCGGGTTAATCCACATCCGGCTTTAAAATCAAAACAAGAAACTTTTTCCTCAAAATCGAACAGATTTATTAACATGCCAGTGAGATTTAAGGTAAAGTAGACATTTGTCTTTGTAAATAATAGGAACTGTCGCAATATTCTTTGGTGTTAGATATATAGACCTAATTATGTCGAAAAAATGAGACGAACTAAATTGGAATAGATCTAGCTCAAAACTGACATTATGAAAGAAATTACAACAAAAACGTGTCTGGACTGATCAAAAGTCAAAGGTTTGCAGTTGACATTTTGATGTAAAATAAGGCTCATTGAGATATTTGATATACCCAGGTATTTACTTTGCCGATGTGTATATGACCAACAAGAAAAATAATTGAATACACACAGAGGGTCAATATATGTTGTTGAGCAAATTGTTTTTTTTTAGCCTATTTTTTGATGATTGTTCAGACACTCGACAGTCAGTAGTGTAGTATGTTTTTCTGTTTTGTCTGTACTGTTGGTTAGAGACATAAACGGCCCTAAACCATAATGACCAAAATAATTGGTCATAACGGCCAAAATATGGTACTATTTCAGTAATGTACCTCTACCAGTTCCCATGATTGTAGCGACTTGAAATTTTCAGGGGGCATTCATGGGGCCTAGCCATGACCTCACACCAAATTTCACTTGAATCTGTCAATAACTTTTTATTTTACCGTAATTTAGCTTATAACGAGAATGTTTAACCGATTTTGACGCCATTTTGTTTGTTGGCTATTTAAACTCGAATAACAAGACAGGGTTAGGGTTAGGGCTAGCCCTGTCTACATCTTGAGACTATGACAAAATCTACAGGTCCTAGCCCTTACCCTAACCCTTATCCTAACCCACAATCCACATATGACGTCTTTCGAGCCTAAATAGCCAACAAACAAAATGGCGTCAAAATCGGATAAATTTATCTCTTATAGAAGCTAAACTACGGTAAAATAAAAAAAGTTATTGACCGATACGGCTAGTCCCCGTGAACACCCCCTGAAAATTTCAAGTCTCTACGATCACAGGAACTGGTGCGTTACTGAAATAGTACCCAAAATATTTGGTCATGATGACCAAAGAATTTGGTAGATCGTAACGGCCATACAAATTGGTCATAACGGCCAAATAAACCATAACATTTATTACATGTACGAAATGATATTTATTAATAACATGATAAATGTTGCATAATACTATAAAAGATAATACCATAATATAAATACATAGATTACATAAACATTAATTTAATATGTAAATTTACATAGACATTTAAAGATGGGTTCCCAGAAAAGTATTTATCGGGTGGTTATTTCCAAGAAAAGAATGGTAATTTTGGTATATATGTAAAATAGAGATATCCAATCTTACTAGAAAAATACTGAATTCCCCGAAAAACACTCATGGAGCGTATACAGGACAAAAATGTAAGGGTTTCCCTAATCAACAGTCCGACGATTAGGAATTTCTGCACGCGTGATGTCAAAGGTCACACGTGAACATTGAGCGCTTGATGTATAAGTTGATAAACTTTATGAAGAGTTAGACGTACAACACTTTCTATGATAAAAATGACTGAAAAGAACCCGGGTAGTGGATAATCTGAGAATTTAATTAGGATTTGATATTTGTAATAAATAGTAAGCGATTAAAGACAACATCGTCTTATGTATGCAATGAATTCTCCTCTGAATTCCAAGAGAGGTAAGTCATGTGACGTAAACATGACCTGGTTTGATCAAATTTTTATAGCAGGACATTCTTTCGCAATTACAATGTTTGAGAAGGATTTGAAGCAAAGTTATGACAAATTAATTAGTATACGTTTTTAGTCCATATATACCATTAAATCACCCAGTTTGTACACGGGAACCCATCTTTAACATAATACAAATTATAATATTTCACATACATAATACATTGTATAAAACATACAAAATATATTTTGTAATATTACAAATTTTGTAATATTGTAACATGATATTGTAATTAGTAATTATTACTTTCAACACAATAAATAACTTAGAATTTTCTGTTAGTCGCTCTGATTAGGTTATCTGGATTTTCTCTGAATGGATTGGAGATGGCCATTTCTTTTACCTTTAGTTAGTTGATAAAACAAATAAATGATTAATATTTATCTTGCATCAATATTTCAGCTAATCAGATCAGAGGGTGTGAAGTACCTAATTAGCTGGGATTATCCAAACAGTTGATTAATTAGTACTAACCTCTTTTTCTTGAATTACAATTACACTTTACAGCATGTAATTTTCCGGGTTGGCTTGGGTTGTTATGCCTCCAGGACACATGTATGGTTTGTACATGTATAAGTTATGCAACTGTTAATTGCATATCAAAATGGCCCATTTTAGCTAATTTATGCAATTAGTTAAAAATGAGACCTTTAAACATGAATATCTCCGGAACTAATCAAGATATTTTGTTAATTTTTTTTTGCTGGGCTTCTATTGGTGGCTACTTTCATGATAAACTATCAAATATCAGAAATAATAAGAAATGTAGCATCACATCAATGTTTTTTATTTAAATATATTGTTTTTCATTAAATTAAAAATGTTTGGCCGTTACGACTAAATTATTTGGCCATTATGACCAAATTTATTGGCCGTTATGACCAAACTGTTTTGCCGTTATGACCAAACTGTTTGGCCGTTATGATTAAAGTATGGCCATTTTGACCAAACCTGTTTTTGGCCGTTATGGCATAGGGCCGTTATGACCGCATTAAACTGAGTCTGAAATTTCGGGGGACCAACATGTCGTTCTACCAAATGAAATACATACAAAATAAATAGTATGGTACTCTGCATGTATGGTGTGTATGATCAGTAATTATTATTTGAGCTTTATTTACTTGAGGGGGTCACAGTGATCAATCCCTGCATTGGCCGAGAAAGTTCTTTCAGATTTTCTGGCGTGGTACCCCTTGTCAGTGATGGAGGACGGAGGGCCTGACAAGGACAGCTGTCTGGTTGTTTGGATGGGACGAAAAAAGAGGTCCCAATTACACATTTGCGTGCACTTAAAACATCCCTTGACAGTTGGAATTTGATATAAGAGTAGGCCGTTGTGCCGCTGTCTGGGCAAAATTTCCCTCATAGCACACTGTATGGCATATGCCCGTCTTCATTAGCCCAGTTCAGAGCAGAACAGTAGGATGTTAAACCTCATTTCATTTCATTTATTTACTTGAGTATGATTATTGTCACATTATTTAGTACAAGCTTACTGTACATGTATTAGATGTAAGTAATAATATTTAGAACAACAATAAAACAAATATCATTGTATCAATTGTAATGTAGTATCTAGACTAATGCTTCTACATGTACCCCAATTTTATCATATTTTTACAGGGGAAATCTGAATATGATCTTCATTATAAATGGGTGGATTCCTTCCGTAAAAAAGGATTTGTTCCTAGTCCCGAACAAGCAGCACCTCTTGCTGGTCTCCGTTCTGTTGAACTCAGTGGGTACCCAAAAGAATGATTGATTAGCTTGCTGAATTTGCACAGTCAGGCATTTAAGAATATATTGTTTTAATACATTGTAGGCTTATTTATTCATAATCAATTTCATAAATTGATCTTCTCTTATCACTACATGTACTCACATGCATGTACAAAGCCTTGATACTATAGCAAGAAACATACATTTTGATACATTCTGTCATGATTTAGGCCTACTCCAATTTTAAAGGCTACTGCATATCTTACTGTTATTTAAAAGAAAATTGGAATAACTAAACATGAGGAAACGCAAGGTGTTTTTGCTGTCAGGCACCTCAGAAAGATCATGCCAGATGTGCTGACTGCTGAGAGAAGATTGGTATATGAAAATGGCTTATTGTCATAACCAATTACTTTTACCTCCTGGTTAAATTTATGATTCTATCATGTACATGTAGGCCATTAAATTTCTACCTGTAGTCAGATTATAATTTGGATCAAATTTTGGTAACTTGTTATCTTTTAAACTATGTATTTCCAAACAAATGTACATGTAACAACTGAGGTGATTGAAGATTATCAATAATCCTTACTCATCAGGGTAGATTTGTGTTCTGAGTTCATATAGATTTCATGATTTTGGTATTTGAAAAATATGTTTGGCCCACGTAATGATTTAATTTCAATTCATATGGTTCAAACTGAAACACATCCTATTCCTACTAGGGTTGTAACCTTTTTTTTTTTTTTTTTTTTTTTTTTAAAAAAAACAAAAAAACCTGATTGTATAATTATCCTGCATTGTGCATGTGTATGTTTGGATTGGGATTGATGCCTATTGTTGCTATGTATGTTCATATTGTATTCCTAGCTTACACTAATTAATTACCACTTACCCACTAGATTTTTATTTGTTTGCAGTGTCTTGGCAACGTGATGATGATTGCTGTCTTATAATAAGCCTCCCAGATGTTTTTTCTGCACTGATACATTCACAGTCGACTGCTTGACTCAGACATTATACATGTACTTATTGTCATTACAGGGCTCTTCAGAATATAAAGAAAATTTTAAACCTTTTGTAATGCAGCCAGTTATAAATGCTGCATCTGAACAGGTAGCTGTAAACGATGCACCATGGGTTGGTGCAGAAGTAGGTAGGAATCCTCATCACTGAAAAGCTGTATTAAAAAAAAACAATTGTTATTTTTTCTGAAGAGGATGCTGAATGTTATAAACTTTTTAATTCATCATATTGAACAGTATTAAACCTTTACTAGTTTTAGAGATTCAAATTTCACAATTATTGTTATTTTCAACTTGTGATTGTAAATCCCACAAATGATGGTCAGTGGTTGTAAATCTCCTAAAGTTTTCCCATGTAGGCCTTCACTTTCATTGTGATCTGTGGTGAGTGGAAAAAATGTGCATATAGGGATATTAGTGTTGCTTTGCATTTTGATTTTTTTAAGCTTTCCACTGGTATATGTGTATGATCAAAGAGAAATGCATGTTGCATCTAATATGTATATATATCCTAAACTTAACACTAATCAAGCTTATACTAATATTTGTACATTTATATTATTACATGTATCTCTAATTCTAGTCTTATTACCATACCTGTAAGTTTTCTTTTGCTTCTGTCTATAATAAAAAATATAGATAGAAAAAGAAATTCAGGAAAAGGTCAATGTAAAAGTATTCTAATTCAAAATTAAACGCTAATTATTTGGGAAAATGTTTAAAATGATAATATTAGCGTAATCTAAATCTAATCTGAGGTTGTCAAATATGATATTCATTAGTACATGTACCGTCATGAATACAATTAAATACATGTATGTTCAGAATGTATTTTTTTAATTTTCAGGGAAATCTGTGGAACCACCAATTCAACATAAGAAAAGAATATCAGGACCACCAACTTCTCTAGCTAATGATTTTTATGAAAGACCACCTCCACAAGAATACACATTGTTAGGACACAATGATAAATTTGCATCAAATGTGCAGTACATGCCTAAAAAGAAACTCAATATGGACAATGTTAATCGCATTAACAACAACGGCACTTTTATTCAACCGCAACCAAATCAACCAGTTCAAAATCTAGACACATACATGGAGGTTTGTATTGAAACCATTTTACATTAACAATCTAAAAGACATTGAGTCAAGATCATTTGTTCCATATGAATCTACATTTATAAACCACTTTACTCTTCTGGATCTAAAAATATACGAGCTGTAAATGGATCGTTCACTCCCATTCACAAATTAATTCAATGGTTTTTGTTTCAGAATTGATATTACGCAAGTGTTTCTGTATATTGTAATGTGCTACTTATCTTGGTTAAAGCATTAACTCTGTCTGTTAAAACAATAAGTGTGAATTTGATATCTAATTTGTAGAAGAACCTATTATTTACCATTAACTTTAGTGTACTGAATAGAGTTAACAGAATGTATTCAATATTCTTTAAGTTAAAATTACACAATTTTAAAAATCTCTGTTTGGTTTTTATTCATAGAAGTCAAATCAAGATAAAGAAATAAGAGTCTCCAAACCCAACAAACCACCAAAAGTTGACACACGAATATATCTTGGTCCACCAACGCCTGATACTCCTAGGGAACCAGTATACCATGCTGAAACTAAAGAAACACAGACCACTTACAGGCAAGACTTGAGAAATGGTAATCCCAAAAGTCACCAGCCTAAAAATGATTCCAACACCAAACCACCAAAAGTTGACACACGAATATATCTTGGTCCACCAACGCCTGATACTCCTAGGGAACCAGTATACCATGCTGAAACTAAAGAAACACAGACCACTTACAGGCAAGACTTGAGAAATGGTAATCCCAAAAGTCACCAGCCTAAAAATGTTTTCAACACCAAAGAAACAAAATACTTTCAAAACCAAGGAGTGACTAACAAACAAAAACGTCAGGCCAATAAAAAGGAAAAGGGAGAAAAGAATGAAAAGCAGGTGGTTTATAAAGCAGGTTTAAAAGATAAAAATCTAAAAGATGTTCTGGATGTTGAAAGAAAGCCACGGAGGGAGAGATGGAATGAAATAACCCAGACAGATCTTGATAAAGGAATCATTGATTCAGCACCAGAAGCAGTGGTATGTCACAGCCTATTTGAAATGTTTGTCTGTTGATTATAACATGTAAATTTATCATGCATAAGTAATTGGAGAGATATAAAACTCAATGGGGACATTATAAATATAAGCTTGCTTTGTGTTATTTCAGTCGGATTATGCATTAAGATACAAAGCAGGAATAGCTGAAACTAGAAAAGGTCGTAAATGGTCAGAATATCAAAGAGAATTTGAATGGAAGAACAGAGTTCCTGATTCTCCACTTATAACAGCAGATCAGGTAGTGAGAAATGTGTGTGTTGAAACATGAACTTATAAAATGTTCTTTATTGACATAGATTTACATTAGAGAGGTCAATGGCCAATATGTACAACTATTCACTTTTATTGTTTGTAATCAAATTGTATTACTGATTGTGTATTGAGTATACAGAAAATGTTTTAACCAAATATATGTATACAGTAGAAGATTAAAGCTGGACTATAACTAGTATAACACACATTCACATTTAAATCCTGATTTTGAATATTCAACACAAAATCATATACTTTCAAAATGTTTAATTCACAAGTATCTAAAGTGTCTTTTTATGATCACAGGTTGTACATAAAAGCAGCACAGCTTTGGTGGCACCCAAACATGTCCCTAAACCACGAGCTAGTGAATATAAATCTCAGTTCAAGGCATGGAAAATGAGACCTGTTGAAAGAAAGGATAAAGTTGAAGAACCCGCTGAAAAGAAAGCCAAGGTATTATACATGTATATGCTAATTTCTTATTTAAACATACATTATGCAAGAGATAAATCTGCCAATTGCAGGTCTTTTCTTAGGCCTGAAATGTTATCTAAATTGTTAATTAGACATTAATTAACTTGTCCAGACCATAATCAACTTTCGATGGCATTGCTAGTCTGTGATATTTACTGGATTAGAACCTGCTCTGCTGCTTCTGATTAGATAAAAAAATGGATAATCTAAACTATGTTTTTTATCGTACCGAATTTAGTAATGATGATCAAGGCTAGGCAGTAATTTCAATCGGTTAATTCTCGGTTCATAGTGGATCAATTTGATAAAATTTTCAGCAAATTGCCTTTACATTGTCTAGTTTTTAACTACTATAGTGAGAACTGCCAGCTCTTTATCTAATCTCCCATAATGTATTTCTAATCAATAAAGTCTGACATTGAAGGTAATTTTTACATTGGTGCATGTATTGGAGAATATATATTATAAGATAAGGAATGTCCTTGGCACACCTCTCACAGGCTCCTCTGGACCAATAGACATTTGTTTCTAATTCTACTTTTATTTATTTTTTAGCTTAAAAGAAGTAAAAGTATGGGAGGTGAGTATTCCAGTAATTTTAATATGTGTGTTTACAAATTATTAATGATCCATGATATATTTATTATGATGCTAAAAGTACAGGTTTCATTTTACCCAGTGATATCATCAATCGGACATAATCTTCATATCCCTCACTTCCATGATGTGGTGGTTTGAGGTGTACTTGATGTAGGAGAAATAATAAAGTTTATTAAAAATCTTTTTTCAGCTATAACTGAAAATGTACGTAATGATGAAGATTCCAGAAGTAAACAACAAGTTAGAAAATCTTTGAAAGATAAATCTAATATTGTTGATGTAGTTAAGGCTTCTCATGGTAAACTCAGGTAAGTTTAATAAATTTAAAAGGAAACAACCTAAACGTAATTATGCCAAGAACAACCAAAAACAATACCACATATGGAATGTGCTGTCATTGAAAAAATAACCATCAAATACCCCAGAATCGGCAATACCCATGAAATTTCCCTCAAAATAAAATGCAGACACCTTGACACATTGAATGTTCTGTCACCACCTCAAAAAAAAACCCCAATAATATTGCCATCCACCTCTAAACAAACAAAAAATAAGAGTGAATGTGCTACCACAACATTCATTATTTATGGAGAAATGTTTGACAATTTGACACCAGAATCCCATCTAGATGACTTTGAGTTTCTATCCCGAATGTAACATTCAGTATAGTAGATGTTCTGATGTACGATGGCAAAGACAGATAAATGTTTTTAGACACATTTACACTGACAAAAATCCACTACGACTGCATTAACATTATCTTACATTAATAAGGATGAAACTTGTTAATTTTCAATCTTCTTATATTTGACTTGTAGTTGTACTTCCTAATATTTGACTTTCTGAATTATAAAAATTCTTCAATAAATTAATTGCATTCCACTATATTTTGCAGGAGAACTGAATCTGAGTATGACTCCAACTTCAAGGCCCCCTCACAGTTTCAATATAGAGATGGAGCTTGGCATGGTGCTAATCATCCGCATGCTTTTATTTCTAAGGTATTTATATTTTGGCTGCTACAAAATAATGATTTACCAAAAATCTAATATTGTCACTTTTGACCCCAGTTATTCACAAGTATAATGAATTGTTGGCTGATCTTGCATCTCTGATTGTGATATTGACCCTTTTTTGGAATAATTATATTATATATTTTACTCTAGAAAGCAGAAGAGAAAGGTGAAGATAAGCCGTCTAATTGGTATGGAGAAGTTTTAGAATTAAGACAGAAAGCTGATGAGTATCGTAAGCGTGCACAAGGGACTCATTTCTCTCGTGCTCATTTAGCTCAATTATTAGCCAGACAAGCTGAATTATGGGATAATACAACAGGTAGTACAAGTAGTACACTATCGGCTTTATCTCTCGAGACCGGAGATTTACCTCCACCCAAAAAACTAGAGTAAGTATGAATAAATTAATCAGTTTTATCAAAATATTTTTTATGATGATTGTCATCAGATATATTCATTTAAACCCTGGGTCTGATGAGTAAACAAATCTCAAGTGGAAATAACAGCTCTTGTGCAATTGTTTCATATACGGGTCTCAAATGTTACAGATCAACTATGGCAAAGATGTTTTCTTTCAAGTCTGTTTAACCTATTTGATCATTCGATCTCATGTAAAATGGGTGAACAACAATAATAAACGAAAAAATGTAATCTTATAAAAATTATATTATAATCTATTTTTAGTTATATTGTCATGATTTTAGCTCTCTGGAATCTGCTACTTGTAATATCATCTCCATTTTAGGACAATTTTTGACAAAAGTAATATGCTTGTAATACTTGGAGCCATTATAAATTTTGAAAAATGCTTTATTGATAGATTGGTTTATATGTGTTATTTTCTTGATAGACTGAAAGAGAAAACATTACGGAAGAAAGGACAAGTGGAACAGCGGAAACAAAGAACATTTAATGACATGGATTCCACTAAAGCTACCATAGCAACAGAAGTAGAATCAACTTCTACAACAGACTATGAGGAACCAATACCAAGTAATTATTATATTGGACATAGAGGCAAGGAAAATATACGTCCCAGAAAAACAGCATGGAAATATACAGAGTCAGAACAGACGTTAACTGATGATGGGTTTGTACATATTTTATTATTAGAATGTATAAGATAACATAAGTTTTTTTTAATGTAACCATGGAAACATGAATTGGAAACAATGCAGCTAGTGTATTATGAGGATACAAGGAAACATTGTACCCAACCAAATATTGAAGATTACTTTGTGATCAAGGTTGTGAGCACATTGGAGATAAGAGATTATGATCAACCCTATAAAGCCCCACTCTCACCACTTAATATTTGGCAGCCACAATGGTGGTTTTGTTTATTAAAGTAAGCAAGTTATCAAGCAAGAAAGAAAGGATATTATTCCAGAGTTTCATATATATATAACAGAGTTCAAAGAATTCATAATATTCTTCTCTATGGGTACATTTTAAAAGTGATGACAGAGTTGATGTCCTATTATTAAAAAGAAATTAAGTTACATCGGTTAAGTAATGTTGTTTTGTCTTTGTGATAATTATAGTGTTTATGACAGAGATATAGAAACACCTGTAAATGAAGAAGAAAATAATAATAATTACCAAGAAGGTAGATTACCCACACCACAATTACAACATCTTGATAAACCTATTCAAAGACACCATTTTGATAGAACAACTCCATGTGTTGGTGGTGCCATTTTATCTTCTCCTCCAGAAATGAAAAACCGTCCAATGAAAAAATATTTAACGAAAGAAGCTACGAAGATACATCAGTATGCAAATAGTAAGTTGAATTTATTTAAAAATTAATTTTCTTGACTTTCAATTTACACTAACTTTATTGTGTACAACATGTTGTGCATTTCAAATGTACAAGAAATATATTTTAACTTTTTAAATAAATGATATAACATATACTGCCTTATGCATGATATTCATCAATACTGATAGCTAAGCATGATATTCATGATATTCATCAATACTGATAGCTAAGCATGATATTCATCAATACTGATAGCTAAAGATAGGTTGCCAGGCAACGAAACATACGCCCATAGCAACTAAATCGTCCAGGCAGTCAACAAGGGTTGTCGCATATTTTTACTTTTTTCGGTAATGAAACATTTATAATACACTAAAATCTGATTAAGAGCAACAACTCACGAAGTAATTATCAGAAAACTATTAGAATTTGTTTGGTTTTTATAAAGTTCTGCCCCATGCTAACATTTTGTATGCAAAGCTTTTAATATCATGGATTTAACTGTTTAAGTCATAAAAATTCATTGAAAATCAATATACTTGTTCATCTCAAGATCTTAAACTCTGTGTATCAATCTGAAGTCAATCGGATTATAACTTTAGCCTTTAGAGCATCACAAGATTTTGCAAAGTGATCAAGGGCCATAACTTTGGCAGTAATTATCGGAAATCGTTGAAAATCAATAGGAATCTTCGTCTCATGACCTCAAACACTGTGTATAAATTTAAACTCAATCGGATATTAGCTTTAGCCTCTAGAGCATCCACAAGATTTTTTGAAGTGATCAAGGGCCATAACTCTGGCAGTAATTATCGGAAATCGCTGAAAATCAATAGGCTTCTTCGTCTCATGACCTTAAACACTGTGTATAAATTGAAAGTCAATCGGATATTAACTTTGGCCTCTAGAGCGTCCACAAGATTTTTCAAAGTGATCAAGGGCCATAACTCTGGCAGCAAATATTGGAAATCGCTGAAAATCAATAGGCTTCTTTGTCTCATGACCTTAAACACTGTGTATAAATTTAAAGTCAATCGAATATTAACTTTCGCTTCTAGAGCATCCACAAGATTTTTTGAAGTGATCAAGGGCCATAACTCTGGCAGTAATTATCAGAAATCGTTGAAAACCAATAGGCTTCTTCGTGTCATGACCTCAAACACTGTGTATAAATTTAAGGTCAATTGGATATTAACTTTGGCCTCTAAAGCGTCCACAAGATTTTTCAAAGTGATCAAGGGCCATAACTCTGGCAGTAATTATTGGAAATCGCTGAAAATAAATAGGCTTTTTCGTCTCAAGACCTCTAAAACTGTGTATAAATTTAAAGTCAATCAGATATTATATATGTGACAACAATATTTCAGATTATTCCTTTTATTATGCAATTTAATTTTTTTTTTAACAAAATGGGTTGAAATTATGACTATACATTTCTTTGTGCAAATTGTTAAGTTATGACTGAGAATAGCACGTAAATGAGAAGTATTCCTTTCTTAATGAATTTTGGTTTGACCTTAATTTAATTATAATATGTGTATAAATGTATTATTGTAGATAATTACAGTGATGAGGATGAAGAAGAAGAAGCTAGAATTATAGGAAAGGTAAGAATCAGAGTTTAAGTTTGGGTATAACATATTACTATTTTGTCAATATGTGGGAATATCTTTTCTTGGTTGTTTTATAGTGTTAAATTATTATACACTGTAACCCAGGTATCATTTAATATTGTGTATCTAGCACTAATTTCTTTCACATTTGTTTAATATCAGATCTTTGTTTAAAAATTTGTAAAAAACGTTTAAAATCACCAAAAATCATCCAATTTGTACTTTTGTCCAGTTTAAAATTAAAGCTGACTGATTAATTTTGATGAGTGTAAAATTTACAAATATTTAATTTCTTGACCAAGGCCAAACATTAATCATTATACATCATTAATCAATTGGGTTGTTTATTTTTCAACAGTGATTGAGAAATTAAACACTTGTAAATTGGACACTCATTATCAAAATGGAATGGTCAGTTTTAAACTGGACACAAGTACAAATTAGATGATTTATGGTGATTTTCAACGTTTTTTACGAATTTTTAAACAAAAATTTGATATTGAACATATGTGAAAGAAATTAGTGCTAGATACGCAAGATTAAATGATACCTGGGTTACAGTGATACATGAAAGTCGAAAACAATGTTTTATCAGACTGCGATGAAATTCAATTTTTATACGCCCACATTTTCATGTGATATACAATAATTAATACAATATCAAAAAACCACAAATTTTATGCGATTTAAAAAAAACAAAACAAACATGCAAATGTATCACTGTTACACCGTGACGACGGTTGAGTTCGAATTTCGTGAAAATCAGACCAAAACTGCCAGACAAAATGTCCACTCTACGTATGCAAATAGTGTAAAAGTATTTGATGTCAATGTTGTGGACCCTCTAGAGGTCACAATTTTGATCCGATTTTGACGAAACTTGAAATGTATGTTTATAACTCAAAAGATCTTGGTTCGCGCATGTCAGATTGTAACTTCTTGGTTTATGACCCCTGATTGTTTGAAAAATCATGTTTTTAGCTTGTGATCCCTATGTAAAAGTTTGTAGAGTCACAATTTTGTTTCCAATCTTGATGAAACTTAAAATGTATGTTTGTATCCAAAAGATCTTGGTTCCTTTCGATATTCGTGCATACCAGACCGTAATTTCCTGGATTATGGCCCCGATTGTACCAAAAGTTGCATTTTTTTTAGGTTGTTCTCTATCCATCTCTTGCAAAATTTGGGGTATCTTGCATAGCAACCGCTTATTTGGGTGTTATGTTTGTTGGTCAGAAAATCGTATCATGTTGCTCTTACTCATTTGTTGGTACTACATGAGGCCCACAGTAAGAATGTTTCTTGTTCTAATGGGACGTATATTAATTACATCATAGTAAAGTTTGTTTAATAGTACAAGGGTCATGGTCTTTGAAGTTAAATAAGTTTTAGACAAGTGCGAGACTTTTAGGTTTGATTTTTTGCTGTTATACATTACTATGTTACTCAATTGTTAGGATGTTATGGTATCAATATTGAGATATTAAAGGAGAATAACAGCCATTCTAGATTGTTTATATTTCATTCATAATGTAACATTACTGGTACATTTATCCAACAATGCAGAAACCATTTCTCCTTTAATTTATAAATTAAGACAATATCGTTAGATGGTTTATTATCAGTCACTGTATGATATAATACCTACTTTCCATTGCTTTATTTATCACGAGTGGGGTGATAGTTTCCCAGATGTTAATTTGTACTTCAGATTCTGCATTGTGGAACAGTTTTAATACATTTGATTCTTTAAGACAAAACAATTTGCACTTCTTGAGGTTTTGCATGTGGAAACTATTTTAATGTACGTTAAACAATGAATAAAATATGAAGAATCTGCAATGGTTGGATTTCTCCTTTAATAAAAAATAACAATCTATCATAGTAGAATTTTGGCATTATATCCCTTTGAACTGCATATTCATCACCTTTTTGTAGACATATAAGTTAAATAAGATGAAACCTAAACCAACATATGGCCAGCCATCACACGATACACATTATCTGCTGGATGAAGATGCTTCTACAGATCGACCAATGAGAACACAGTTTGTACAAACACCTTTAGTTGAAGATATTGAAACAGATGGTATGCTAATATTTTCATTTCAATAAATTCAAAATCTCTCATAAATTTAAAAACAATTTGCATTGTCCTGTTTTGTATCCAATTAAGAGTTTAACTAACTAGTTGCTTCTAATTAAAACAATGACATTTCATTTATTTTTCGGTTGTTTGCCCCACTTCATCATGTTTCAAAAAACATTTTTCATTTGACTTGTTTATTATTCTGATTTGACTACACTCACTCCAGACCATTCTATCAATCAAAACCCTTTAATGCTTTGCTTATTCTGAGCACAAAAATATGAAGAATTGCTGTCTTCATCAGGTCTATTTAAACTGGTGGATGTTAACATTTGGGGAGAGAAAATACTATTTTCCACAACATTTCTGTGTTTTCAAAATCTCAGAATTATTATACCAGCCAGTAAGGATCAGGTGGTTTTTGACTTTAGATATTAATAGAACGAATATATCACCTATATTTGATATTGGCTGTTTAATAGTGATTTGTGAAGGGTTTTGGGTCAGATAATTTCCTTGGTTTGAGACTATGGTACATAAATATTAACGCATGTATTCAGTTACCAAACTGAACACATTTATGTCTATAATTTATGACACTACATGTACAAATTAATTTGACATGCAGGCCCCTATCGACAGTCAGTTTGTGAAATGATTTGACTTTCTGTATTATTGACGTTTAAGGTGTTGTTTGATTGTGATATTTATGAATCATAGAAATTTTATATTTTAAAATATCTATCTTGCTTTCAGAATATCTGCATGAACCTGAAGAAGTTCAGCCTAGATACATTCCCAAACCTGCTAGAAAAAAATATTCATCTCCTCCAGCAATGGAAGCTATAAATGAAAATTTTGGGCAGACCTATAATAAGCCTATTGTTCCACCTCTTTATTCTTATCAAGGTATTACTTTGTTTTAAAGGAGCTAAGTCTCTAACTCAGTATTTTCCATAATATTCAAAATTAAAAACAAGAATTAGAATTCAATGTTGATCAATTTCAATTAATATTGATGTGGTTATCTTGCCGTGAACTATAGGATCCTAATATCCAATATTCATGACACAATTAACATTTTATAATCAGTACATGAGCCGTGTACCTTATGGTTCAGGGCGCCATTTTGTAATGAACAAATAAAAACATATCCAACACAATGTGGAAGTAATTAGTTAAGGCTGGTTCACAAACAACAAATTAATAATTTATGTGTAAATAATAGTACATGTGTAGCATGTACTAAGCAGGCGTAAATGACTGCCATTCAATTTGAAATGTTCATGTAATTCACCGAACATAATTGATTAGAAATTACAATATTCTTTTCAAAAATTGAATATAAATTACTTTACATACATACATTCATATTACATTAATATGTGCTTTTAGAACCATTTTTGTCTATTTCAAGGTTCCAAAAAATAGAGCCATACACCCTTTAACTAAATAACTGATAATAATCAATGGTTGTTTTGGGTTTTTTTAACTTTTTATTTTTTTTTATTAATAGTGTTTAAGTTCTCCTCAGTGACCATTTTAATGGGAAGAAAACATCAATTATTTTCATTTTTGAATATGTTATTTACTTTATTTAGATGGTGGATATTATGAAGATGATGATGATGATGATGCTTTGTCAGTTTCTGTACGGTCTGTTACTTCCAGTTGCTCACTGGCCTCAGAAATATTGGAACGGACACGAGAACGCAGAAATAATTTTTGGAAATCCAGTAATGGGGTGGCAGCAAAGTGAAATGATTATTTTTTAACATTATATGTTGTTTGTTAGGAATATAAAAAGAAAAATCAAAAAAAAAAGAAAAAGAAAGAAGACATTAATTAAAAGCCTTATGCAAAAACATACAACAACTTATGTTTTCTCAGGATATCATTTGATAAGAAAATAGACATTTGGATTTCTAAATCATGGTGCCACAAGATAACTTTATCTCTATAAGACAAGCTAGTGCTGTATACATAGAATACTGGTTTTGCTGAATTTGTTATAGCAAACCAGGATAAAGATGAGTTTTCTATAAAAATATCAAAGGTAACATAAAAACATATATCACTATTTTAAAACTCAGATATAGGTGTATGGAATAAATGTTGTTTTGTGTGATGGTTTGAGTGGAATTTATTGCGTTCAGGAAAAGAACTCCTGGCTCCTGATGAAATTTATTTATTTATTTTTCTAAAAGGCATATCAAACATGACAATAGGGATGTGATATAATAGGGATGAGAGAGAGTGACGATGTCATGAATGATCAGCCTCTTGAGGATAACTCATAAAAATCTGCTTGAATTAAAACTAAGTTTATTTCCAATGGGGCTGGGAAAATAATTAATTGAAAGGATTGTAGTATGATATACATGATGTTAATTTGTATATTTTCCTTATGAATTTATCTTAAATTGGGTACATAATCTTTAGAGGATTGTTATATGATGTACATGTTAATTGGTATGTTTTACTTTATAAAATTATCTTGAAATAGGAATAGTCGATGTAAAAATACATAAACATTATTCTAGAATTCATTGTTCTTCTTAATACCTATTTACTTAATACCAGCGATAATTTTATTATGGATGGCTAGCTGTTATATTAGAGTAAAATTGATGAAATGAATCTGTTCGAACCTTTTCCTTGATATTAAGCCACATTTATATTGATTTTAGGTTTCATATTGATTTGTTAATTGTCTTACACTAAAATAGAATGATTTTAAAGAAATTAAAATTCCAATCTGAATCAACAAATATCAGTATATTAGCAACACTATTATTGAGATTTTAGTATAGTATGTACATTATATTTATAAGCATTCTGTGATAAGACAATATTTTTAGTGGATAAATTCGATGATTTATAAAGTTAGTATTTTAAAATTTTAAAATACAATTAATCCTTACACAAGTATTTTGATACTTAGTAATAGTCATCGTCAACTGACATGAATTACATAGACACTATTTAACAGCCATGCATTTTCGTATTTAATCATATTATTAGATAACTTGTATATTAGTTTATAGTTTTTTTTAATAAAGTTCATATACAAATGTGCTCTTAAAATATCATCACAATAAATCATTAACAACATAAAATACGTCTTTTATTTTATACCACCAGTTTCTGTATTTGGGCAAATTTTCATGGAAATTATAATATTCAGTTGTAATGGACAATGTCGATGTTGGTGTCAACCAATATTACATATTTGGTTAAACACATTCCAAATATAATTTTAACATGTAGATCTTTGAGACGGTTGATCCATAACATGCATTTGAAGAATCAGGAAGTGACGCAAAAAAATGAAGGCAGTTACCGTTATTGGCTGAAGTAGAGAGCAATAACAGGTACACAGACATTGTTCAGCTAACAGGAAATTCCTTTGAAGTTCAAGAGTTGTTATATGAGACTGTGAGAGGATATCTATTTGCAACGGACTATGCATAAGAAGAATTGACTGAAACAAGATCCGAGAAAGAACAAAAAAAAAAAATGGAAAAAATGTAGCAAAGATCTTAATGTTCCAATTATATTTGGAATGTGTTTAAAATTGGTGGATACTACCATTGCTCTTTAAGCCCAAGGCACATAATCTATGCTCTTTTGTCAAACTAGTTGTCATTTTGAGTTACCATTTAATAGGTTTTGTGGCTGCATAGAGCAAAACATTAAAAAATTACTGATGGTATTGGGCTATATCCTCACTGAATGATTGGTTTAGCAAGTTAACAATTAAATATTCGAATCCCAGTTCAAATTGAACATGACGGTCTTATGGATAAACATCACATAGGCCTATTGTCAACTAGTAGATTTGTTAAGTTTGACTGTGATGTAGAGAGAGGGGTAAAATCTTTTGCAGTTTTACACTACAAACTCTGGCCTATACAATGCACCCTATAAAAATTATTAGAGGAAATAAATTGGATCTTAGACTTCAAAGCAATTTTTTATCCTGGATTCTATCCATTAAGTTATTAAGTAGTTATGAATTAACCTATATAGGCTTGGCAGTTTGAACCCTGTGGGCCCCCTTTGTATAATATTTTTGACACTGTGATAATCCTTTCTTACACGCATTGTCGTCACCCTTGGCGTTGCTCAATTGTGTTCAATTGATGCTTATTTCACTTTATTTTCTTGTTATCTAAATTCTTTAGGATTATCAATATATTCTTTATAATTTAATGTATATAATGATGGTCCTGGTCGCAATATTTTAGCACTTCCTAAACACTCATCTTCATTATAGAACACAGCATATTGTCCTGGACATATGGCCCGCATCGGTCTTTCAAGGGAGACAATTAGGCCATTCCCACCAGTAAGGGTAGCAGTACATTTAACTAGTGGATGTATGTGTTGAAATCTAAAATATGCATCAAACATTTGGTCTTGATACAACAAACGGGGAGGATGGCGTATCCAATGAGGTTCTTCTGTGAAAAATGTTTGACAAAATAAAGCTGGATGATTTGTACCATGTGCCTGAAATGATATTACAATATCATTTAAAGATGCATTATGTAAGAGCTAAATTTGCCTATTGCAGGTCTTTATTTTGGCTTTAAATGTTATATAAACTATTATATAGACATTTATTTACATGACAGGCCTATTTAATGATTTAATTTAAAAAAGGTGAATCAAGACTTAGTCTTCATTAACAAGTACCGTTTCTACGATAATAAACAATCTACATGTATGCCACATCTTGTCAAAACTTCAAACAGTGATAACTTTACTCAGAATAAAATAAGTTGAATGAAAGTTTCAGTATATTCATTTTGCATTATCTTTTTTTGAACTATTATAGCAAGAACATCCAGCTCTTCGGGAAGCGGACACACTAGTTGAATAAAATTTGGTCAAATATATCCATCGTGTTTGATTCTGGCGAATCATTCAGCCAAATGACAGTGCACACACTAGGCGAATTTCGCCGCCGACTGATTCGGCAGAATCATTCGGCTAGTGCGTCCACTGCTTAAGGCATGGAAAATTAGATGTAAGAAAAATACAAGCAAGAACGCAAGAATTTACAATAGAAGATGGAATGAGACTATCTCACTATTTAGCCAAACAGAAAGGAATGTTTTATTATTTTGTAGTGAATTAGATTTTCTTACCACAAATATGTCATTAGTTAAAGAATTTATATCTATTATAAAATAAGGCTGTGTACAACCAGCTAAAGATGCTCTCTGTCCTCGAGTCCAGTAGTGAACACCTGCCAAAAACATTTCAAATATTATCAACAATAGTATTATTTGTATTAGATGTGATCAAGAATGATTTGCCATTCTCACTTCGATCTTATCTCAATTATTTTTCCTACAAGATAAATATTTTAGTTTGGCAAACATTTTTATGGCATAAAATTTCTGACATAGAATCAGTAAAGGGATTACACTCAATCATAACAGGCTGACAAATATAATGATCTAATGTGGTACTGGACCTTCTCAAAGTGCACATATATATGTATTCAATAAACAGCTTGGTTGTAAACAGACTATTTTGAATTAAGTAAAACCACAATATACATTATTTAGTCTATTTAATAGACTCACCAAATGTTATATTTATATTTATGACTTCATGTAAGTTAATATTTCAAATAGAATATAAATATTTACCTTTATGTTTGCCTACTTCTTTACCAGTTTCTAAATCTCTGAATACTCCTTCTTTTGGTTCAATATACTGAAGTTATATATAAAATTGTTTGAGATCAGGTAGATCTGCAGACATATAATAAAATGAATATTTCAATAATATAACAGTTTATCGTGCAAACATGGTCATTAAATAAATGTTCTTATTTGCGACTCTAGAGAGAGTAGGATTTAAGTTTAAATTATATACTATGGTATATTAATATTAAAATCACATTAAGTGAATACTTTTTCAAGTCTGTATAATGGAAAGATTAAGGCTTAAAAAAGTTAGATATTTTTCGAAAAATGCAAGAAGTTACAATAGGCTTTAATCCTCTACACCTTCATAATATGTTATGGCTTATAAAAACAATCCTGGGAAGATATCAATTCATGTTACCTACCTCTTCTATAAAATGGTGAAAATTTCGTGAACCTATAAAACACATACCCATACTCTACAAAATAACCAAAAATAAAGATAGGTTGCTAGTCAATGAAACACACATTTGCAGCAATTAAGTCTTCTAAAGTTGGCACATTGTGATCTTTTTTATAGATAACTAGGGCAAAAGCAATCTGATTAAAACACAGATCCAATTTCGTTTCGTTTTTATAGTTCAAAATTTTGATTTTACTTGTCTATCGAAATTATAAAAAACGAAACGAAATATAGATTTATATTTTAATTAGATTGAGCAAAAGGGGTCCACAGGTAGCGGATCTTACTCTTTTGCTATTGTAAGGCTTGACATTATAGAAGCTCTTATAATTTAATCTCGCCTGTGGATGATCAGATTTTTCCATGTGATCAAGGACAATAATGCTTAAATAAGCATTATGTATAATTTTAATTAAATAGCTGACTGTTCTTGGCTGTAATAGTTCAAAATAGATGATGAAAAATACATATATTGAAAATTTCAGTCAAATTACTTTATTCTCGGCAAAATTATGAGTATTTGAAGTTTTTACAAGATGTAGCGTTAGTTAATCCTAAATTGTCAAATCTCAATTGTCAAGTATCATTGTACGATAAAAAACAAAGTATCGATTATCCAATTTAATGTATATCATGAAACATTATAATTTATTGTGTATTATGTAAAGATTATAATTTATTGTAAAATCATAATTTATTCTATATTATGTAAAGATTGTAATTTATTGTACATCATGTAAAAATTATAATTTATTCTATATAATTCCCTAATTGTATTAAACATACACTATGCAAGAGCTAAATCTGCCTATTGCAGGTCTTTCTTTGGGCATGAAATGTTATATAAACTATTAAATAGACATTTATTAACAAAACAAGACCATAATCGACTCTCGATGGCATCAAATACTCGAGATTTTAACTAGATTAAAACGGTTCGCCATTTAAAAATTTAATTTGAAAATGGGAAAGCGAGGCTAAGTCCTGATTATACCAGTGCCCAGGGGCCTGTTTCACGAAATTTTAACTAAGATAAAATCCAGATTTTAGTAATTTGATTGGATAATATTAGGTTGATTTTAGCGCTTAGCCAATCAAAATTGAAGTATCTACTAAAATTTGGATTTTATCTTTAGTTAAAATTTCGAGAAACAGGACCTTGGTTACCACTGTGCACACATCTTGTCAAAACAACAAACAATGATAACTTGGCTGAGAATGAAGTAATTTGAATGAAATTTTCAAAATTTTCTTTTTTTATCATCTATTTTTGAATTATTATAGCAAGAATTACCAACTCTTTATTAAACTCTTAACTAATGTATCTTTAAGGTTATGAGAGTTTTTCATTTTCCATATGGTCTTCATTTCAGTAGACAGAGATGCCAGATGGTAATGATCTTGACATGCTTTACCAAAGAACTCAGCCACTGCAAGCAATCATAAATGTCCCATAGCCCATGCTAAAAAATTTATTCCATACCTCCTTTTTCTTAGCTATTTTTTCCAGACCAGCTTCCAGAGCTATTTTACGTACATAATGTTTACTGAGATCCCCTATAGGAAATATAGTTTTTTTTAATCCATTCTGTGAAATTTGACATAAGAAAAATGTTTGATCTTTCACACTGTCTGCAGCTGTTAATAATTTTACACCTGAAAGAAGAGTATTATTATGGAAACTTACAGAATCATTCATTGAAATGTAAAAGATACCAAAATCGAAGTAGAACAAGAATTAAAAATTAATAAGTATTTTAACTTCTTACATAAACAAACAAGAAATCAGGTTTTTAAGAAAGTGTTGTTGAAAGATAAAGAAGCAGGCTGGGAAATCAGCCTCACTGGTTTAAAACTCTTTCAAAATGATTTCATACTTTTTTTTCAAATATTTGAGAATATCATACCTTTCTTTTCATCAACTGTATCTAAATCATATCCAATGTCAGTTCTGGCATAATGTCCAGTAGCAATGGCATCTCCATTCAACTTCTCCAAAGCATATTTTTGAAATAAATTAAATTTTATATGTTTATTGCACATTATGTCAGGGTTCGGAGTCTGACCTTTTTGATAGTCCTTTAACAGTTCACTGTAAATACAAAAACAAAACAAAAAACAATTGTGATTCAAGAAAAACCGATACAAAGTTATCCACTTATTTGATTTTTCCAGACTACATCCTACTTAATTTCAAGTAAGCATTTCAAATTCATAAAAATCATCTCTGTTCCTAGAATATTATTTTTCCATACATAACTCAGATTCGGGCAAGCCATGCTATCCAGAAAACATTGATTTGGGAAATTTATTCATTCATTTATTACTTTAGATTTCAAAATACACAGTTTTATTATATGTCAAAATCGCTTATCACCTAAAAACATCATTCCAGTATTGTTTGATAAAGTTAACTTCATGTAGAGGTATATCAAGATGACGACAGATATATTTAGCATCTTCAAGATCAAGATCAGCCTGACATTCACCCTTCTCATTGACTGAATCCCAGTTTCTCATAAATAAACCTGTTACTTCATATCCTAAAAATTAAAATACAAAAATGAACAGTTATTACACCCTAATAAATGTTATCATATCTTAATAAAATTTAATTGTAATGTTATGTAATATTGCTATAATAATATCACATACAATTTGGCCTTTTTAATTGTGTAGTCTTAACAAATAGGCTACCAGATTAGAGCTCTAATATGTAGACACAAATATTATAAACAGGTAGTGCTTATCAAATTTATAAATAGATAACAGATGTGCATAAGAACTAATTGTGATAATGGTATAAATTAGTATTATATTGTATATATAGTAAATGGAAAGGGATATTTAACATCTTGGTAACATTATATATAGGCCATATATTACATGTAGGTTATTTTGAGAATAATATATGGTTATTTTTATTACATATGGTAAGCGTAAGTGTACTGCAATGCAAATTGGAGGATACTTTGATTCTGACAATGACATTTTTGACTATAACATACTCTTTCTCCTGTAGTCTCTTTTCTAACAACCATATGGGCTCTTTTACGTACAAGCCTATAGAATTTTTAATGACATGATGTTATAACATCCTACTTTTCTGCTCCTTCCCGGCTAATGAAGATGGGCATACAGTGTGATATGATGGTTATTTGTCTGGACAATTTACAGTGTTACAAGTTACAGCCTAGCTACTCCTATTTCGAATTCAAGCTGCCAAGGGTTAATTTCATTTTAAACTTGCACGTCTGTAGACCTTGAGATTTTTTTGGCCATTCCGAATTCGGCACATTTCTTTGACAGCTGGGTGCTCCGTCCTGCACTACTGACAAGAGGAAAATCCCAAGGAACTACACATGGATCACCAGTAGTACTTAAAAAATGTCGCTGAACCATTGCGTCTCCCAAACTTTTAGTGTTATACAAGGCTAGTGCACAATATATCGCATGCCAGGCAACATTCAGCTCATAATTCCCGTGACCACTGCTACAGGAAAGATGGCACCTCGCAATTGAACTACCACCAGGCCTATTTATGAGTGGATAAACATAGTAAATGTGATCAATAACAATTGACGAATTCAGCGGAATTGTCGTGAAATTGAAATTTCAATATACTAATTCTTGCCTCTTTTCTTTAAAATCAGTGCTGTAACAGCACTGTCCACACCACCTGACATTCCGCAAACAACTTTACGTATCATTCTTTCACATTCGATTTGATAATCATGAAACTTTTTCAAAAATCAAAGTGAAACAACACAGCTTTTCTATCCCTAATTTCAGTGTTACCACCTTCAACTTTCGGTTTGTTGACCCTCTCATTGATTGGTCTCTAAAAATAGTGTCCAATGACAAAACCAGTGAATAGTCTCTGTTATCAGGACTGGCGTCAAATATACGACTGGAATAACAAGACTATCCCGGTCACTTCCTGTCTCGACTGTTTCTCAATCTAAATTGGTTGTTTGCAGATAATTCTCCAGATTTTTTATTTTGATGTCGAAGATGAACGAAAGCAGCGATGGTGATGTCAGTAAACAAGACATTCATCTGCTGCTGGAACATTTCTCGAAATCAACTCATAAAGTACGAACTGGAGACATGAAGGTAAATTTGTCGAAAATTGCATTGTTTTGACACACCTCCACTTTACTTCAGAATCAGAATCATTCAATCAGAGGCCAATGACACTTACTAACTGTACACTGTTGTTTACATTTCATCACCACATGATGTCCTGATCATGGGGTCTCATTGATTTAATTTATATGTCAGGATCTCGTTTATTTGATTAAATCTGAAAATCTCGTCCATTTTAGAAGATAATTACAGGACAATATTGGTGTCGGCCATTAGGCTGTGATAGAACTGGTTAAATTAACTTTTAAAAACAAATTCCAAATGTGATTTCACAGACGACCAAAACTTAGTAGTTCAAAAGCTCTTAACACTGAACTTACTACCAAGTTGATTATAATCCATTGCACAATATGAAAATATTACTAAAAATGTATTCCTTTTTAAAAGCCATACGGTATATTCCCTTGAACATAGTTCATAAATTTTCATCTAACTTTCAGTAGGGATGGAACATAAACAACATTAATTATCAATACCATTTCTTTAAAAACAAAATATGCCAAAGCAAAAATAAACGAAATCCATAGTAATTTTCCACTTCTGTTTATCATAAATCCTTCCTCTCATAATTGTTAATTGTGCAGCCTAATTTGAAGATCGATACCAATTCGTGAACTAAAACTTATTGTTGCATTGACTGAGATCAATGATGAAATGGTGTGCAGCTAATTCCTTATTGTTCTGTGATCAGGTTGTTAATTGTACTTTTAAAAAAAATATTCTTTTTCAGGGTGACACTGTAATGGAAACATGTTTGATGCTAATGGCTAAAGATTATAAATATTCCGTAAGTTATTTTTCTCTCTTTATGGATTTGTATATAAAACCAATTTTGTAGTTTTAATTTTGATACTATCAATTATGTCAGCATTAAAATTTGTAATCTATATATGTATAGAAATGATGCATTGAAAGTACATGTATTTGTAACACAATGTAAGTTCAATGAATTAATGTCACCAAGTTTATATGAGTTAGATTTTTATTGAATTTTATGATGTTTTCTTTTTTTTAATTTTGTTAAGGTTGTACAAAATTTTAGTGGAGAATTATGTGGTCAGTATCCCCATAAATTAATTTTGTTAGAATATGAACTAAGAGAAGGTGATGATGCCAATACGAGCAATGAGTAAGTAGATATTTAAGCATCAAGCTTTATTTTGCAACATCCTTTTATACTAATTATTTATTTACAAAATTTATATCCTATTACATTAAGTACCGGTAATGAATAAGGAAGTTGAATAAAAATGATCTATACTATGACACAAAATGGGTCGATTTTCTACTCAAAATTTCATTTTTGTAAATTATGAATTTTTAAATAAATTTATAATTTTTTAAATCTCTATAAATTTACAGTAGTATTTTAATTTTAATGAGTCAATTTTCTACTCTAATATTAATTACATTGTTGTTAAAAATGAATTTTATCAGTAGTATTTTAATGGCTTTGAGGTGTCCATGTTCATTGTAAAATAACACAAAGACATTACACAGCAGGTACATATACACATGATTTAGACCTGAATTTGTTGTTAGGGACTGGGGTCGCCTGTCCAACCTCTTGGTTTTTTCTCTGAGTCTTCCGGTTTCTTCCCACTGCTAAATTATTAGAATAAAATTAAACTATGCGTTAGTCCGAAATGAATAAATTAAAGAGGCATTATGTAAGATTTAGATATAGAACTCGCTGTTCTTGCTATTATAGTTTAGCAATAGATACTGAAAAATTAAATAGAAAAGTTCATTCAAATTACTTTATTCTGAGTGTAGTTTGTTCATTATTATGGCAATGGTACTTGACAATCCAGTCTTCGTCTCAACTATCCATTTTATTGTTAAATTCTTAAATCTCGCAGGTGTTCTAATCCATTTGAATCTCATCCGTCCAATTGTCTAGAGAGTTGATTATAGGCTTGTCATGTGAATAAATGTCTAAAAAATAGTTTATATTATAACATTTGAAGCGAAAATAAAGACCTGTAATAGGCAGATTTAGCTTTTACATAATGCATCTTTAACTCATAATGATAATTTTATTTATTATAGTTTACAGAGTATATATGATATGGACAAATTAAGAGAAGTAATGAAACAAGCCAGATTTGCCAGGTGTAGGTCTCGTTTTGTTGTACCTGTCATTTTATATGAGGGCAAGGTAATATTTTTGTTTTCTTTTTGATCCAACAACAGTTTACGTACGTACATGTACCTATAGTAATATGTTTTGTTTATTTAAGCATTTTCAAGCTCATTTTATTTATGCTTTTCATATATTTTATAACTATATCGTTGATAGACTATGCAATACAATCATGAAGATACTTTTATTGAATTGTGTATCCCAAATTATATTTTACAGCATATTTGTAGATCAGCAACTCTCTCAAGTGGTCCAGAAATGTACGGAAGAACAGGATTTGATTTTTTATTCTCAAGTATGTATAAATTAATTATGTCAACTATCCCCATTGCTATTCTATATAATTGTCATCCCTGACCCTATCAGTCTGTCAACATTATTGAGTGTGGTGAAATTGAATTATTGGAGAGTTCTTCCGTTTCTGTTTAAAAGGCTAATAATAGCATTTACCGGTATATACATGTACATAGGTGTCTATAGTTTATCTTGTCTCTTCAAGACATGCAGAAATTGACAATGTACAGAAAACCATTGCTTACTAAGAATTTCAACAAGTTGAAATGCAACTTTCAAACTCTCCTTCATACATATATAGTATTATATTGATTAAACATGCATTATGCAAGAGCAAAATCTGCTTATTACAAGTCTTTCTTTAGGCCTTTAATGTTATCTAAATTATCAATTAGACATTAATTAACTTATCCAGACCATAATAAACTCTCGATGTCAAGGCTAGCCTTCGATGTTGGCTGGATTAGATTCCTATATGCCGCATAACGGCCATTGATAATTAAATCAAAACAGTGGATAATCGAGACTATGCTGTTTATATTAATGATTTTAGTAATGATGACCGAGACTATGCAAAAATTTCACCCGCTTCGTTCTCGGCTCATAGTGGATCAATTTGGCTGAAATTTTCAGCAAATTACCTTTACACTATCTAGTTTTTAACTATTATAGCGAGAACTGCCATCTCTTTATCTTATCTCCCATAATGTATCTTTAAGTAGTAAACCTCATTCATTTAAACACTAACAATGTTACACAATTATAGACTATATACTGATTCTAACACAGTTATAGACTATACTGATTCTAACACAATTATAGACTATACTGATCAATTCTAACACAATTGTTGTTACTTCCTAATAAAGTATTAACAAATAATTCAGTCTCTTTCAGTACTAACAAATCAGCTTCTTTTCTATTCAAGGTGGAGAAACTATACCAAATGGTGCTAATGGGGGGGATCAAAGGTTGGTACATTTGCTTTCCTAAGATTTATTTTATTAACTCTTTCACTGCCCAGGCCTTTTAAAGAAACTAGACATAAATTGACTAGGTTTTTCAACCATCTGTAATAAGATTCACGTTCACTCTCATTATCCAACAGAAAATAAATCGGCTACTTCTTTCACAGAGAAATAATCCTGTTTGCATTTTGCAGCCATCTTCACTGAACAATAGAAATTGTAAACAATGCACAATTGAAAATCCCCATTGACGTTGACTAAATAAACAAGCCACGCGGGAATGACGCCACATAGGAATGACATCAATGGTACACATCGCCTTATTCACTAGGTCGTACATCTACAAACTTACCAATTTACAACTAATAAATTTTGATCGTGCATGTACGTTCTTAGCATTGAAAGAATTAAGTCCAACTTGATAGTTGATTATTGTTCAAACTGATAGTTAATCTTTTTGGAACATGGACTACCATGGTTCCTGGAAAAATTTAGAGAAAGACGATGTTTTTATCTCAAAACTACTATTAAAAATTAACATCCCATGAAATAATTAAATGATCCTGTGTAATCATTATATGATTAGTACAATGCAAAATATTATGAAAACTTGATAGATTACTAAATTTATTACAATGTAGCAGCATTGTTGAAATATTTCATGCTCAGAAATTTAGTAATTACACAATTGTATAACTACTCATTTACTGATATTGTGTTTCCATAAAATTATGCCTTGTGATAATTTGTTCAATTACAAATGATATTATCTGGGAATTTCTAAAAAAAAATTGTTAGGCCAATTTAGATATATGCATAAACTACATCGACAATTAGTATATTGCAATTTTTATTTTTATTTATTTTCAGTGAACAATTATTTGATAGATATCGGGGACATGATATTAGGCTATTAAAAGAATTATCTGTAGGATATATTTGTGATCTCATGGTGGAGAAGAAAAAAGTAAAGTTTGGAATGAAGTAAGTTTAATTTCTTTATAATTACAAGAATTAATATAGATGTTCTCCTCAAAAAGACATGTGCCAAGCTTTTTCACAGCATTAATGCGAAAGCTTTCTTTTAACACTACACAATATGACTGACATTTTAAGATCATACCCAGTGTAGTTTTCTTCATGTGACAGCAAATCATTATATGGATTTGATAACATGTACATTGTTTATATCCCACATATAATCATTTTTGAAAGAATTTTAGAATTCAATTTGCAGAAGAAAATGATTAACTAATTAACTCGGCCCAATGTCATCCCTTTCAGTGATATTGGCTACCAAGCAAATATTTACTGCTGATCATATTGAACATGTGTATCGGGTCAAGGAATGGTTCTGTAGTGGTACCATGTTATTACGTGCCAATCCATCGTCTCTCAATTGGTAATCGTTATACCCCTCAGCTAGTTGACATTTTGCTAAATATCACCTATTTACCAAAATTGGGTTGTGAAATTAATGTCCGAATTCAGTATCGCAACACAATTTAACACCTGTATAGACACAGTTATTATTCTTGGGCATTTTTTAAAATTTATGTACCGGTATGACATTGGCAAAATAATGGTTTAAAGACAAAAAATACTTGGTTGTTCTTCTCAAAATTTATTTAGTTGAATGCTTTGAAATCTTAAACCTCAAGTGGCTGTGTATTTATCAAAATCCAGAAGATTTAAATATTAAATTGCCTTGCCCCCTGGAATTCATTTTTAGTTGCTGTAATTATTTGCTCTAGGATATGTTTTTTTTTATTGGTATTAAACTGGGAAATGAGCCATGGACTTACATAATTCACAAAATCAACATTGACATTAAACATGCATTATGCAAGAGCTAAATCTGGCTATTGCAGGTCTTTGTTTAGGCTTGAAATGTTATATTAATTATTAATTTCCTGACACTTGAATTTTGATTACAGCATTACATCATCTGAAAAGGTTGATAAAGAGAATCGTTATTCCGATTTTACCATTTTATCAGTTCCATATCCAGGTTAGTCTATTTGATGTTTTTGTATGGATGTGCATGGTTTAAAGTCATGAAATTTTACACAGATTCTACGGGGGGTGCAATACCTGTTTATTACTCAGTGATGTTTCGACTAGGTGTCTCTAGTCTTTTGTTACAAAATGTACCTTCTGTTCTTAAAATATCAATATAGTGGCTTAAAAAAAGACAAATTTTATTGTATAAAATCTTTCAACATTGTATTGTGCATTTCCACTCCTTTTGACAACTGAGATCCCATCGCAGTTGAAGATCGCGTCCCAGTGGAAAGATGTTATATTTGACTATTAATCACAATCACATGATCTGGAGTTATGATTTCCATACCCCAAAAAACATACATATAGTAAATTAAAAAATCGTTTTCGTTGCACACTAATGTATTATAATTATGATTTATTAAACCCTATTTAGTTCTATTCAATGAGCATATCGTGACATATATATGAGCAGCAAGTTTCTTTCCAATTATTGACATACTGTATGAATATTAATAAGACTAAATATGTTTGTAGGTTGTGAGTTTTTTAAAGAATGGAAAGATAAATATTTTACAGGAGAAGCTATACAGTATGATTGGAATCAGGTACAATATAAATCATCCATGTTTTTTTGTCTTACAAAATAGTTAAATGTGAAATATGATACTTGATAATTTAATTCAGGCATTTTGAAGGTTATAGCTGTTTTAATGTTATTTTGCAGGGTTTCAATGATGCATTATTAGATATTCCCAGTACCCCATTACTCTCTCAGTTACCTATAGACTGGAAGAAATACAGGGTAAGCATAATCTTTAAGAATATTATAATCTTAGTACATGTATTATAGATTCTTCAAAAAAAATAGGGGATATTGTACGGTTGATTAGGAGCATGCCACGACGAATGGCTGAATGTCTGAGGATTGGTGGAGCAATTACTCATTATTAAGACAAAAAAAAAAAAAAACGTCCATTTTCACTTTTGACAGTGTATCTCTTTGCGAGTGAAATGGGGCCTGTCAGATAAGCTGCCCATATGAACTGTTTATGTTCATTTGTAGGCAACTGGCCTGTTATTAACATACACTGGTTACCTCTAATAAAAACAGCAGTGCATTTCTGCAGTTTTGTATTGTTTCTAAATATCCCCTACTTTTTTTGAAGAGTATAGATTCTTCAAAGTCAATCTATTTGAAGTGTTAGTAAGGAAATAAAGCTTGATTCTATAATTAAAAACTAATGGACATCATCTTTTGGCAAATTTTGAAATAGAAAGAAATATTGAAGAAAATTGATATATTTGATATATTATATATATGTAAACAAAATTATATATACCATTTCATATATTTTATTTTTCAGGATTGGGACTTAGTTCAACTTACCCAAAATTACTTAAAACTTTTATTACATTTAGTTACACACGGTTTGTTTTAATTTAATATTTTTGGTAAAGTTATTTGTGTATATATGCAAGTCATAATTTCTTATTATCAAATTATTATTATCTGAATTTTGTTAGTTTATCCAGCCATACAAATGAGAGGCATCTTGTACATGATACCAGTTTTGTGACACTAACATCAAGTCTGATTGTGAATATTTTGCTTTTAGGTGATAAAGGTTTATTGGTACATTGTATATCTGGTTGGGATAGAACACCATTATTTGTATCATTATTGCGTTTAACACTGTGGGCCGATGGTATTATACACAGATCATTAAAACCAGCTGAAATATTATATTTAACATTAGGTTATGACTGGTATTTATTTGGGTAAGTATCAGACTTATAATGTCTAGTTCTTTCAACCCAATAAATCAGAGAATTATGATGATTGCAGTTGTTCCCTGAAGCAATTATTGTGTAGCCAGAATGTTTTCAAATGTAGTCAAACTTGTGAGTTTTAATACTTTCAAGTATATTCTGGTGATTATCTCCCCTTTGACTGTATGTTAAATTTATTCCACCTATATATAGTGTTGTGGGATTAATTGTTATTTGAATATGATATTATCTCCCCTTTGACTACATATCTCATTCTAACTACACAATAATATAGAATGTTTAGCTTAATACATACAAAGTATTTCTTGAACACGTTATAAACCCAATAATTAATATAATTATTCTAGTTAATTAAACATGCATTATGCAAGAGCTAAATCTGCCTATTGCAGGTCTTTCTTTAGGCCTGAAATGTTTTCTAAAGTATTAATTAGACATTAATTAACTGATCCAGGCCTTAATCAACTCTCGATGGCGTCAGATTTCTCCGATATTAAATAGATTAGAATGGTTCAGCGATACTTTGATTTAATCAAATATTAGGGTGACCCACCATAAATAAATATCTCCATATATCTCGACAATTACGCCACAATATTTATATATATGCCAAGCCTCAAATCAGTTTCACACAATTATAGTCACTAAATAAACGATCTTGTTGTACTTAATAAGCTATGACTATTAATCATGTATAAATAATAGAAATAAGCACGTTAGGTAGCTCAACAATCGTTTTAAGAAGCTTGTAAAAGTAAAATGAAACTACTGCTAGTATCATGTTCCTGTCTAACCCGAGTGTTTCTGAGATATTATTTGTACTAAACCAAAAGATGCCGCTCTTAACGGTACAGTTAATGATAAAGCAATTTAAAAAATGAAACGAACGTAATTTCTAAATCTGCTGTAATAACCAAGAAGCTTAATTTAACTGCTATTCAAAATCGTCAACAATAAATTTTTTACGGCTGTAATAGTTGATAGATTTGTAGAGAATTGCACGTGCCATGGCTATTTATAGTATCATACTGTCAGAAAGTTGGTCTCGGCACGGCGAATGTGCACGCTTCAGTGGTAGTCTCGAACTATCAGCGGTGGACTGTATTTCTGTGAGTACATGGGTCACCCTACAAATATGGAGGACCGAGACTTAGCTTCGATCAACCAGTACGGTGGTTGAAATTATTGCACACGTCTGTCAAACCTTCAAAGGCTAATATCTTCGCTTGCAATAGAGTAATTTGAATGAAATTTTCAAGTTATTCATTTTACATCATCTACTTTCGAACTATTATAGCAAGAATGGCTAGTTCTTTATCTAAATCTTACATAATGTATCTTTAATTAATTAATTAAAAATAATAGGGCCAAATTTGTTGATGATTTTCCTCCCACAGTTTTATTTTACTTCTGATCTATGTATTGTAAGTTTTGTTTCTGTCTTTTTTTAGTCACAATTTATCTGATAGACTTAGCAAAGGAGAGGAGGTAAGTCGTATGGGAAGTAATACCTATAATTTCTATTTCTTTTGAAATTACATTTTCTTACTTATAACCCTAAAAGTGTGTTCAAAGCACTGATAATATGTAAAAAGTTCTTTACCCAAACACAATGAAAGTCCATCCGAGACTTTCCCTTTCCATATGAAATAACCTAAAGAATATTATTTGCATTTGTGCCTGTGACAAAATTTATACTTATTTTTACATCAACTTCAAATGTCTTTATCTTTCAGATTTTATCATTTTGTTTTACATTTTTACGTTATATTGGTTCAGAAGAATTCTCTGTTATAAAGAGAAGGTAATCATATTCTCCATTCTTTACCATTTGATAATTATTACCATAAATCAGTCGCCAGTATCTAAATAATAATAATAATAATGATATTTGTATCGCGCAACTATTCAATCCACTAGGGAATGTGCTAGGTGCTAGAAAATGTTCTCACTTTGGAGTGTTAATGATAGTGACTAAATAACCAAGTTTTCACTTTGGATTTAAAAACTACACAGATTCGCATTGTCAAATATTTTCTGGAAGTGTATTTCAAACAATTGATGCCCTGTATGGAAAAGTTCTTTATACAAGTTTCAAGTATCTCTTGTTCCAAACTATTTCAAGGTCAGTCTATTTGTTATTCTCTCATTTTAAATTCTTACAGACGACGAACTTCAACCAAAGTTTTAAACCCAGATGTGATAAGTGAAAGGCGACAAGCAATGAGAGCCAATTCAGAATCTAGCATTCCAATAGATGCTGTACTATTAGGTAGTTTGATATTTAGTTTTCATCAATACATTTTCATTTTATAAATTTAAAACATTAAAGATACATTATGGGAGATTTTAATAGAGAGTTGGCCATTCTTGCTATAACAGTTCAAAAGAAGATGATGAAAGAAGAATATATTGAAAAATTCAGTCCAATTACTTTATTCTGAACATAGTTATCATCGTTGTAATATTTGCCTAGAAATGGTAGCGAAGTGTGTCTTCACCTTCGCCGGTCGTTTGATTGACAGGCGTTAACTCCACCTACATATCTCGATTATCAAGTAAAGTTTTCAATGGCATACGGAAACGCTTTACAGCGGCCTCGCTAAGTACACTCTATCATTTAGCCTCGATCTAACTGACGTATTTTCATCAGGTTACCCCTTATCTGATTTAATCAATTAGTGAAATCCTATTTAAATCCGAGCTGTAGCCGAGCCATCCGTGGGTCTACAGAGTTGATTTTGGTCTTGTTGTTTAAATAAAGATCTAATTTATAATTTCTATAACATCTGAAGCCTAAATTAAGACTTGCAATAATCAGATTTAGCTCTTGCATAATGCATGTTTAACTGCCAGTTAATTGACATTCTTCACATTCTGTCATTTCCAGACATAGATCAGAGTCAACTGTTTTTAAGCTTCAGATTTGAATGTATATCAAGACCTCTCCAATAAGGCAACAAAACAAATATACATTATCAGTTTTAGCAGTTGAAATGATATCAAAGAATGTTGAGTGAAATGTATTTAGATTTATGTACACAATTAGATAAAGTCTTGTCATTATATTTTCAGAGACAGATGCAGCTCACAGTTTACGAGGTAGTAATGCTAGTATTAGTAGTGTTAGTAGTGCAGAGATGGGACCAGTTACATTTACTGTAGGTCAAGATGATGAAAACTTAATATCGTTTGGGTAAGTTAAGATAAAAACTTAATATCTTTAGGGTAAGTTGAAATGATGATAACTTTAGGTTAAGTACTGCAGGTTAAGGTGATGATAACTTTAGTGAAAGTACTGTAGGTTAAAATGATGATAACTTTAGTGAAAGTACTGCAGTTTAAGATGATAACCTTGGGGAAAGTACTGTAGGTTAAGATGATGATAACTTTAGGGAAAGTACTGTAGGTTAAGATGATGATAACTTTAGTGAAAGTACTGTAGGTTAAGATGATGATAACATTAGGGAAAGTACTGTAGGTTAAGATGATGATAACTTTAGTGAAAGTACTGTAGGTTAAGATGATGATAACTTTAGTGAAAGTACTGTAGGTTAATATGATGACAACTTTAGCAAAAGCACTGTATGTTAAGATGATGATAACTTTAGTGAAAGTACTGTAGGTTAAGATGATGATAACTTTAAGGAAAGTACTGTAGGTTAAGATGATGATAACTTTAGGGAAAGTACTGTAGGTTAAGATGATGATAACTTTAGGGTAAGTACTGTAGGTTAAGATGATGATAACTTTATGGAAAGTGCTGTAGGTTAAGATGATAATAACTTTAGGAAAAGTACTGTATGTAAAGATGATAATTTTAGGGAAAGCGCTGTAGGTTAAGATGATGATAACTTTACAGAAAGTACTGTACGTAGGTTAAGATGATGATGTTTAAGTTATGTAAAAATACAGTACTGGAATGGAAACGACTAGCGCATGTACTATAAAAATGAAAGGAAAGGGGTTAAACATCACATCCACACAATTGTTTGATCAATTTGAGAAAATGTATTTTAATTATAGGTTCTATATTTGGGTCCTAGAAACTGACACAAATGGGTCGCAACGCATACAATAATGTAATATGATGAATGTATATAAATTGATTTACATTCAATCGTTTTTGTTTTTACTGTAATTATTAATCAGTTAGGTTCGCGAAATACGCCAGTATTCTCAATCGAATTTCAATCTCTAGCGTCTGGTTATTCCAGTCTACGCCGATAGTATTTATTGGGCATGCTCTCCAGATAAGAATATAGTGTCACCGTTTGACATGACTTGTGGTATATGCCTAGCCTCGTTTTTCGAGTCCCTTATTACAAATAGCGCTGAAACGCATTATGGTACACTATTTGTGTACCAATTGTAAAATGTTTATTTTGTCTTAAATATTGGATATCAGAAGGCCATCTTTTCCCGGTAAGATCACAACATCAATGTTGATTTAAACCGACAAATAAATCGTGTTTTCAATGTCGAAGATTTTGGATGATATTGAGTTAGAGACTTAGCTACTTTAAGTGTTTAATGTATGGTGGATGGAGAATATTGCCAGAATAGTGGCATTGCTGCCATCATTTCTTTGCAATCAAGTGGGTCGTTTTCATTCACAACTTAATCGTACATCAGATTAAGCTTGTTGTATTATAACAGCTCATTGATGTGGTGTTGATCAATAGTGACATAAAGGGTTTAAAAATTATAATGATATATTCCAGATAGTCAGTTTTGTTCACTGTTTTTTATTTGTCTTTTTCAGAGACGAAATACCAAAACCAATAAATATAAATAGATGTCGAGCTACTAATTCTCCATTAGCTTCTTGTAGTTCTCCTCATAGTACAGGTTCATCAGATAATAGTTTTCATTCTCATGGTAACCATTTTAGTACATCATCATCTAGTCCAATGGCTGTTCCTGCTTTACATCGATATTCTGATGCAACAAGAGCATGTTCGCCAGGTTATGGCAGGTTTGTAGTAATGAAATTTGTAATAATAAATTGTAATGTAATATATATTAATTAATAGAGCTCCAGAAATCCAAAAGAAAACAAACACAAAATATAAATAAATCCAAACTGATACACAAATCGTAATTTCAAGGATATTTATTCATGCAGATCAATGCAAATGTACTGAATTTATTAGGAAGACAGAGGAGATTCATGAACACTGTAACCTAACCTAACACATTATAAATGTTGTCAAATAAAAGCTGGTTAAATACATAGAAAAATTAATAAAATGACGAAGCAGTTATTGTTACTTAATTGAATGATTTAAAACTAAGAAAGTCAATATATAAATGTCAATAACCATGTTGAAAACAACATGATTTTTAATAAATTACATATGCTTGTATAATCTAGCTATCAATTCCCTGTCATGGTACAATATATGACTTTCTGTTTATTTTCTAGTTGGCAGATTATATCTAGTTGTGGTAGTTTTCGAGGTTTAGGTTCAACAGACTCACCTCAAGTTAGTTCTGAGAAATCCAGTTCATCCGGTCATAGTCATGTTAGCTTTAGTTCGTAAGTTTGTTTACCTTTTATTACCTATTGTTTGTCAATATACCTTCATTGAAAGCGTTCAAGCACTAGACTAACAAGCAGCCCAACCTAATATCTGCCACTCTTGGTTCAAAAACAGAAAGATAAATACTGTCTTTGGAAGTGTTTGAAATAAAGATAATAGACCATTTACCGACCATAAACTGAAAGTTGTGTTGTTATTGACAAATCTATTTTATTATCTTATTGGTTTAAATCCAAATATTGTTAATGATAATAATAAAATCTTTATTTCAAAAAAAGAGGAAAAATTCAGAAACAGTATAGAAATTTAAAATTTGTCACAAACACATCTAACACAATCGATTTATCTCACCTGATAACATATCTTTTAACTATTTTTGCAGGTGTCAAGAAGCATCAGAAATAAATAACACGTCATTACGATGGCAAAAGTTGGATGCAGTTAGAAGAATATTCCAAAATGCCTATTCTAACACAATAACTGTACGCCCTAATGGAAACGAGTCGGGAGCCTTATCATCATTAGTAAACCAGTTTGCAGAAAAAGTTGGTATAAAATCAGGAAAGAATACCATTGTTTGATAACAAGTTATTAATATATAAAGTGACCTATGGAACAAAAAAGCAAAAAGAAAACCATGAGCAATTTTAAACCTTTTGTTTTTATGTTAAATGTGAATGTTTTGTTGACAAAGCAGCTTGCTGTAGGTAAAAGATTACTTTATATAAGTAATTAGCCAATAAGGCAACAAAATTTTATTTATTTTTTTGTTCTTAGGAAACACATGTTTGCTTTCTGTTTCTTCAGGTAAAAAACTTTTTTAAAAACAAAAAATACTTAGTTGTTCTTCTCAAAAGCTTTCATTTAAAAATGTTTCAGTTTTTAGATTTTAAAGAAAACATCTGTTGGGATTTTGTCATATATACAACCAGATTAATATAGTTTGTTAACAATCTGTTTATTTTTATACAAATACATATTCTCAGGGAATATTGTAAACTGTATGTTACACAAAAAGTTATCAACATTTCCATATTATGTTAAGTATTTACTTACCATTTTTCGTATAATAATTCAAATGTGACTGATATTTTTGCTTGAATTTTGTTGTGGCAGCTAATGTTAAATATAAAACAAAAACAAGTTATTTCTTAAATCATAATATTAATATGAGCTACATTAAACTAACAGAAATAGAATATAGATGATTTAATCTGTCTTCTTTTTTCTGATGTTCATAGTCGTAGGAGGTTGATGAATTTAGGGTGGAGGAAGAGGGGATGAAACAGAAATGTATGATAAAATTCCCCGTTTATAATCCAGATGCCCCCAAACCAGCTGAAGGCAACAAGTGCAACATTGGGAGGAGGGGGATATCTGTAAGTCTTCACCCAGAAAATTTTGAAAATTAAATGGCTGCAAATTTCCACAAGGTTTGAGCTGCTGACTCGAAAGTAATTACTCATGCTCAACATTTTTTGGGGCATTCTATTATTGGGGGAATTGAGCTTTCCCAATTATTTGTGACATTGCCCCCTCATCCTCCTCCTTCACTTATACTGATGTTGTAAATTACTTGTAATACAATAACTATTACATGTAGAGAGAATTTAAAATCAATACCTGTTTTGTTTTTAACTAAGTGTACTACTATATATATGTATATGTTGGGATTATTAACCATAAAATGATATTTGTACAAGGAAATCAAACCAACTTGACTTGTAGAAAAGGTGTTTTTAGTTTATCTTTTTGTAGATTATTTCTCTAGTCAGTTACTGGATTATCTATTGCTTGATTACTCTATAAATTAAAGAGGCATTAACACTTTCAACAAAATATTAATTGTAAATAATTTTATATGATGTTGTGTTCAAAATAACTTAAGATCCACTATTATTATCAAAAATCCAAGCAATAGCCTACATGGAGAAAGCATTTATCAGTTATTGTCCAATATTCTCCTTGAAAACCACTATTCGCTAAAAATGTCTGTATTTCCGATATAGAATGACAGATTGATCTGTTAAGATTTCTCACATAATCTAATTTAAACATCCCAGATGTTATTTTCGGTCTGTAATCATATCACCTCAAATCAGAAATTACGTTTTTACTGACCAGTGAAGATTTCCAAAGTGTTAGTGCCTCTTTATATGCCCACATTGAAATGTGAGAAACTTCTAATCAATAGAAACAGGTAACACAAACCAATTATGATGCATTTGATATTCAGATAAGTTGATAACAATAATTAATAGAATACAATATCAATAAACCTTCGTTTTATCTAACGATTCATCATTAAAAATACTAACTTCTTCAAGGATGAAGAACTAAGTCAACTAAGTTTTTATGCAAAATGACTGGAAGTCAGTTGTAACATCATAGGAAGTTATAACATATGAATGATGATGTCATGGATATAACATGAAAGGTGTAGCTTATAGTTATAAAAAAGGTAAAATTTTACAAGTAAGGGAAATTATGCATGATTATGAATGATTTTGAAACCCCCTGGATTTAACTCATTTAAACTGTTAGGGCAAAACTGAATCAAGTCTATGAATCCACAGGTTTTCTGCTGTGTTCAATTTTTTTCTTATCTTTATTAGGAATTTTTTGTACTGTGGTACACACGAAATCATGACCAGGTACTTAATTAACAGAGTAATCGTTTGGCCTGGATATTGCATTCTACAGGTTTTACATGTTTAACAATAAACAACATAAGTACTGGTACAGTTGACACAGTCTCTAATCTTGAATGATTTCATGTCTTTACTGGTTATTTCTTGATTTGTGGGGGTTTGGAATGCCGAATGGTTAGCACGTGCGTGTTGTATCATAAGGTCTGTCATTGAGTCAACTGGCCTGGTTTCGATTCCCCGGTTGTACCTGACAAGGAGTAGGGTCTCCTGTCCAATCTTGTGGGTTTTCTCCGGGTCCTCCAATTCCTCCCACTGCTAAAAATCTTTACGTGCAAGCGAATCATTGAAATAAAATTGAACCATATACTCGTCCCGAAATGACCTAGTTTGTGTTGAGTGGACGTTAAACCCCATTTCTCTCTCTCTCTTTCTTGATTTGTACAAAGTCTCACATGATTAGCATAATTTTCTGATTAGTGTCAGTAGTTCTCAACTTATTTTCTTTCAAAATATTGCCAATTGTTCTTTCTCTCTGCTATAATTATTTTACTGTAATCCATAATTTTTGTCATTCGTCAACTGGTGTCTAAAATAGTTCGGTCTTTAGTCATTTGGTGATGGTCAGGTTGTCGAGGGTCAAAGGCTGATGTCCATGGAATAGCCTTCATATTAGTATCAGTCTTTGGTTGGTAAGGTCAATAAATCAGCCCTGGTCTTCTGATCTGCTCTTTTAAATGCCTTTTGTATAATTTTCTTGAGATATCCGGATTGATTAAGATAGGATCCAAAAATTTTTATTGTTGATTTTGCTACAAATCCGCAGAGCACCACTGTAAGGGATAACGTTAAAGATGAGTTTAATGGTGGAAGATAATGATGGCAATCTGTTTTCTTGGAATATAGATTTTTCTTAAATCCCTTTCTTTGATAACTTTCACATCTAAAAAATCAACTGAGTTGCTATTTATATCTACAGTAAATTTGATCTTTGGATGTTGTAGATTAAATGTTGAAACGAAATTATTACATTCTTCTAGTGGGAGAGATAAAAAGGCCAAATATCATCAATGAATCTGTATGAAATATCTGGTTTATTAGGTAATGGTTCATAGTAGGTTTTCATCCAGTATGACATATAAATGTTAGCATATTTTACAGCAAATGGAGTTCCCATGGCGGTCCCAGATATCTGTCTATAAAACATACCATAAAATTCAAAGAACAAAATCTGCTATTTGTAGAATTGATTTTGAATCTTCATTGGTCACAATTTTAGTTTCAGGTAATGCATGTTTCAGTGCTTCTAAAGCATCAGAAATAACAATATTCAGATATAAACTGATAACATCAAGAGTCATAGGATTACCATTCTTAGGAATAAATTCACTGTTTATAGCTTCCATCTTTTGAAGGAATTGAGTGGTGTCTTTAACTAATTCAGGGCAGTAAAGCTGTGCCACAGGTTGTAATTTCCAGTCAAGCCAAGAAAAAGCTTTTCGAGTAGGTGCTGTAACTTGGCTACATATGGGACTTCCTGGTGGTATATCTGTAGGATTAGAAACTTTGAGCTTTTCCTAAAATGTAGAAATGGGCTGGTTTATCAACAGGTCTGTCCAGAATAGCTTTCTGTTCAATTTTTAGAATTTTAAGGCCGGTCACTAATTTTGTCAATTGTCCATGAATCTCACTTGAATTATCTCCACTGACTTTCTCCTACACAGACGAATCATCTAAATGTTTCAAACATTCTTTAACACAGTCCTCTTTATACCACCTCCTTTATCAGCTTTTCCAATAACAATATTATTAGGATCATTCTTCAAACTTGATAAGGCCTTCCTCTCTTTGCCAGTCAAATTATCTTGTACTTTATTTTGTTTGGTACTGATTAGTACAGTAGAGCTCTAGAGCTTTAACTCTTCCACATGGTGGTGACCATTTACTCTTGACATACAGTGATTTAGGTAAGAATTTTTGTGATGGTTTTTCAAAAAAGAACTCAGAAAGTCTTTTAGGTCATGAAGTTCTATAATTTGGTCATATTTTGGTGGTACTGAACAGAATGATAATCTTCTATTTAAAAGTTTTATTTCAACAGGCTCTAAATGTCTGGAACTTACTATTGTAGATGAAATTTTGGAAATCATGTTCTTGGTCTTTTACTTTCTTTTTTTTCTTTTTCCTCATGGCTGTAGTTCGTGATCTTTAAAGGGTTTAAAGAGAAGAGTTTTTTCTGATGATTTTGTTGTATGGAATGTTGAAGTCTCTGACAACAGTATTCAGTTTTTTCTAGTTGTAATTTGAAATCTTCAGACGGGAGTAGCTGTTGCAATCTGACTTTGGCTGAGGCTAACTTATTCCTAATGTCAATAAGTCGGATTTGTAGAAGTTGATGGATTCATTTCTAAGGCTTTTTGAGATTTTCCATAATATCATTTTTCACGAGTTATTAACTGTGGATTCGTAGACTGGATTCAGTTTGGCCTAACGGTTTAAATGAGTTAAATCCAGGGGGTTTCAGAATCATTCACAATCATGCATAATTTTCCTTACTTGTAAAATTTAAGCTGACCTTTCAAGTCCATGACGCTATCATTTTCCTTACTTTTAAAATTTTACCTCTATTATAATTATAAGCTACACCTTTCATGTAAGGTATCTAAATCCTATGATGCCATAACTGACTTCTGTATTTAGTTCTGCATCCCTGAAGAAGTTAGTATTTTTACTGACGAAACATTGAATAAAAAAATGTTGTTTTTTTTTAAATTTTATTCTATTAATTATTGTATATCACATTGAAATGTGGTCATATAATGTCATCGCCCCTGTCCGTCGGCCTGGCATCCACAAGCAATCGTGGACGCTCTAGAGGCTAAAGTTAATATCAAATATACTTTCAATTTATACACAGTGTTTAAACACTGTTGAAACAATAGGATGGCAGTACTCACGTGTCTTGTTTAATAATCAATTGACATATTAAATTCTGTTTAATGTCTTAAAATAGTATGGCCAAAATTCATCTGTGATATTAATTTGACGTTTCATCTGTCCAAGAAAAAAGTAACTTTATGCCTGATAGGTTCTGATGGAATTATATGATAAACAGATCTCCTACATGTAGTTTTGGAATCGGGGGGGGGGGGGGGGGGGGAATAAGGTACTGATGATACCTTGTATTGAAATTATATAAATTTCCCCAACAACACCAACATGCCGATTGAAAGTTAAAAATAGAGGTAACTATCATACACTATAAAAAGTGATTTTTTTTTAATACTTGGATGTGCTTCATTACATAATAACAGTCTATACAATTAAATGATTATAATTGTTTTACTTATTGAAATATTTGTGAATGGTCTGGCTTGTGATGTCTTTAAAGTAGCTAAGTCTCTAACTCAATATCACCCAAATTCTTCGACATTGAAAACATTGAAATTTTGATCTTACCGGGAAGACGGGCTTCTAATATGCAATATTTAAGACAAAAGAAACATGTTACCATTGGTACACGATTTTTGTACCATAATGCATTTCAACGCCATTTGAAACAAGGGACTCGAAGAACGAGGCTAGGCATATTCCACAAGTCATGTCGAATATTCTTATCTGGAGACCATGCTCAATAAATACTATCGATGTAGGCTGGAATAACCAGACTAATGATTGCCATTCGATTGAGACTTCTGGCATATTTCGCCGAACATAACTGATTTGAAATTAGAGTAAAAACGGAACCGATTGAATGTAAATCAGATTATATACATTCATATTACATTATTATATGCGTTGCGACCCATTTCTATCAATTTGTAGGTCCCAAATATTAGCGATTTAGCTCCTTTATGTTTACGTAAAACTAAAAAAGAAAAAAAAAAATTTAAATTCATATTTTTTTTTAAATGATTTTATTTAATTTACTTTTGGGAGATATTAGAATGTCTATTTTTAATGTCATTCTAAAAGATTATTAATTAGTTTTTAATGTTAATCTAAATAATTATTAAACATGCATTATGCAAGAGCTAAATCTGCCTGTTGCAGGTCTTTCTTTAGGCCTGAAATGTTATCTAAATTATTAATTAGTCATTAATTAACTTATCCAGACCATAATCAACTCTTGATGCCATTGTTAGCCTGCGATATTTTGTAGTTTTGAATACATTTTGTGATGGATAATTTAACATAAATATGGATAATCGAGACTTTGTTTATTATTGTACCAACATTAGTAATGATGATCGAGGCTAGTCTAAAATTTAATCGCTAATATCAGAGTGACGCAATTTCAGCTGAAATTTTCAGCATATTCTGTTTTCATTATCTATTTTTTTTAACTATTATAGTGAGAACTGTCAGCTCTTTATCTAATCTTACCTAATCCCCTTTAATGTGTATTTGTCATTCTAAATCATTGTTAATCAGTATTTAATTTACGACTCAAAATATTATCTTTAGCCTGCTTGAGTTACTAATTAATAGTAAGTGAACAATTCTAAACCCAGAAGACAAACCCATGGAGAAGACACGTCATACATATAACACACAGACATTGTAAGTGAAAGTACATGTGCCATTAAATCAAGTGAATGGATCTAGAGGCTTACTCTCAATATAACTGTGATTTATGTAAATATAAGTTTGTAGATATTCAGGTGTACATATTGTAAATTAAAAATAACAATGCATAATTTTATTGGATATATTGCAATATAAGATTACCAAACTGTGATGGTTATTTGAATTCATATGACCTTTAATAAAGTGATCTTTGAATTTTTTTCATTTTTTATAATTTATTGATTGATTGGGATTTTTTGGCCCATTTCCCACTTGTCAGGGGTAGCACTTACAGGGCAGATAAGGAAAGTGAGCCTTGACATATGGATGGGAAGAAAAAACAAGACCATCTGTGTGAGCATTGGCATATTTTCAAATGAATCGTTGATATTCAGAATTTGATGAGGAGTAGTCCAAAACACCACTGTCCAGACAAAATTCAACTTTCTAGCACTGCACATTGCAAAAGTAAAAGTATGTTCACTGTCCAGACAAAATTCAGCATCCTAACATTGCACAGTCATTGCAAAAATAAAAGTATGAACCAAATATTGTGTTAAACTTTATTCTATTCCATTGGTTGATTGGATCATGGGTGTGGCTTGTTATTAAAGCAGGAAGATTGTTTTATTTTTAATTTATACATCTACAATGATAGGCCTATGTACAACAAGAAAATATATTTTATTGGGTCAAAATAACAAAGAACTGAGAAGAACATTCTTGAATAACAAATCCAGAATGTTCTTCCGGGTTCATCTCAGCATTATAATTACTTTATGCAAGCTTGCATACTCCACACTTTACAATGGGAACATTTACCCGGTTAAAGACTCCATTCAATGTCAATGGGCGTATAAACATGCATAAAACCAGCTGTCTTTTTAAAGTAGAAAACCATTCAATTGTATGAATGGCACAGACGGATTATTAATGATAACAAAAAAGCATATTTGACTAAATGTATTATTAAACTTTCGAGTATGTTTCATTATATGCATCAATCATGTTGCGTCTAATCTGTTTTTATATACAATAACATAATATGGGTTAAACCAATGATTATTGATTGTACCATGGTTATGTTTTGTTGGATAAAAGGTTGAATTTGTTCGAAAAAGTAATTTCATACCTTATAATATTGGGGAAAAAACATGAACATCTAACATTGGCTGACTTAAATAAAATCCCCATATTATATAATGAAAAAAGACCTTTAGTTCAGTTATAAGGACGTTTTCTATTGGTATGCACAACATTTAATAACATTTTGCATTTGGCAAGGAGTCACGATGGCTAAGTGGGTAAGACGCTGCCTGCTAGCCTGGAGGTCGCGTGTTCGATCCCTGCATTGGCCGAGAAAGTTCATCAGCATTTTCCGACGTGGCCCTTGTCAATGGTGCGGGAGGAGGGTCTGACAAGGACAGCTTACTAGTTATTTGGATGATACAAAAAACCGAGGTCGCGTGTATACATTGGCGTGCACGTAAAAGATCCCTTGGCAGGTGGAATTCGGTAAAAGAGTAGGCAATAGTGCCGCTGCCCGGGCAAAATTTCCCTCCTAGCCACTGTGTGATGTATGCTTGTCTTCATTAGACCAATCCGTGTAGAACAGTAGGCGGTTAATCCCCATTTCAATTTATTTCATTTTGCATTTGGGGGATTAGGTTTAGGGGATGGGTGTGGCAACCTGGTCTGAAATCGATTACTAACTGCCAAACACCCTATATCATCGGCCACTTCACATAATACCATAAAGTTGGTCTACTTTTAATTGTATATAATCGTCAAAAAAATCATAATTTACATGTAATGACATGTTTAAAACTTCGGTACGATTCACGTAACTCATCAAATAAGTAAACGTTAGTTGTCCAACAGTTTTACAATTCATGATAATATTCAATAGGTTTCATTGTGTATAATAATTTTATTGAATCAATAATGACTCATTAAAATAAACAACTTGTTACTCAATATCAACAAATAATCTCTTCTAGTTGTCAAGATATTGATTTAATCTCCGACCTGTTAAAGCTGCAAAGCGATTTTCTAGAATAATATAACTGTTGCCGTTGGAAATATAGATCAACCATGGTAAAATATAAAGAGGCATATTTAGTTTATAATCTTTCAGTTTTATTATGGAATTCCTATTTTCTATTTCAACGCGGCGCGATGGCTCGGTAAGCAAGACGTCGCTAATCCCGTGTTCAATGCCGGTGTTCGCCGAGGGAGTTCACCTGGATTTTCCTTATCTGTGGTGCAGGACGGATGACTTATCAAGGGACAACTTATAGTCGTTCCATGGGACGAAGACCCGAGCGAGGTCCCGTGTACACATTGACATGCAGGTAAAAGAACCCGATATAAGAGCAGGTCGTATTTGTCCGGGCAAAATCTCCCTCACATCACACAGTATTCCGGTCTTCATTATCCAAGTCGGTGCAGAAGAGTAGGACGTTAAACCCCATTTCATTTCTATTTTAACGACATGGGAAAGACGGGGTATGCTTATATACCTTACATGAACACATGCCCCCGCCCCCTCTTTATTATGTTCCCGGCCCGACCTTCCAGTATAACCTGAAGCTGCCTAAGTCACTATTATTAGTGAACTCATTTGGGAAGGGGAAGAAACCTTGAGAGTTATAATTTGTTGAAGAGTTGGCCTTAAGTAGAAAGTTAAATCACATTTCAGTCTTTTAAACATTTGGCTTAGAAGTTCACAACAATGTAAATATTTGGCGCCAATCGTAAAAGAATTGAAAATCGTGAATTAAACCATTTTTTTTATTATTTATTTCATCGTCTTATATAATTATTATATAATATAACAACAAAACACACCCTGGAGTGATTCAGCATTTTGCCGTTCCTGCTTTCTGTTCTGGGTGAAGTTTCCTTGTGACTAGTGATCTCAAAGCTGTAGAAAAAAGATAATAAAACAGCATTATATTTAAATCACTATACATTCAATAACACAAACTAAAACTAATATACCATAGCAGTGACCGTATATATTACAAACTGCGCAATTTTTTTTAATCGCTACGGTAAGCATTATAAATAGATATGGGTGTGTACAAAGTTTATTGCCCGTTTTCTTCAACAGCCAACTCGTGTATTAGATAATTGGCTTACTAGATATCGAATTTTGTTTTCTTCTGTTGGGATTTTTTTAAAAAATCTAAATTTTAAATCAAAATCTCTCTATTATTATATCTGGATTACAAGATATGTCTTTTATTATTTCTAGGTTACAAAAGTTGTATTGCCTGCACGATTTCACACTAAAGGACGCGTATCTGGGCTGAACTGATGTTCCGTTATGTTATTGCTGGCGTAATGTCGTATTTCAATCACTTGTGAGATACAAGTATAAAAACAAAATAATATTATCCAAGATTCTTTTTGATTGTATTCTTTTAGGTATAGGCCATTTCCATAAATATGTTTACTTTTGCAAGGTTACAACAATACACAACCAATATCCCCTGTAAAGTTTGTACAACCGAAACTGTTTTTATACCAGTATGTGTGAATGTGTATATTAACATTTTTATAAAAACAATTAAAGCTAGTTCGTTTACCCGCTACGGCTCCTTGGAAAGCAGCATTATAATCAGTAGCTACTTCATTATTAATATAATTCCCTCTAGTGTCTTTATATTGATCACCGGCATCAGGACCTCCAACTAAAGCCCCAAACAGGGTATGGACACTAGCTTCAGGTCTATGGACAACGTTTGGTGAACATGGTGCAGGTGGCCATGGACATGATCTAGGGGAAAAAAAAAAATGTAATTAATATATTATCAAATATTTGTCAGAAATAATGTTCCAGAACAGCCGGGATATGTCATATTAAAACGTGCCACGCACTGTATATACGATGGGTATCTTTCGACCGTGAACTACACTGTACCGGTACCAGTTTATGGACACGATCTACAGATAATGTTTGTAGAATATTGTATTTGTCACATTATTCATAATCGAATATTGTTTATAATAAATTCAGAACGAAAATTGTGCCAGTTGTAACAGAGTTTATGAATATGGTACGTGAACTAGTTATTGTTATATCATGAATAATTGAAATACGCATATATGTACGCTGACGCAACGCCCTATGCTTACTGATAGGCATGTGGCCTTGTGGTTTGCCCTCCAAGCGACACCAGGATAAACCAAAAGTACTTGTGAATATCTCACGATGGTTAAACTAGCTTTAACATCAATAAATATGGTACGTGAACTAGTTATTGTTATATCATGAATAATTGAAATACACATATGTCCGCTGACGCAACGCCCTATGCTTACTGATAGGCATGTGACCTTGTGGTTTGTCCTCTAAACGACACCAGGATACACCAAAAGTACTTGTGACTATCTCACGATGGTTTAACTAGCTATAACATCAATAAACAAAACTGCAATAGTGGTATACGGCATGGCGTTTGCCCGTCTGCATTAGCCCAGTAGCACGTTAAACCCTATTTTATTTTACAATATCGTGAACGTTGAATTCTAAAAGGAAAATCAATCCGGAAATGTCAGTTCAGTTCAGTAATTACACATATATGACGGATTGAAAAGTTGTCAACATTTTGCATCCTCATGCTTACGACATAAACGGACAATGTTCGCTAAATATTTTGATGGGCCTCTTCTGAGTCTTATTAAGTCCAAGTCTGGATATTATCCACCGTTAATATTTTGATTATCTTTTCTTGATTTAATGTTAAATCGCGATATTAATAACATTTGAACCTGTATTGTTTGATATTTTCCGAAAAATGCAAATGACACACAAAAACTTTACTTTGGATAAATTCGGGCATCCGTCTACGGATAGAGCCAACGCTGTGACGTAACTAAAATTGGTAAACAAAATTACCTTCGCTGAGTATTTCGAAACAAAAATGTCAGTCTTTATTTTGCCCACTCACTAATCGAAATAACATGTAATATCAACCTAATTCAAGATTTTCAAACTACAGGTTGATAGCTTCATTTCGACTCTATTGTATGTAATTTGTATAAATAATTTGTATGTACGACTTGTAGGCCTACGGATCACGTCATACGCAATAGATCGATATTCAGCCTATGTGTGCCTAGTACAAGAATCTTAGCCAGGGCAAAGGCGTTCTGCTGGATTTTTTTTAAAAAAAAAATTTTTTTTTTTATATATTTTTCATTGTTTTCTCCTTTAAGTCATGTTATGTAAAGCTTCAGTTAGTATTTAGGTTACTATTGGCTTACATAATTGAATACCGAAACAATGATCAATATTATCGTCATTCACGCCATTATCAAACTCACAAAGGTGAACAATGAAGTTTTGGTTTTTCATTAAATAAATATGAGAATGTTTAGCTTGAAATAACTTCGTAACTCATATGTTATGAGATTGGAGAAATGGGTGGGTCTACTTACGCTGATCTGTGATGGGGTCTTAACGGATATTTATCACCAAAACCAATGACGTAACTAAAACCTGTATCACCTAAAGCATAATGAATCTGTGACATAGCCCAGGCTCTATATTTCTCTGGATTAATTCCGGCTTCAGCAGCCATTAAAGCTACCATTGCCATGTTGGCTGTAAAAAATAAAATTGATATGTTTATTAGTAAATGAAATTTTTTATCATTGCTTACAAAATGTAAGTATATATAATTTAATAAAAAGTTTCGAGTATTCTTGATTTGAAAAAAAAATTATGTTTTTTATATCAAGATGTAACACAAAATTATGAATGAAACACGGAAAATGAATGGTGTTTTTTCGTGAGACAATTATTCAAGCATGATACAGCGATAATAGTTTAGCTTATGTCAACAAAATGGAATTCCCAATATAAATATATTACGCATATATGTAATTTTTATAGAGCTGATGCAATAAGAAACAACTTTGACATTGTTGATCGCTATCTCAGATAAAATCCCATTCAGGAAACCAATGATATGAAACGTCTAACTGAATTCCATCCTAAATAACAAAGTCATTAGTCACAGCTTTATTGTGTATCACCAATGTTTGTCATTCTTTGCAATTAATAATTAATTTCCGATATCAGCATGCGTTTATTCACCCGATATAATATCAACTACAATGAATAAATGAATGGATGAATAAATGAATGGACGAATAAATGAATGGATGAATAAATGAATGGATGAATAAATGAGTAATGAATGGATGAATAAATGAATGGATGAATAAATGAGATGGGATTTACTATTATGCTCAAGCCGGGCTATGAGGGAAATTTTGAGCGGGCATCTGTTGATTCCACCTGTCTGGTTTTACGTCCTATCCACACGACTTATCAGGAACTTCTAGGCAAACATCGGGATCGAACCTAGTACCGCGAGGTTTCTCAGTGAGCCAATGCGACTCCCAACTATAATCAAATCAAATCAGGGATAACAGGCTAGAGAGGGTGGTTTGTGTGCCTGTTTTCAGTACTATACATCAACGTACATGAATATCTAAGAGAACCCCATTGTAATCTCCAGGCCAATCCTTTTGGTGTATATTTTATTGTTCCACCAGGCATCCAATATTTAAATGTTTCTTCAACAGCTTGTTTATAAATATCTTTCTTAGTAAATTTATACAATAAAACCTGGAATGAAAGATATTCGATGTCAAGTTTAGATCTTACGTAATTAATGAAGTATAACATTAAGCCTAACATTAGCAAGGAAACGTCATATAATACATACTACAAAGATTCTAATAGACGTGTCTAAAGTACATGTTATGCCTATTTGACAAAATAAATATGAACATCAAACTCTGCCCTGGTCATTTCAAATCCAAAAGTAAGCTTATAATACAGAGAATTTATTATATATTGCATTTCAATTTTGAATGGAATGTACGTTTCGATCACCGTCCTTTTTAATACCTAGCCCTAACCTTAACCCTAACCAATTAGTTCTTGTTAGCACCATGTAGCACATATATTATATAACCTCAGTAGTCGAAACGTTGACAAACTCTTCATACCTGGTTAACTGCTTGTGTATCGTCCCATGACATTCCCCAAGCTGCGCCCGGTTGGAACCATTTCTCGGCTTCTGTTAGATATTTAGCATCGTTAGTTATCTGGTACATCCACAGTGATGACCAACAGAGTTCATCTGTCATATTTCCGGACCTGTTGAGAAGATTGAACGATCCTGGAATTAGTAGTCTTTATCTCCTTCAGTATGCGTTAGCGGACTTCAATTTATTTTACTTATATCAGAATATTAGATCTGGAACCAATCTATCTTTTTGATCACCGGGTGAAACTCCATACATCATACCAACATTTTCATCAGAACTTTTAGAAATGTTTATTATACAAAGAAGAACTATAAAATCTCCCCATGATAAATTTCTTTTTAAAATTAAACTCTGCAAAACTTCTAACTTTGCCCTATTGCATATTTACTGTTCCGGCACCTCTTTTTATGGAATAAATTAACCATTTTTTTTAAAAAAAAAGATCTTTAAAAAACTTTCTCTTCTTAGAATCTTTTGATTACCGTTATTATGTATATTTATATTTTATTTGTATTCTATCAATTGTAACATTGTAAAGCACCCATGAACACAAATGTGAAAGGTGGACTATATCAATTTTGTAATAATAATATTACACACTGTTTCGGTCTGCAGGACGTACGTTCGGTTATATACTTTTCTAAGAAACAATAGGATCTTACTTGTAGTAGCCTGAAGCAGCAGAAATTGTATCGGTATATCGTCCTTTATACTTCATACCAAAATCATATAAATCTATAGCATGTTGTTTCAATTGAGCAGCATATTTAGGATCTGAAAAATTAAATACCCACAAAATAGTATTCCCGCGTGATATTTTTTTTTAACAGAAGTACAACAATAATCTAAAGTATCTAACGTATTGTATTTTACCTTTATCCTTAAATGCCAAATATCCTGCAGCAAAAGCAGCACAAGTTTCTCCTGCTACATCACTTCCAGGATGACTTGCATCAATTTTATATGAAGGTCTGGCCATCTTCATCTCTTCTGGCCTGCCCCAGAAACCGTGATCAGAACCACCACTGCCAACCTATAAAAGTAATTGGGAGCAAAAGGTTAATTATTTATATAAACGTTTATTACTGCAGACATAATTCTCTAAAATATGAATTTTCTTATTGCTCTTGGGGGTAAAAATCCTTAATGGCCAAATACTTATTGAGTCTTCTGATTCGCATTCCCACACATTATTAAGAGTTTCCTTCGATTACTTTATTATTATTTGAAACAGAATTTTGATCAGAATGTGATTTTCGGTGTTTACTTACCTGTACGTATAATTCATATTTACTGACGTGAGCTTTAAGGAAATAATCAAGGGGCCACTTGATACAGTCATACATGTAGTCCAATTGTTTACTTTCAACGTAAGCTTCTTTCCATTCTATCAAACCCCAGGCTAAGATAGCAGTGGAATAGGCCATAGGAAATCCAAATTTAACATGATCACCGGCTGCAAGAAAACATAAAAGTAACGACACCATTTAATGAAACAAAATGATGGTTTAACCTTCAACATGGCCTACTCCCATTCGCCAAGAGTTCTTTAACGTGCACGCTTTTCAGTGCCAAGCTGAAAAATCCCAAAGATCGAACTCAGGACCCTTGGGCTAATGAGCCAGTGGGCCACTATTGTTAAAACCTAAGTCATTGATGTGCAATACCCCTCGAAGCAAGATTTACTCATTAAATTTCATTTCAGGGTTTGGATTAGAAAGCATCCCAAGAGTAAATCTGAGATAATACATGTCCCCGACCGGCCCCAACATTTATAAGAGGCTGATTAAATCCAAGTACATTAGATCAAATAAAGTGGTCTGTAATTCTTCTATGTAAAATAATGTTCTGAATTTCAATCAAATCAATTAAAGTTTAACTAAATTCAATTCCGTAAAACAGAATTTCCATTGACTTCTATGTCAACAAAAAGCCAAAAGTCAGTTATTATCAGATCCCACGAAACACGAACTAGATCTATTGGTCTGCTATATGACGCAATATGCTAAATTCTAATCAGATATTGAAAAACAAAGCTGATAGACAGACGGAGAGAAATCGTGTAGTCACCATTGGTTTTAGTGTCAGGGGACTAGTATTAATTAGGGACAACTTATTGGCAAAGCTTTTCAACAACGAGGCATATGTTCCAGCAATTTGATGCCTTACCATCATACCATCCACCAGTCAAATCAACACCAACATCACTACCATCTTTTAAACCAGAATCTCCTCTCCATTTTATTCTGTTATTTTTGGGTAATTTTCCAGATCTTTGAGCCTCGTAGAACATGATAGATTTTCTGATAACATCATCGTAGTTGTATTTAGTGCACTGCGATTTGGCTGTAATATTAGTAATACTCATAATAATATTCATATCTATAGCGCCAAAACTCCACAAAAATGTGCTCGTAGCGCTTGACAAATATGTCCACAAAATGAGCCATTAGGTCTCAGTTATAATTTGTTTAAACAAATGAGATTTTAAAAGTTTCTTGAATGATAATAAGGAGGCGGTACCTTGGTCTAGGTTAATGGGCAACGGGTTCTTCGCCCTAGTAGTTGCTACTTTATAGGCCTGTCATTGAGTCAACTGGCGTGGTTTCGAATCCCCGGCTGTACGTGACAAGGAGAAGGGTTGCCTGTCCAACCTCGTGGGTTTTCTCCGGGTCCTCCGGTTTCCTTCCACTGCTAAAGACCCCTACGCGCAAGCGAATTATTGAAATAAAAATTAAGCATGTGTTAGTCCTGAAATGACCTAGTCTAATTCGAGTGGACGTTAAACGCCATTTCTCTCTGTCTCTCTGCTACTTTATAACAATAACTACAGTAAATAATCTATCTATATCAAGAATTCTCAATCAGGTCTTGGTGAATGAAATCAGACATATGATGAAAAAAAGGGAATGCCTTTTCTGGTTCTCTTAGAACTTTAGGTAACCGACTTGTTTCAACACTTACCATCGACTATAGGTGGTAGCTTTTCCACGACAACTTTTCCCATATCTTTCAAGACAGCAGTTGCAGTTGGTGCTTTATTAACACCGACATAGTTAGCAAAGAATCGCATCTTCAGTGTTTCGCCACTATGCCACAAACCTTTGTCCATCTTATTAACAATAATCCATTCAGTACCATCTTTACTGTAACTTACAACATCTCCAAATGCAACCTTTATCAAAATATTTTAAAATTTGAAAATATCATTTATAGATGGGTTCCCAGAAAAGTATTTAACGGGTGGTTATTTTCAATAAAAGTATGGCAATTTTGGTATATATGGAAAGTAGAGATATACAATCTTACTAGGAAAATACTGGATTCCCCGAAAAACACTCATGGAGCGTATACAGGACAAAAATGTAAGGGTTCCCCTAATCGACAGCCCGACGATTAGGAATTTCTGCACGCGTGATGTCAAAGGTCACACGCGAACATTGAGCGCTTGATGTACAAGTTGATAAACTTTATATATAGTTAGACGTACAACACTTTCTGAGATAAAATGACGGAAAGAGATGCGGGTAGTGGATAATCCGAGAATTTAATTAGGATTCGGTATTTGTAATAAATAGTAAGCGATTAAAGACAACATCGTCTTATGTATACAATGAATTCTCCTCTGACTTCCACGAGAGGTAAGTCACGTGACGTAAACATGACCTGGTTTAATCAATTTTTTATAGCAGGGCATTCCTTCACAATTACAATGTTTGAGAAGGAGTTGAAGCAAAATTATGACAAATTAATTAGTTTGAATATAATTTTAGTCCATATATACCATTAAATCACCCAGTTTGTACGCGAGAATGTATCTTTAACGATTTAAATTCTCAAAATGAACAATGAGCATTTGCTATCTTGCCTTGGAGTATTGGAATACAAAAAAAATAGAAATTAGGTTTAACTGAATAGTTCGGTCATTTTGAGACCAACATAGGGTAATTGTTATTCTATGATCATGTGTGAAATTCGAGGGATGAGAATTTTGCCAGGACAGCAAAGGTTCTTTTACGTGCAAGTCAATAGTAAATGATCTTATGCAAATTCTAATTATCATTTTCATAAATTAACTTTGTTTAATTTAGGGGGGGGGGGGGGGTGAGTCGATTGGCGTGGTTTCGAATCCCCGGTTGTACGTGGCAAGGAGTAGGGTCACCTGTCCAACCTCGTGGGTTTTCTCCGGGTCCTCCGGTTTCCTCCCACTTCTAAAGACCCCTACGCGCAAGCGAATTATGTAAATAAAATTAAACCATATGTTAGTCCCGAAATGACCTAGTTTGTGTCGAGTGGACGTTAAACCCCATTTCTCTCTCTCTCTCTCTTGTTTAATTTAAATGAAATCTGGATCATACTATTTAGAAAATTGGCCAGGTTTTATTTTATACTGCTATACGCATTTATCTATCCCACCCCATGGTTAAAGAGGCATTATAATGGTTATAATAACGTCTGGTAACTAGAATATATGTATATCAATGTGACTTCATAAAAATACAGACCCCTTTTTAAATGTCGGTAGAAGAATATGTTTTTACCTCCATGGCTCTAACTTCTGAACCAAATGTGATTTTGACTTCCCAACCGTTAAATGGACCGTCAAAGTGGAATTCGCCTTCTACACGGTGTCGTTCTGGCCAATCATTAAATACCTGCATTGGAGCTGTAGCTTTAATTTCAAATCCTCCTGGTGGTGGTGTCACTTTAAGGGATGGAATCTCATATTAATGGCAATGAAAATTTAAGCTTTTATAAAATGGAAAGCCATAAAACCTATAAAAGACTATGCACAGTTACAGTTTTGTTCCATATGTGGATATGAGTGATGATTTTCATTTAGAAGAGCTAATGAACGAATGAAATGGGATATAACGTCATACTTCTCTACACCAATGTAGGTGGGGCGGGAGGGGGGCTGTTGTAAATATCAAATACATCACGCTAAAGTTGAATTTAAAATATAGGTATAAGAGATATTTTAAGTGTTGTTTCCTCTTCCAAAAAATACCCAACTCTCGTTCCTCGACTACTCCCCACCCCTACTCCTTTAGAACTTAAATAGGAAATGAATAATATGATAAATACAGAAGGGTGAAATCATTTACTAAAGTTTATAACAAAGGACATTACCGATGAAATTAAAAGGGGACAAAGTGTGTTTAAGAACAAGGTGGCTCGAAATTGCACAGATCCAGGAGGTAAATATGTAATATATTTTAATTGAAGAGCCGTGTTTGGAATGGGAAACCATTTCTCAAAATCTGAACCGTTCCCAATCCACAATAAATCGCATGGATATGACTGAAATCGAATGTAGCTTCCCAACATTCGGTTAATATTATGGTGATCTGGATCAGAACGGATCATAGATACTGTCTTCAGAAACTCACCCTGATCTGGAGTCGAGGCAAAGGTAGGTTGTGGTTTATATGTTTGTCTGGACGGTGCTGAAAGAACAACATTATAGTTATATTTTTAGTTATGCATTGCCCTTTAGTTACGTAATATGTTAAGTATTGTTATTATTTAAAGGAGCTAAATCGCTAATATTTTGGATCTAGAAATGGACACAAATGAGTGGCAACGTATATAATAATGTAATGTGAATGTATATAAACTGATTTACATTCAATCGTTTCTGTTTTTACTCCAATTTCTAATCAGTTATGTTCGGCGAAATACGCCAGAAGTCTCAGTCCAACGGCAATCTCTAGCGTCTGGTTATTCCACTCTACCGATAGTATTTATTGCGCATGCTCTCCAGATAAAAATATGACGTCACCGTTTGACATGACTTGTGGAATATATCTAGCCTCTTTCTACGAGTCCCTTGTTGAAAATGGCGCGGAAATGCACCATGGTACAAGATTCGTGTACCAACGGTAAAATGTTTATTTTGTCTTAAATATTAGATATCAGAAGCCCATCTTTTCTCCGTAAGATCACAACATCAATGTTGATTTAAATTGACAAATAATTCGTGTTTTCAATGTCGAAGATTTTGGATGATATTGAGTTAGAGACTTAGCTACTTTAAGCTTAGGTATACATTTACAATATCATCTGATAAAGCTGTATAAAATGAGTATTATGTACATACTGGTTCCAGTGTAATCAGGACCAAATGTTGGTGGAAGAGTAACAACCATGCCTTCGATTGTTACTGTAGCTTTAGGTGAAATATCACCATCACCATGACCTTGAAATTCTACACAGATTTGATCCCCAACGTGTTCAACAGCATTCCATGCTTTATTCGTCAGTACGAACTCTTTACCTCCTGGTTTACTTTCAGTAAGTTCTGCTGTCCATACCTAAAGCCCAGAAAGGTTTTAATTCAGACAGAAAACATACTTATTTGAGAAATATTTGCACGAGTGTGTTTTTGTAGCGCTACGAGCACGACTATGCATGTGGAATTAGCGCATTATATATGGACTTATTAGTATATAATTATAAAAGGAAAACATCTTTGCGCTTAGCGGATCGAAGTCCACAAGTTTTATACTACTTTTATGCTCTTTTCGACTGCAAAACCTCATCTGGAGAGAGAGGTTTGCCCTTCTCATTCACAAATTTCGAGTAAATTTATCCGTTTCTGGTATTTTTCTATTCATTATAATAAGACCTGGATTAAATATCACCCTGTCCCCACATTCTAGAGTTGATCTACGAATTCGGCATTTAGAATAAACTACCTGCAAGGAATTGATCTTCTGGTCAAATATCAAATCTGCTTTCCATGATGACAATTCCTTTACTACTGGCACACAGAACTTTCCATTAAATCCCCCAGTCCAGTGACGCTCAATATCAACCGGCACTGGAGTTCCAGCCCCTTCAGAATTTCTTACGATTACTGCCACTAGAGCCCAAAGGAAGAGTGAAATCCCCATCTGTAAAATATCCAGAATAAATTAATAAGTCACCGGATCTTTTCAGATAACAAAAGAGAAATGTTATATGTAGAACTATTAATAGTTGTGTACACTGTTAGCGTATGGTACTATATGGAAATAACTTGTCTTCAGATACTGAGAAATTGACTAGACATCTTTGATTTGGGTCCAAAATGAATTGTTGCTTTCATTTGATTGTATATATTAAGTAGTTTTGTTTAATGCGAGACAACAATTTGTCATCGTTGACTGTTATAGAGAATGTCAGTGTTACGTGTTTCAGAATCATATAACTGATTTGGAGTTTGAATGTTGACACAGAAAGAGAAGAATTTAAATTAGTAAATGAGCCGACTTTTGCCTAATCAAGATAACACATTAGATCAACGAATTTTGATCCACATTAGCCCTTTACGAATTACAAGAAGTGTTGTTTTCAAAAGACATGTAAACTGGCGACGGTCTTCTGATTTTATTTTCAGTTGGCTGCATGTTTTTGTAACAAACGATCCAATACTAATACAGTATATGAAAGTTTGATTGTGACGTACTTGGGACTTTAATGACAAACTGATCAAGGCACCTGTCAGACTATTTTGCTTTGTCATTAACCAATACATGTAACGCCTATAATTTAGATGAACTTAAACAAAGGCGCCGAGCCCATGTTCAATCCTGTTAATTTAAAAATCGAGGAATAGCTTACAATACTAAATTGTTTAGTATTCATGGAACGTTGTTAAGTGAAATAAGCTCTGTTCATATTCCAATTAAACTTTAGTCCCTTACCTTTGCTGCTCACTGTTCACGCCCTTACTCTCTGTTCTCTTATAAATGGTGTTACATGTGCTTATATTCTCAAGTCTTATCTGTAGAATAGTCTAAATTGACCTACACCTTCCTACATATCTAGGTTCATATCTTCAAAAATCCACTTATTCTTGTGGTGATACAATCAAGGTCAATTATTAACAAGAAAACTAAAAGACTTCTGCAAATGAACTAGAAGGCCACATTTCCGGTGGGTAAAAGAATGATGCACCAACTTGTCTGTCTGTACACTTTTCAATTATTAGAAAGAAAACGAAACCAGAAGGGTACATTTCAGGGGGGTAAAAAATGATGCACTAACTGGTCTGTCCGCATTATCAAACATTTTGGAACATAACCACTCTGCTTGTAATTGAGGAAGTATGTTCAAATTGGTGTAATTGTTCATTAGTTGAACGTATTGAATGAACATTATCTGCTTAGAACTCTAATTAAGGTAGAATGTTCCTCACGCATGGTTTAGATGTTCGCTAGAATCTTTTTCGAGGTCGATTATAAGCAATTGCTGCTTTGCCTAATCATAAGCAGAGGTGAGGTTTTGAGAGGCCAAGACTTTGTTACTCAATGACTGTTTGGCTGTCAGTCATACTTTTTGGAACACAGTAACTAATTAAGATGTAGATGTCCTCAAGAGAGTGAAGTGAGCGTCATGGTATTGGTCGATGATGGGCATTTTCAGCTTAAGCTAAACGAGATAATGAATTCCGTTGGCCAAGACTTTAGAACACAAAAACTCTGTAATCGAGGTACAATAATCATACATGATTAATGATGGTCGCTTCATGTACAGGCTAAACAAAGATAAGCTATGTGATTTATCGATGCTTTAGAGCTCGATAACTGTAATATTCTAATTGAGTGATAACACTTGGTGTATAGTTTCATTACTTCAGTACCTTTTAAGCAATTTGATTAATTGTGTAGAATTAGAGAAAGTTTGGTGTATTGTTGTATCGCATCACATCAATACCTTGACGAATTTGGATGATGCACATTTTCTGCTTAAACTAAGCAGAGATGAGCAATTGGATTGGTCGAAACACAATAACTATGTTTGAGGTTATAATGTTCAAACTTTGTGTGGATATTCTTTTGGCGAAAATACATATTTAGACACGACACACGTGATCATAAAGTTTTACTTAAATCACAAAATCTAATCATATGAATGATTATTACCTTTATGATTAACTTAGCCATTTAAGTTTACAGCAGATTTCGCCTATTGTACAAACTGCTACGAAAATTGAAATTTTGTGTTTGTGACTAGTTTGAAGGCGTGTGAAATTAACAGACTTTACGATAAACGACCTTGATTGTTATCGCAATCTTTATACATTTGTATTTTAATGTATATACGTTTTGTTCTATCCAGACCATTTGAAGGATTGCAGTCAGGTAAGAAGAATGTATTATCAGTACACTGCAGAATGCATATTATAAATTTCTAATTTTTTAGAATTAATAATTAAAGCAGAAAATGTTTCAAATTTAAAATGTAATGTAACAAATCACTAGATTATTTATTGCTTGAAAATATTTGTATATTGCCTTACTTTTTTAAAGATTTTAGCAATGAAATCATTCATTGGTTTGTTGCTATTAGTCGCGGTTTCTGCTATTCAAGATGTTAAGATAACTGGACATTGGAAAGATGGTTTTAATGGTCAGTTTTGTATAGACGTGAACAAGGAATTACACGGCTGGTGCATTCACTTGACATTTAACGCAGCAGTTGACTCGCTTGATGTAAGCCATTTACTTCTTTAAATACGAGGGCTAGCCGAAAAACCTGTACAAAATGAATTGTTTAAATATCTTTTTGTACATAGTCTCATTTGGGGTGTATACACTTTTTCCAGCAAAGTTTTGAGGTCTGGGTTTCGGTCAGGAAGAAATTTTTTCCGTCACCCTAAATAAGTCGTTCACAGCTACGTCATCAATACAAGGAAACTGGCGATCGGCTAGCTAGTTCCTTTTTCATTTTTGGAATCCGGGTCTCATCCATGGTTACAAATCTGACCAAAATATTATCAGGTTCGGCTTCAAAACGGCACAGATTGTCACAGGACTCAGGAATCTGACATATTTCTAATCCGCAGTCAAGAGCTTTGGCACCCATCTTGCATAATTCCTAAATAGTTGGCAATGATGTGCTTAACCCTCTCATGAGAGATTCCCACAACACTTGCATTATTGTGTCGAGTGGTCAATGTTCGATTAACAATTACCGTGTGATGCACCCGGGTGGTGTTTTCTTGAAGGGCATATACTTGTTGGTGGCAAAAATTTGTTTCAACCTAATTGATCTATCCTTTTCAGATTTAGAACTTTTCGTACCATGTTAATGTAATTTGTAAAACAAATAAAATTAAAAATAATTAGTGCGTGTTTCTGATTAGATATGTCTGGAAACTTAAATGCCTAATGGATTTTAATAGCTATCTCTTAGTATATATCTCACTACCGTCGCTTTTGTTTACATTCCTAAGAAATGCCTTCTTCGGACCAATTTTCAAAGCCTTTAATTTCAGATTGGAGAATCAGAAATCCTCGAGACCCTCAATAATAGAACAGAATTCATATTAAAGAACAAAAATTACAATGCAGACGAACGACCTGGTAGCCAGCTTTGTATCAACTTTTTGGCTCACACAACTGGGGACATCAACCCTACTGGAAAAGTATACGAAGAGCATCTTGACAATAAAGGAAATAATACCTGCGGCAAGTTCATGCCAACAACACCAACAACTACGCCTGGACCGACTCTACCCCCGGGTGTCACAACACCAGTACCACCAAGTAAGTATAGATGTTTCTTAACTTGATCTATTAATATATCATTAATTAGCCACCTTCTTCTTCATGGCAGAGATTTTACTTGAAAACACTGGGGTTTTTTTTAAGCTATTGTAGGATTCTTTTGGAGTGTGGCCTCTTGCAGCTTCCGCTGTACGAAGCATACAGACGCATACTGTCCTAATTCGGGATTTGTATGTTGTGGTTTTTTTTAAACACGAATAAAGGGGACAATTAGAATATAGAAACATATCGTGTGTAAAATATATTTTAAAATAAACATGAACCGTTTCGTTTTTTTAAGCTTTTGCTCCTGGTCAGAGTGGGTCCATTCCTGCCACAGGACCATATCATGTGTTCAATGACTGGCCAGAACAAACCCGAGTCGAAGGTGAATTTCAGTTTCCTGCTGGTAATGGGATCAATGGCTGGGAAGTTAACATTACGTTCGCTGAATCTGTAACATCCATGGAGGTACATTTTCATTACGTTTTACGTATGACTACGTCCTTCTAAAATGATACAATACAATTCTAAATAAAGAAGCTACATGCAGTATATGAAACTACAGTGACTACAATGCTATTGGTTAAATGAAATGAAATGGGGTTTAACGTCTCACTGTTCTGCTCGCTATTGATTAAACCGTCTTCATTTGTCCAGCAGGTGCAAAAAGTACCCCGTTTAATACCATTTCATTATCTGTTAGTTGCGTAACATTAAAAACTTATCCATTGGTTTGTCGACAGTAGAAACCCAAACGATTCAAATTATTCTCATAATGTTCATAAATATTTTAATGTAGCTTGCTTTTGCTGATGTTCTGAAGCATTCTGCTGACGGAAAAGTTTGGACTGTTGTTAATAAAATGGACAAAGGATTATACGATGCTGGTTCCACGGTCAAGATGCGATTTTTCGCTAAATATACTGGAACTAAAGCTCCTGATGGCATGGCTTATCTCATGAATCTAGGTGTCGACAGTCAAGTACTGCCCGCGTTACTAAATAGTAAGTAATTCAATCATTGTTATATATTATTTTTATTTGAGATATAGCATGTATAAGTCGTTTCAAAGACAAAAACAGAGACATGACCTGTTACATTTCTTCGAATTTTAGCTGGATGTACCAAATACAACTACGATGATGTTATCAGAAAATCTATCTTGTTCTACGAGGCTCAAAGATCTGGTAAATTACCCAAAACTAACAGAATAAAATGGAGAGGAGATTCTGGTTTAAAAGATGGTAGTGATGTTGGTGTTGATTTGACTGGTGGATGGTATGATGGTAAGCTAGCCGCGCGTGTGTTATACTTATTGCTCATTATGGGGTACATTTTGACCAACGGACAACACTAAGTATAAATGGAATGTGGCCGGTTATGGGACTCACGTTTCTTAATAGGAAAACCTATGGTATTAACCGGTATTAAAAACATAATTCAGGGCTGGCATGACATTATCAACCTCTACGGGCTGCGATAATGGACGATTTTGCAATTACACTGTAAGTTACCAGATTGAAGTATGTTGTGCCCTCTTTCAGCTGGTGATCACGTTAAATTTGGTTTTCCAATGGCATTTTCTACCGCTGTGCTTGGGTATGGGTTACTTCAGTGGAGAGATGCCTATGCAGAAAGTGGTCAACTGGATTGGATGTATGACTCTATTAAATGGCCTTTAGATTATTTCCTGAAAGCTCACACAAAACCAGAAGAGTTATATGTTCAGGTAAGAGGGTCATTTATTCACCTTGAAGCATATCTGATATGCGTGGTTTTCCGGGATTGAAGGGTTGGGGATGGTGAAGCTGTTGCATACCCGTTGCAGTTCTCTAGTTCGGCGCTTCGTCAAGTTTATGTGGTGTCTGCGAAAATTAATATGGCACAAATCACTATTTTTCAGTCAGGCGACCGAAGTATGATAACACCAATGTGCTATTTTGTTATTTTTAAGGTTGGTAATGCTGGTGCCGATCATGGTTTCTGGGGAAGACCAGAAGATATGAAAATGTCTAGACCAGCTTATAAAATCGATGCTAGTCGACCTGGAAGTGACGTAGCACACGAAACAAGTGCGGCGTTTGCTGTAGGCTATATGCTTTATAGAGACAAAGGTATATTCTGATTTGTTCGCTAGTATTTATCAGAGGGTGATATGTCTTGATCCCGATTGACAATTCCAAGACACATTCGAACCAATGACAAACAGTTTACGGAAGGTCAGAAGGAATGTTACGGATAGTATCCCCATTTCAACTTGTTTGATATACATACATTGTATAGGGTTTGATAGAATGTAATCAATATATCACCCATATTTACCCACAGATCCGGCTTATGCTGCCAAATTAAAGGAGCATGCTACACAACTATATGATTTTGGTATGAAACATAAAGGACGTTATACAGATTCTGTTTCCGCAGCCTCTGGATTTTATAGGCAAGTACAGGTTATTCCATGGTCAATGTATGCATTTTGTATTGTGGCCGGCCGAATGATCTATGACATGGCACCGATATCACAGGTTTTGCACCAGGTATTCAGGACGAACCATCAATTGGCTTTGGTGAGGAGCTGGCCCTTACCCAACTCGATATGTTTGCTCTAGTGTCTACACATTGTTAAGGAGCCCCCATTGCTACATAGTCGACCCCCCCCCCCCCACCGCACCAGTGCAGGGGAAATGATTTACTCCTCGTTATGCATTGCTTTATCTTTGGTTTACAGCAGAGTGCTAACCATAATATATACTGAGTGACTTCATCTCTCCTACTAACTAGTCAATGACGGGTAGCAGGTCGACTTAATCACGCACTGACATAATTTCTTACATTTTTATAGTTCCTCAAATATGACAGATGAACTGTGTTGGTCATCACTGTGGATGTATCAGATAACTAACGATTCTAAATATCTAACAGAAGCCGAGAAATGGTTCCAACCGGGCCCAGCTTGGGGAATGTCATGGGACGATACACAGGCTCCTAATCAGGTAAAAAGCATAATGCTATTTCTCAAATTATGAGAAATCAACAAAGATCGAAGACCTCATGATAGCAAAATAAAGACCGCAAAGTATTTTTAGGTGATGTAGGCTGGATAATCACTAGATAACGCATGTAAATGGACTTCAACATTATATTTGACATGTACTCTGAATAGTTTTGTATTGTAGGTTTTATTGTATAAATTTACTAAGAAAGATATTTATAAACAAGCTGTTGAAGAAACATTTAAATACTGGATGCCAGGTGGAACAATAAAATATACACCAAAAGGATTGGCCTGGAGATTACAATGGGGATCGCTCAGATATGCATGTATGTATTTATTCTGGACAGTCATTCTATTAATACACAAATTTGGTGTAGGAATGTTTATTTGGTGACATCTATGCCTGTTAAATTACTCCTTGATTTTGTTTTCAGCCAACATGGCATTTGTAGCGTTAATGGCTGCTGAAGCCGGAATTAATCCAGAGAAATATAGAGCCTGGGCTATGTCACAGATTCATTATGCTTTAGGTGATACAGGTTTTAGTTACGTCATTGGTTTTGGTGATAAATATCCTTTAAGACCTCATCACAGATCAGCGTAAGTAAACAACTTTCTACTCCGTTTAGTGGGCGCTGCCATTTTTGTCCAAATTATATAAAAATATAATTGTGGCCTATCTCAATGAAGGTAGGATAATATTGATTGGAAGTTTGTTTACTTTTTTATAAAGAATTCTACATGTGCATATTATGTTGTTTTACGATTTACGTTGCTGTTCTTCAGATCATGTCCTTGGGCACCCGCCCCCTGTTCACCTAACACTGTCCATAGACCACAACCTAGTGTTCATACACTCTATGGAGCTTTAGTTGGAGGTCCTGATGCCGGTGATCAATATAAAGACACCAGAGAAAATTATATTAATAATGAAGTAGCCACTGATTATAATGCTGCTTTCCAAGGAGCCGTAGCGGGTAATGTATTTTTTATTTTAAATATTCCAGAGAGTATAACCAAATTCGACCCAAACAAACAATAAAACTACTTTTAAGGTGAACATCAATGATGTATATGAAAAGGTTAAATTTTCTGATCGTCATTTGAGTAATGTTAAACGCCCTTGTGAAAGCTGGGTCTCTAAAGGAAATAGCCGTCCAAAATGATTCATCTCCGTTCAGTATATTTGCAAAGATTATATGATAACTAAAAATGTGTTAACAATTGGCATTTTCCGCATGCGCAGATTATATAAAGGGGGAATGGTCAAAGCAAGCCATGATTGTCTGCGATATCACCTCGGTGGAAGCGGATGTTATATAAAGCTATTTCACACACAGCAAGCCATGACATTCATTAGTGTCAAACGTAACTTTAATTTCTTTTTTAGGTTTGAGATCACTGATTTTGAGAAAGATTCATCCTGAGCAGGTAGCAGGAACTGCTAAATGCAACCGTTGAAATGGAAAACGAATAAATAAACATATGTTCGATGTACTTTGAATGGATTATGAGTTATTTATATTTATGAATCCCGCACATTAAATATAGAATTAAGTGGTTATTGGTTTCAGAATTGTTACAATTTTCCTTCTAAATACAATGGTTAATGTATACAACGAGATACGATTTACAGACCCCTCCCTTCCACCTGCATCCCAGCACCCAGCCAAACAACAAAGTCCCATAATTGATTCTAACCAGTAGCCATAATAGAAAGAACGGTGGAATTGACATTTAAGCATAAAAACAACGGAATGTTCGTCTGTTTTAATGATGCAAATATGAATCTCTTCAGTTGAGTTCGGCTATATTTTTGCTGTCACCATCAACTGATGTTTCAACTTAAAAATATTGTTATATGCAACGATTTAAAAAAAACTCGTTTAAGTTGTCACTACTACTACAGTACATGAACCAGGTTTCATTAACAGATCACTAAAAGTTGTATCAAACCATAGTGGATGGGTTTTTATATTTGTTCCAATGTTCATTATATCGCATATCATGTCTTAGAACACCAGTGGGGTCATTCAAGATGACAAACCGAAGTTTCATATCGAAATGCTCTACGTGTACATACACAGTCTTTTGCTAGGTAACCGAATTCATACCCCCATATACAGCGAATGCGTCGTTCAGACCCTGTTAAGCCATGCTTTCCTTGTCGTTCTGAGATTTTACTGTAGTAGTGCCGAAGTGCTGTTTCTGGGGTTTGTAGCTTATTCCAACACTAACGACGAAAACTCAGATAAATAGTAAAAATTGTACTTTTAATAAACGATTGTCCAAAACTGGCTAACGGTCACAATAACGAGATAGGTATCGCTAGGGCGAGCCGGTCACCAGACTAAAGTTACAGTAGAATATAGAAATACAAGCTTAGGATTAAAATTATTATATAATAATATTTGATCAGAAATGTTAAATTATACATAGGAAACAGATGTTTAAATACAGAAGAAGATATGGACATGTCAAGGACGCGTGTTAATTATAATTACGTAATATATATCGTTATATTAAGTATAAACCCAAACAGTTAAAAAACTTGAACGATTAGTGAGATATCAATTCGGACATTGGTCAATTGCTATTTTGACTAAAATTAAATAGTAATAAAATATATAGAAAGACCTACTATAACAGGAGCATCCATATGATGGATCTTCAAAAACTCCAATCGGAAAACGGTCAATGTATCATTTTCACAAAATCCGGTATGCAAACGGAATCGAGTTCGTGAGTTCCCCTAGTAACATATATTATACTACTCTCGTTGTGTATATCTTGAATGTTCTACTTTTCTGCACCGAAGAAGCGAATGGAGAAGGGCATATATCCATAAGTAAAAAGTTGAGCATGTCAAATTAAAATACCCATGATCATTTCATAGTGACGACGAGCGACAGTGTCCTACTCTTATATCGAATTCCAACTGCCAAGGGATCTTTTACGTGCACGCCAATTTGTACACGGGACCTCGATTTTTCGTCCCATCCGAACGACTAGACAGCTGTCCTTGTCAGACCCTCCGTCCTGCATCACTGACAAGGGGAAACCACGCCGGAAAATCGGGATGAACTTTCTCGGCCAATGCAGGGATCGAACACCCGACCTCCAGGCTAGCGAGCCAGCGTCTTACCCACTTAGCCACGTGATTCCCAACCAGAAAGCAGCATTGCAGCTTATTATGTGAAGGACCGTCCACATTCAGAACGTCCCCCAGTTACATCACATTTAAAATACAGAGCACTTTTACGGCTGGTAAGACGTTTCCTATTTGCATCCAGCACAGCCCTAACGCGTCAATGACTGCCACATCGCCGTATAAGCACAAGAACTGTAAAGAACCGGTTATGGTGAAATTAATGGATGAAATCCTACAAACAGAATAACATTACTAACTGACCGGTAACATCCTAAATGCCAAGAATAGGTTATTATTTTGTAGGCTGAAAATAATGAGACTTATTTTGTTTCATCAAGGTACGAAACGTAACAAAATACAAGTAATAGCTAAAGTACATAACAAATTAAGAAGTATACAAATGAAATGGGCCATAATCAATACTCCATAATTACATTGTTTGTGGCGTGATATAACCAACTCCAGTGCTGTTTGCACGGCAAACACCGGAATTGTTTGAGGAAAATCAAAGTGTACAAGTTATTCATATATTAAACCACTTTCAGTTAAACATTGTATTCAATGCTGTCATTTAGACTGGTAGAGCTAGTTCTCCTGTACCTTTAACTTTCGGCTGTAGCTTGTACAGATGACATATACCTTATCGCAAAAATGAGATAGTGGACTATAAATGTCGAGCATAATTTAAATTGATAATATGCAGGATCTACGAAATGGAAAGGAGATTTAAAGGAGCTAAATCTCTAATATTTGGGACCTAGAAATTGACACAAATGGGTCGCAACGCATATGACATGTCTAGCCTCGTTCGTCGAATCTCATGTTACAAATGGCTCTGACAAACGCATTATGGCACACGATTCGTGAACCAATGGTAAAATGTTTGTTTTGTCGTAAATATTGGATAATAGACGCCAGTCTTTTCCCGGTAAGATCACAACATCAATGTTGATTTAAATTGACAAATACTTCTCTTTTTCAATGTCGAAGACTTTGGATCATATTATGATGATTTTAGCTACTTTAAGAGCACCATGGGGCAAGGGAGCGTATCACTCGCAACCATTTATTTTCGGGTTATAAAAACAGAAATTAGCATTATTTTGTTCGATCTAAGTCATGAATGCGTGTGTTGTGGAAGGGGCGTCACCTATGTCCAAAAATCTGTGCACTATACCAGAAAAATACCCTCATTGCAAATACTAGTTAGCTGGTTTTTCATGTATAGATTTGTAAAACTTTCACGGCAATTAATTTGTATGAACTCACTTTAATTTGATTTACGGTTGTCTTTTTCATGAGGTGAGAAGTTTCTTCAGGTTCTACACGTTGTCAAATGAACGACTGAGAATTTGTAGCTAACACTATTAACCTTACACCATTGACTAACGAACCTAGCCCATTTTCTAATGACATGTATTTGTCATTAAATCGCACAAGTGATCACTAATAAACATTATGTATATAAAATGAAAACTTCAGTTATCTTTTTTTCATGAGATGGGAAGTTTCCTCATCTGGACTCTACGCTGTCAAAAGAAAGACTGAGACTTTTTTAGTTAACACTGTTAACCTGATACATAGACATCAAGGAAATAAATGACATCATTAGCCCCTCAATCAATTTTCGTCCGACTAGCTGGTTCGACGAATTTATCATGTTCTGAATCCTTTTTAAAATCATAGCTGCTGCACCAATGCCATTACGTGAAAGATGACATACTAGTTTAATTCTACTTTAGCCGTCTTAGGTATTTATTCACATGACAAGCCTATAATCAACTTTCGATTGTCAAGTACCATTACTACGATAATCAGTGCCGGACTGGGCCCACCTGTCCACCTGTCCGTGACAGGTGAGCCTAAATTCATATAAAAAAGTGGGTCTAAGCCTATAAAGAAAAAAGAAAAAAGAGAAAGAAAAAAGAAAAAGAGAAAGAAAAAAGAAAAGAGAAAGAAAGGAGAGGGGAAGGAAAGAAAAGAAAGAAAGAAGGAGAGGACAAGACAGGACAGGACAGGACACGGGACAGGAGTAAGAAAACTCAAATTCATCTAATGATAGTGCTGCTCTTAGGTCATTCCGTTATCTGATTGTATCAGAAAATCAAAAATTTGCCTTTTTCTGCTTTGGTCTGAAATGCTTGGAAAATGGGTTTGCGGTTGTCAATTTTCAAAATTTTTCTGGGAGAAGAACCCCCCACCCCCGAGCCCCTTTCGGCGCGTACTTGTGTGGGCCTTGGTCAATGACCTGACAGGTGGGCCTTCGACCCATCAGTATGCACTGATGATAATAAACTATCTATGCCACACCTTCAAACAGTAATAACTTTGCCTAGAATAAAGTGATCTGAATGAAACTTTCAACAGATTTAATTTTCATTATCTTTTTTTTTAAATTATTACAGCAAGAACGGTCAGCTCTTTATCTAAATCTCTAAGTGTGTGTGTGGGTGGGTGGGGGGGGGGTTGCACTGATAGTTTCAGTTATTTTGTTGACCTTGGTTATACAACATCAGTGAGCCATTTTTTTTATGTCGAATGTACCTAGATATGTAGGAGGGTGTAGGTCAATTTAGACTATTCTACAGATAAGACTTGAGAATATAAGCACATGCAACCTCATTTATTAGAGAACAGAGAAGAACGCTGGCGGCAAAGGTAAAAGTCTTGTACAGTTGCACTAAACTTTTTAAATAGAAATTTCGTCTAAACGCTTAAGATAAATAATAAATAATTCATTATATAATTTCTGTTGTATATATATATAATGTCATTATTTATGAAAAGTTCCTAGACTAGAGAAAGGTACTTTTAAAATGTTTTAATGTTATTAAACCAGTGTTGAAATCAGTTTGTGTCGGCATATCTTTTATCGTTTTCATCGTTTACAGTGAAATATAGAAGTGCAGCTTTGTGCTACTATTATTTGTGAGTTGTTTTTAAAAATATTGAGAAATAGTATAAAAGCTAAATATATATAACTTATCAATCATTTTAAAAACAACTTGGCACCTTAGTTCTATGAAATTGTAGACTTTTTGTTATAAATTCAAAAGGCTGTCACCAACTTTCACATCCGGACTCCTACGTTAACTTCTTGCCGCCGACGACAAAAAGTGTTCACACCTTATACACATCAAGAGGATGTACAACGATTAATCTTCCCGGAATAATCCGCAGTCATCATCTTTGAGTCATTTCACAGTTTTATTATATTCTTTATCTTTTCCAGATGAGGATTTCGCTCTTCCTTTGGACTCTAGTGTCAGTTACCCTAAGCACTTCTGAAGCTGAAACTCCGCTTCCTGTTGAAATTAGTAACCATTGGAGTGGTGGTTTTCAGGGGAAATTTTGTGTGCCAGTCGTGAAGGAATTGACATCTTGGAAGGCAGATTTAATATTTGACCAAAAAATAAATTCTTTGGAGGTAGTTTATCTTAAATGCCATATTCTTTAAGACAAATCCGAGAATACATTGGCTGCGTCAAAACTAATTCAAATTTGTTTCACGAAACACGAAACTGCTTAAATCTGAGCAGTTTCGAAATAGCAAAATGCATAATGTTATAGCACAATAGGCTGATCTGTGTACACGACGTGTAAGATATGCACCGGAATATCAAGTGTACACAAAAATCTAACTCAAATCAATTTCCATTTCATTATCCCTATCCTAACTCCATTTGGCGCGAGATAAAGGCTAATGGTAGGGCCAGGGTCTGGTGTGGTGAACATTTTAATAATTCACATGGAAAATCAAAGAAAAACAATTATTGAAGACGGTATAGTATAGTAAGGGGTCCAGCATTGTGCATTCTCCCTCTTCCTTCTTGCCAGCCGTTCCCGATCTGCAGGCGTAGGGTCTGAAATATTTCACTTTAAAGACGGTCTTGATTGATTTTGTTCATTTACGGTAATATGTAATTATGTATTTGTTATTAGTGGACTTTATCTTTAAATATTTGGTTTTGCATAGGTATGGACAGCTGAAATTGCTGAAAGTAAGCCTGGAGGTAAAGAGTTCGTACTGACGAATAAACCATGGAATGCCGTTGAACACGTTGGGGATCAAATCTGTGTAACATTTCTTGGTCATGGAGATGGCGATATTTCACCTAAAGCTACAGTAATAATTGAAGGCATGGATGTCAGTATTCCACCAACTCTTAGTCCTGGCTCCACTGGCGTCACTGACTCCACTGGTCCCAGTAAGTACACCCTTTATTTACAGCTATATAACACATCGTTGTACAAGTAAAGGTAATATCAAAAGACTAACGATGCAAAATAAAAGAGGAACATTGTTCTTTCTTACAAATTTATAAACCACACTACCTTTGCCTCAACTCCATGATTCTTCTATTGTCCACGGCATATATCTGACTGATGAGCATTATCTTTCATGGCTAATATAGTTTAGTGTTGCTGCCTTAGACATCCGCTGAACGAAGCAGACAGGCTGTCTTTTGTATTGAAATATACATCCCCGTCTCAATGAAATAAACACTTTAAACATAGTTTTTACAAAATATTAAAAATAATAAAACAAAAACCCAAAACATATAAGTTATTTCGTTTTTCCAGCTTCTTCTACAGGCCAGACCGGAACCATTCCTGCCACTGGACCATACAAGGTGTTCAATGACTGGCCAGAGCAAACCCGGGTGGAAGGTGAATTTCAGTTTCCTGCTGGGAATGGAATCAATGGTTGGGAAGTTAACATTACCTTCGCTGAATCTGTAACATCCATGGAGGTACATTTTCATCACTACATTTTACTTGTGAACATATCTTTCTAATACAACAGAATAAATTTACAATACGCATTAGTTGCAACAGCAAGTATTGTTTTGAAAACAAAAAAATAGTAAATGTGTCCGTCGTTCAAAAGCTTCATCGGTGTGTTCTATCTTAACTATTTGTATAACGAATAAAGTTTTAAAACAAGCCTGTAATCAGTCGAAAATTTAAACTCAGAAACTTCCGTTTAGTTTTTCAAACCTCATCGTGCATTACAGTGGGTAAAATTCACAGACGACAAACTGCTCAAATCAACCAATCATAATCTGAAAAAAGTATCTTGATACTAATCTGTACTATATCCTCTTTTATTCCTGTTGTATAATAATAGTATTATTATTATAATAATATTTTACTATATAGATTGCTTTTGCTGATGTTCTAAATAAGTCTGCTGACGGAAAGGTTTGGACTGTTGTTAATAAAATGGACAAAGGATTATACGATGCTGGTTCCACGGTCAAGATGCGATTCTTCGCTAAATATACTGGAACTAAAGCTCCTGATGGCATGGCTTATCTCACAAATCTAGGTGTCGACAGTCAAGTACTGCCCGCGTTACTAAATAGTAAGTACTTAAATCATGTATGATGTACTTTTGTGTTATTACCTTTAAGGCAACTTTTTTTTTAAATCAAAGAGCAAAAATAAATGACCAGTATACATTTCGATGAATTTTAGCTGGATGTACCAAATACAACTACGATGATGTTATCAGAAAATCTATCTTGTTCTACGAAGCTCAAAGATCTGGTAAATTACCAGATAACAACAGAATACCATGGAGAGGTGACTCTGGTCTACAGGATGGTAGTGACGTTGGGGTTGATTTGACTGGTGGCTGGTATGACGGTAAGCTGGTCAATTGGTGTGTCTCTAGCGTGGTTTACATGGGGTCCGTGTCCTACTTGTGGTACATTTTTATCGATGGACGACAAAGGTGGGGAGCTACGGTGCCGAAGTGGGTAAGACGCTGGCTCACCAGCCCGGAGGTCGCGTGTTTGATCCCTGCATTGGCCGAGAAAGTTCATCGTTCGGAAGGAAAAAAACGAGGTCCCGTGTACACATTGGCGTGTACGTAAAAGATCCCTTGGCAGTTGGACTTCGATATAAGAGTAGGCCATACTCTTCATTAGCCTAGTCGGAGCAGAGCAGTAGGACGTTAAACCTCATTTCATTTTATTTCATTTCACGAAAAATGTCCGTTGGACTATGATTTACGTCTTGTAACAGAGAATTATATTTTAAGAAGGCCGTGATGCACTTACGTTAATGGTTGAGTAATTTATAAATCCAACATCAACAAGAGTGCGGTATGCCCGATTAAAACCCGTTGTTCTATTTGAGGAATACAAAAAGATATACCATTAACGACTGGGGTATTACTTATTTACATGATAAATTGAAACATGTTGGATACCCTTTTCTAGCTGGAGATCACGTTAAATTTGGTTTCCCAATGGCATATTCTACCGCAATACTTGGATATGGGTTACTTCAGTGGAGAGATGCCTATGCAGAAAGTGGTCAATTGGATTGGATGTATGACTCTATTAAATGGCCTTTAGATTATTTCCTGAAAGCTCACACAAAACCAGAAGAGTTGTATGTTCAGGTAAGACGGTAGGTTAACATCCTCCTGCCAGTTATTTACACTATCCTATCTGACGCACCAACCGTGCTGTGACTTAAAAGGCAAGCCGCGATGTTTTATACAACTGTTATTGACATACAACACTTGTATGATACACTTCAGGGGTGGTTCCAGAAGCTGAATTCTAACATCAAAGTCCAAATACACTAATGGGCGACCCTTAGAGAGTAAACACAGAATCTGAATTATTCACTAAATCAGTTTTTACAAATACTAGTTATACCTAATAAAGAAATAAAGACTCTAACAAAGATGTCTTAAATACACACTTCTACCCACAGAGATGAAGGCACCATTGTTCTGTATACTAGCCTGAATTGAAAACACCGTAGAAATTAAGCTGATTTATGGCTGAATGACATTGTGGTATAATAATTATAAACCATGATATTTTCTCCCGAAAGCTTTATGCCGTCCAAAGATGCAATTATGTAATTTTATAAAGACAATTATCGCAATTTGATGCATTTGATAGATCAATTCTAAGTTTAAGAGATGCCTAAATGACAAATTCGTGTCGTACCCAGAACATAAGTACTTGGTACTACTTCAGGTCGACATTTGGTCAAGCTACGCCCTCTTTGATATTCTGGCAGTAATTTTGCACAAATCACTGTCAAGATCAATATAGTGCTCGAATTACCCCTTTGATTGATGACATGCCTACTGTTGCTGTTTTTAAGGTTGGTAATGCTGGTGCCGATCATGGTTTCTGGGGAAGACCAGAAGATATGAAAATGTCCAGACCAGCTTATAAAGTCGATGCTACTCAACCTGGAAGTGACGTAGCACACGAAACTAGTGCCGCGTTTGCTATAGGCTATATGATTTATAAAGACAAGGGTATTTATGGCTTATTCGATATACTCTCAGTACCTATCTCGGTGTGAATTTGACACTCAAAGTTTTTTATAAATGGTTGGGAACAACTTATAAATACTAACACTGTAAAACGACCATACCAATAGTCTCTATCTATCTCCCTTGCTCTGTAGATTTATTTATATTTGTCTATAATATTGATTAGTATATACTCATATATGGTCATATGTAATCCAATTATATCTGTAATGGAATATACACGTTATAACTTATATAATAAGATAGAACATCACCCACCCATTACATTATTAAAATAAGGATAGACTTATATCTGTCTGTATTTCCCCAGTCAATTATTAAAAAATATAACCACCACAACCTGCCATTTATCCGACTACCAGCAATGTTAGTTTAATTAGTAAATGTCATTTAAATAATTTTAGCATCGTTTCTGCATGACTTATAACTTACTACCCAAATAACAAATTACTATTTACTTTCAGATCCTGCTTATGCTGCTAAATTAAAGGAACATGCTACACAACTATATGATTTTGGTATGAAATATAAAGCTCGTTATACAGATTCTGTTTCCGCAGCCTCTGGATTTTATAGGTAAGCACACTAATTACATCGTCGGGTTGGTGGGGTGGAACCATGCTAGAAATCACAAGCCGGCTGTGCTGATTAGGGGAGAAGTGTTCTAATGCGTTTTAAAAATAGAATTAAAAACCTGTTTCATTTTTTTTAGTTCTTCAAATATGACAGATGAACTCTGTTGGTCATCACTGTGGATGTACCAGATGACTAACGATTCTAACTATCTAACAGAAGCCGAGAAATGGTTCCAACCCGGTCCAGCTTGGGGAATGTCATGGGACGATACTCAAGCCCCAAATCAGGTAACATTGGTACTTCAAAGTACCGATGCCTCATTTTAATCAATAGGAATCATTTGCTAACTGGAAACTCTATCACTGCGAAAGATGGATCTATTATATTGTTTTGTATGTGTATTGTAGGTTTTATTATATCAGTTTACCAAGAAAGATATTTATAAACAAGCTGTTGAAGAAACATTTAAATACTGGATGCCTGGTGGAACAATAAAATATACACCAAAAGGATTGGCGTGGAGATTACAATGGGGGTCTCTTAGATATGCATGTAAGAATTTTATTTCCGAAATAAAGACGTATGTAAACTTAGATTTAGGTGATATTTAGCAATGGGGTGTTCTATCCATCTAATTTAAAGAAATATAAAGGTGGAATTGTTGATTTATAAAATATTGAAAGAAGGAATAAGTTTAAAACAGAACATTATGATGTGGCTGATTTGGAAGCAATACGTGTATTATAGTTCTGTCTTGAGGTATGTAATATAATGACAATTCAACCAAGCCATTTATATATGTTACAGTCAATGTCTATAATCTGTTATTTTGTATAATGACTGAAATCTGCAGTCAATATCTAAAATAAATAATTCACTTAGGAAATAAACTGACTTAAATATAAAGCCGAGAACTTAACAACTTGACTAAAATCATCTGTCAAATAGTTAGAGTTTATTCAGGATGCAGAAATAAAAATATAGGGTCTTGTAATCTATATTGATCTTCTCGTTTGTGCCCACTCCCATGATGTTACGTAGATTACTTCTGCCATCTAGTGGGATTACAATAATCACATTGTAACACAGATTATCAGCTAAGTGTTCTACTGCCCTTCTCTTCATTTCTCTCTGATTTTGACATTTTCTTGTTCCACTGCTGCGCTTTTGCGGCTTTGGGTCCAATGGCAATTGCTGTTCTTCTGAAATTGGCCATATTATGTAAAACGTTTGTCACCAACCTAGCCAAGCAACTGTCATGTCCTAAATGTTACAGTTCCGCCACTGATCCGTGGCTCTACGAATAACGGAACTTCACTACCGGAACAATAAACAACAATAAAAGTTGAACTAATTGGCTTGCAGCCAGTTTGGAAGTCAAAGGTATCAGCACTTAGTTAAATGTTGGTACACCTTTGTCCAATGGTATGAACATCTGACCATAGACTGTATATCAATCAAATATTCGTGCAAACATGATGCAAATTCCATTAGTTGAAATTCGCCTACGTTTCACTTGACACTCAAGACGCAGATATGTGTAAAGTCAACTGCTTCACGGGTCATGTTAGCTTAGTCGTCTTGTCTCTACTGCCATCTAAAATATATTATTTCTTGTCAATATGGGCAAAGAATTTCCGATCTCATTTTACACATTCACTGACAGTTTCATTTGACTGGATATAGACAATATCTGTAACATGTTATATATATATACGCCAAGCTTAAAAGGGGGAGACTTTAGTTGTTTTTCTCTTCTGCATTATCAAACGTTGCGGTATTTCCAGAGAAGCCAATGACCTATGAAACTAATGAACTTAGTGATTGCAGTAAACGAAAGATACTATAAGCTCATGGGTGTGCGTGAATCAAATCTGTTTTGTATATTGTTAAGAAGTAAAACTGTACTGGAAACAATTGACGGACATAATTTATCTCAGATCCCAGTCGATTATCCTTTATTTCATGTTCGTTGCAGTATAACTTGTATCTGGTATATATCTTTCAGCTAACATGGCGTTGGTAGCTTTAATGGCTGCTGAAGCCGGAATTAATGCAGAGAAATATAGAGTCTGGGCTATGTCACAGATTCATTATGCTTTAGGTGATACAGGTTTTAGTTACGTCATTGGATTTGGTGATAAATATCCTTTAAGACCCCATCACAGATCAGCGTAAGTAACCTTTACCATTCCGTTTAAACTGCACTACCCAATTTTGTACAAATCGTAATAATATGTATGTAAGACAATTGTGGCAGATCTCGATGAAGTTTTTATTTATTTATTTATTTATTGATTTATTTGGGGGTGTTTTTGAAAGAATTCTATATTTGCCTACAATGTTGTTTTATGTTGCCGGTTTTCAGATCATGTCCTTGGGCACCAGCCCCCTGTTCTCCAAATACTGTCCATAGACCACAGCCTAGTGTCCATACACTCTATGGAGCTTTAGTTGGAGGTCCTGATGCCGGTGATCAATATAAAGACACCAGGGAGAATTATATTAATAATGAAGTTGCCACTGATTATAATGCTGCTTTCCAAGGAGCCGTAGTTGGTAATGTAGATTTTATCTCACAGCTTAAAAGAGCTAAGTCTCTAACTCAATATTTTCCATAATATTCAAAATCAAAAACACGAATTAGAATTCAATATTGGTCAATTTCAATCAATATATATGTTGTTATCTTGTCTTGAAACTATAGGATCCTAATATCCAATATTTAAGACACAATTAACATTTTATAATTAGTACATGAGTCGTGTACCCTATGGTTTGGGGTGCCATTTTGTAATGAACAAATAAAAACATATCCTACAACACAATGTGGAAGTAATTAGTAAAGGGTGATTTACAAACGACAAAATAATAATTTAAAAAACGTGTTGAATGCACTAAGCTGGCGTTCAATTTGAACTTTGCACATATTTCACCGAACATAATTGATTAGAAATTACAATATTTTATTCAATAATTGAATATAAATCACTTTACATACATTCATTCATTTTTACACAAATATGTGCTTTTAGAACCATTTTTGTATATTTCAAGGTTCCAAAAATAGACCTAAATACCCTTTATATATGCAGTGTGTTGTTCCTTCAAATGTTGACCAATTTTAGCTCTTTTTAAAAAAAATCTGAATCGACATTCATCAGCATGAATCGTGTTTGATCAAATTTTGCAAGGGTCTGGTGCGGATTCGCTCTATTTGAATTGAGTGGTTACGAAATTTTACTAACAAGTATTTAATACACGATGGGTTCTGTTCCATCCGACCCGTTAAACACTTATACCCCCGTCACACCAGAGTGGCGTCCTTACTCTGCTACGGCGACGGAAGATGGTCTCAGAGCGCGTCATGAGCGCCATAAGCGTGGTAAAAGCTTATATGTGGAAACGCCAGATATCGTGCTGTGGTCGCCATTAATGATCGCAGAGTCACGGCGTTTGTTTTTGGCATGTTCAAAAAACGTCAAGTTTCTGCGATCTGACCAGAAAAGCTGCGAGAAAGCGACTTTTTTCAAGTTTGTGATTTTTTTGGACATTTTCTCGCGTTGTGTTCACGTTTGCCGGCGATCTTGTGCAGTAAGGACGCCTACCCGGTCTGACGGGGGCATTATGTCCTCCGAGGTCCACGGGGCTGAACAGTGCTGGTGTTTCGTGTTTGTGACCTATGTCGTTCTATACGCTATCGTCAATAGGAGATACACACTGGGATCCTAGCTGTTTCCTCCAGCAGAGTAGATGATTATCTATCCATAAAAAAGCCCATCACGCTTTGTTGCCGAGATCCACCCCCACATATGGACTATATCTATTTGTTAAGGCCAGCTCAATTTTCGTCAAGGTCGTCGAGGTATAAATATGGTCAGAACACGAGATTGTTGGCGAGATTGTAGGTAAGGGTAAGCACTGGGGCTAGGTCTGGGTTAGGCTTAGGATTAGCACTAGCCCTGTTTACATCTCGTGATCTTTGACCAAACTTGAAGTTGGCCTTATCAAATAGATCTAACCCCACATGTGGTAACAATTTAACCAGCATGACCCTGGAAATGTTTTAGGCCATCAATTTTATGTCTTAGGCCATTGCATAATGCTTCGTCATTGCGGTTCACCCCCACATGTGATTGTAAAATTAACTTGCATGACCCTGTGAATGTATTAGACCATCGAATGGTTTCCTGTGCACAGGAGCAATTTTCTTGATATACATTATTAAAATTTAACAGTCACCTAGGAAAAGAGAACTAAGGAAAAAATTCAGATTATATTTTATATATATTTAAAATCATAGCAATATACATTTCTGTCATCATATATTCTCATAAAAAATTATATGGTGTATATTCTACAAGTCCCAGTAGCTCCTTACAATACTGTAAATAGAGATATTGTGATAAGCAAGGTATGTAAAATAGAACTTTGTACACTGCCTGGAACAACTGAGATTTTAAAACATATACCATCTTATACATAATTTAATTATGTCTTTACCATAGAAACTTTATTGCCAAATATCAATATATAAAATATAGAATTTGATATAATACATAACCGCCATTTGAACCCGGCCTAGTATGGCTACATACATACTGATGTCCAAAAGAAAGTATACACACTAAAAGTATGACTAAGTTTTGTTTAGATTAAAAACATTTGATAAAGCATTACCGAGTTTGTCTCTTGCGTCCAAAATCAACATTTCTAAGCAAAAAAAAAGGTGAAACAAATTGACTTCTACCCAAATACCGTATACCATGGAAAAACGACTTTGATTGATGCAGCACAAAATGCACAGTGTATACTTTCTTTTGGGCATTAGTATATATATTATATCAAGCTATTTCTATTCATAATCTACTAGTCAGCCATTTGATGACACACAAAGAAAGATACAACAGGTGTTAATTGATTAAAAAAAAATAACATTGATTATATCACAAAGATTAAATAATACACCGGGAGTGTGCTAAAAAGATCTATATGATCTACATTTAAAAGTAAGAACATATTATGTACTTGTCCAATGAATATATCTAATATATTTGGCCAGGTAAATTCTAAGTATTTCTAAGAATCTTATTTATCAACAACACACAAAAAGAAAGTGTTTCTAACAATCTTTCTTATCTACAACACATTGAAGTTTGTATTAAAAATCACATAATCAGACTGTTTCTAACAATCTTTATAACCTACAACACACTTAAGCTTAATAATAAAATAATAATCGTTTTCTCTAGTGCTGAACATTCAGTCAGACTGAATATGATTATAAAAAAAACAACATACATGTACATAAAATAAACAAAAGAATACAACGGAATAGTCAAGTTACAATATAAAAATGGAAAGTTAAATTAAAGCTTAAATTAAAAATCACAAATAACAAAGTGTTTCTAACAATCTTTATAATCTGCAACACTAACTTTAAACTAAAAATCAAAAACACAAAGTATTTCGAACACAAATCACAGATATACTATTATGATATGAAATAAATATCAAAGTTATATCCCTTCTTTATACTATCATTCCTCATATAAGTTTCAATTACACTTTGAGCAAATATATCTGAATAAGATTGATCCATCTAATCAAGCTCATTACATTGTAACTCAAAATGGGATTTAGAAATCAGCGTTAAAATATTGTCAAGCCATGTCTCTAGAAACAACAGCGTTTACAAATGTATGGGAAAAAATATTTCTCAATCTCTTTTTCAGGTTTGAGATCATTGATTTTAAGAAAGATCCATCCTGAGCAGCTAGCAGGAACTGCTAAATGTAACTTTTCAAAGTGATAACCCATCTAATGTATCCTCGATTATTTGAGAATTGTTTTCAATGAATCTTACATATTAAAATATTTTCTATATTTAATTTTTTTGCTGTTTGTGCAATAGAGCAGCCAATTCAATCCCCACTGCCCTACTTTGTTAAATTTTTGTAATGTAATGTTTTTGATGGGCTTGGTGTCCTTGAACAGGTGTGTGGGGGTGATTTGTTTTGGTCTTGAAAGCAGACTTCTGGGCATTTAATATGTCTACTCTCAATTTCCATTAGTTTTTTTCATTAAGATATAATTATGTATTTGTGCAACTAAACACCCACCCACTGTATACCCACCCCTATCATCCAAGCTCACAAGATGTCATGTGTAATACTTCAAATGACATTGTTGGCACACAAAGTAGTTTATATATTAGGCAAAAAATAATATCTCAATCAACTATCTAATTAAACATACATCTCAAATGCCCAGAATTCTGTGACTACAAATTTTACAATGCTATATACCGAAATCTAACCCAAAGCCCATTATTTATTTGGAAACAAGTCTGATTAGGTTGGTTTGGACTAATAGTAGTATTAAAAAGATTGAGATCTAACTATCTATCTATTATAACAAATACTGCACACTCAGTTATAACTAGTAATCATAATACAAAGTTGTCCATGAATCTGCTCAGACTAAAAAATGGTTCATCAAGTGGACATCATAATAATAATAATAATAATAATAATAAAAATAATAATAATAATTAATGTTAGTGCATTACAATATTACAATGATCACCATTATGGAATATTTTCATAAGGTGTACCTATTTATTTGTTGTTATTTTTGTTGTAATCACATACCAAGAATTATTTTTGTTGAAGTCTAGTTATATTAAAGGAAATGGAAGCTTATAATTACCCTATTTCCGGTTCGTTTCAGAATGGATTAAGAACCCTGCAATGATGTAATATATTAAGCGCCTTGGCCACAGATGTTATTGTATTCACTGTTATTAACAACCCCTAATTAAACTGGGGTTTTTAATGGTTGTTTACAGTAAACTTGTTAAATGTATAAGTTAAAACTGAGTCAAGAACAATATGAAAATGAATGGAAAGACAACTGATTGAAATCAGATGAAGAGAATGAAATATGAAATAGCTGCAATGACTGTAATATGACACGAGGCGAAGAGGCGAAGAAGGCTAGGCGTTGGTTATGATTTGCCAAATTTACAGGCTTAACATTAACAAAAAAAGTAGGCATGCACCAAAATAAATAGTTGTTGTCTTTACTGTATAAGGAATAAATATGCGAAGTTCGAAGATAATCCATTCAGAATTGCTGCCTGTAGACGATAAATACAAAAATTGGGCGTGGCTCTGCCCCTAGGGGGTGGATATGGAACAATATAAATAGGTACCACCCTGTTATTGAAATAATTGATATGCTGAATTATAACAAAAATTGTTAATTATTGCAACCTGTAGAGTATTTACAGATAAAAATTTAAAAAAACGTGGGTGGGGTACCACACCCCTGGGGATCGGGACATACACCAAAATAAATAGTTGTTATCCTTACAGTGTAAAGAATGAATATGCCATGTTCCAAGATGATCCATTTAGATAAACACAAAAATTGGGCATGGCTCAGCCCCTGGGGGTCGGAACATGCAGTTATCTTTAGGCTATAAGGAATACATATGCCACGTTCCAAGACGATCCATTAGGAATGGTGGCCTGTAGGCAACACACAGACACACAAAACCAAAATGGGTGTGGCTCTGCCTCTAAGGGTTGGGCATGCATTACAAACTATAGGGATGTTCCTTGGGGTAAAAGGAATAAGAATGAAAAATGTCAAGATGATAAGTTCAGAAATGTGGCCGGTAGATGACAAACAAATACAAGAAATGGGTGTGTTTCTGCCCCTGAGGGTCGGGCACCTGAGGGTATAAAGTATAAGTATGCAAAGTATCAAAATGATACATTAAGAAATGCAGCCTGTAGATGACAAACATACAAATACAAGAAATGGGCGTGGCTCTGCCCCTGGGGGCCGGGCATGCACCAAAAGCAATAGGGATCATCCTTAGGGTATAAGTAATAAGTATGAACATTTTTTTAAGACAATTGATTATGAATTGTGGCCTGTAGGCGACACAGAGATACACAAAAAGAAAATTGGTGTGGCTCTGCCCCTGGGGGTTGGGCATGCACCACAAACAAATACAAGAAATGGGGGTCTGCCCCTGGGGGTCAGGCATGCATCAAAAACTATAGGGATCATCCTTAGGGTATAAGTAATAAGTGTGCAAAGTTTCAGGACAATCCATTAAGAATTGCGCTCTGTAGGCAACCCATAGACACACCCACACAAACAGGGGCCACAGCATAATACAGACGTCCACATAAAAATTAATGTTCCATTTTTATGAAAAGGAAAAGACAAGCACAAATGATCATTCGGGGGAAGAACAGAAAATCTAGTGCAAAACTAGCAATAACAAGTGGACCGATAGGTAAGCCAAAAAATAATTGATTTGATATTTGTGGTTTATTTCTTACATTGTCTGTGAAGTTTGTCTTGTCCGCAGGTTTGTCTTACAGCTTTGTTTGTGTGCAGAGTGGTACTCCTGCATATACTTTTACTGTTAGATAGTGACAACCAGAGCCATACAGTAGCCAATTGTAACCATGGTCGCCATTTTGTAACACATTTATTAGTCTAATTGATCAACATTATAACAAACCAAATGAGTGTCAGTGAAAATGAACCAAGTGATAGTTATATAAAATAGCACTAAGATGAGACAAAAAAGACAAAACAACTTTGTCACTCGATAACAATTGAAACAACAATTGGGTAGGGGCCTTTTTCACAAAATTTTAACTAAGATAAAATCCAAATTTGAGTAATTTGATTGGATAATATTAGATTGATTTTAGTGCTTAGCCAATCAAAACTGAAGTATCTACTAAAATTTAGATTTTATCTTTAGTTAAGAATTCGAGAAACAGGGCCAAGATTCTCTCTATAAATGGCTCTGGTTACAACTATGGTAAATCACAATAAAAAAAGTCCATGTTTCATTGAATGGTAATCAATCTTGTCAATACTTGAACCAAATTTGCTAAAAATTTAACCCATTTATAAACAATCCAAAACAATATACATGTATTTCATACTAGATTTCATCACAATCCTTAATAACCTTCATCATGGTTTATAACAAATTTGATCACAATCCATATCATTCAGTATAGTATATATAACTTCATTATTATCAATAACTCATTTCTGCATAGATGTAGATCTTTATATATTACATAATCCACAACGGATTTCATTGTAATTCATAAAAACAAATGTTGCATAAATGATAATCAAAACTAATATCAGATATTATCTTTGACATTGTAAGGACAACATACATGCAGGTCTATAGGACATTGATGAATCAAAAAATAAACAGGGACATGATAACTTTTACTCAAATTATTAGTGTTCCAACTAGATTTTATCTGTTTATTTTGTCAAACACTACACCATTTTTTTATGCACTTAAAGGTTCTTTAAGTTTAGTTTGATGAATATCTTTTTTATTTTTTATTCCTACCTCCACATTTGTTTGATTCTGGCCTCTTGGCGCATCTACACTGTCATTGCTTCTTCTATGGTTAAAGTTTGATTGTTCATGATCCTCTGTACACATCATAGGTGTTCCAGATATTCTCATAGTTTGTTCAGTCACTTCATCTTGTTCAGTCACTTCATCTTGTTCAGTCACTGCATCTTGTTCAGTCACTTCATCTTGTTCAGTCACTGCATCAGCCATAGGTATATTTTTTCCATTAAGATAACTTTCACTACCAGCTGATGGATTCCTATGCATAATATTTGGTGCATTACTTGCATTACTAATTGGTGACTGGCTACTATGCACAGTTTCATCATTACTTTGATTACCAGGTAGCAGGCGATGACTTTCATCTGGTTGGTTTATCTCACTAGTAGTAGTGTCTTTTAGGTTTAGGAATGGATTTATATCTTGATGATTTTCCATTTTTTCAGCTATGATGTTCAGCTCCATGACTTTCAATCTATCATAAAAAACTTGAGCCGTAACATTCACAGGGTCTGCCCTGTAGTACCGATTGATGAAAATTGTAAGATAGCCTTCTGCAATGTGAGTACGTGGATAAATTTGATTGCTTTTCACTTCACAATTAAAATTGTTCACATCTGAAATGCAATAAAATGAGTATTTTTAAGCACATGTCCGAAGGTTCAAGTCTGATCAATATGACAAAATACTTGGTCTAATAAGAAACTGAAATAATCCATATTAAAAGGACATGAAACCGTCAACTTCTTTGGATCTTTTGGTATAAAGACAGTATCCCGATTCTTTCACGATTATTATGACCAACAAGCCAACAGTGAGGCTGATGTCCCCCGCCGAAATCCCAAAATAAATAGATGACACATATTAATTAATCACACATTTCTTTTTTTCAAAAGTATCAAGCAATCAAACAATACACTAAGTTTCATCACCCTTTATCAGATAGGATCAAGATTATCTTGTCCCAAAGCATTGACCAATGAAATTGCTTAGCTTCAGCTTGAAATGTTAATCATTGAACTCAGTCAAGACATTCACCTAATAAACATCTACATCAAGTTTAAACATTCTACCTCAATTAAAAGCAGAGTTGTTATGTTCCAAAGTCTTGACCAATCAATTTGCTTATCGCTCTTTAGCCTAAGCAGAAAATTCTCACCATCGTACTTAGTCAAGGTAATGATATAATGAAAGCTATATTCGGAGTTTCATCGCTCTCACTTCATTATAACCAAGGTTACCGGGGGGGGGGGGGCCCAAAGCATCAAACTATCAGTATGCTTATCTCTGCTTACCGTAAGCAGACAATGTTCATCATCGAACTCGATCAAGGCAAGTTTGAACCTTCTACCTCAATTAGAAGGAGAGTTATTGTGTTCCAAAGTCTCAACCAATCAAATTGCTTATTGTTCTTAGCAGAAAATGTTCATTATCGAACTTAGTCAAGGTATTGATTAAATAAAGCTATACACCAAGTGTCCTCACTCTCACTTAATTAGAACTAAAGTTAACGTGTCCCAAAGCATCTACCAATCAAATTGCTTATCTCTGCTTACCCTAAGCAGAATATTCTCATCTTCGAACTCCATCAAGGCATTCACCTAACAGACAATTGCTTATCTCTGCTTACCCTAAGCAGAAAATGCTCATCTTCGAATTTTATCAAGGCATTCACCTAATAAACACGTACGCCAAGTGTGAACAGTTTAGCTCAATTAGAATGATGAGAGTTATTGTGTTCCAAAGTCTTGACCAATCAAATTGCTTATCGCTCTGCTTACCCTGAGCAGAAAATGCTCATTACCGAACTTAGTCAAGGTATTGATGTAATGAAACAATACACCAAGTTTCATCACTCTCACTTAATTAGGACTAAAGTTATCGTGTCCCAAAGCATCAACCAATCAAATTGCTTATCCCTGCTTAATCTAAGCAGAAAATGCTCAACTTTGAACTCTATCAAGGCATTGACCTAATAAACACTTACACCAAGATTGAACATTATTGTGTCCCAAAAAGTGTGACGGACAGACAGGAGGACGGACGGACCAACAGCCAGACAGACGGACGGATGGACCGACGGACACATTTTAATAGTCCCCTGCTTTCTTCGAAAGGTGGGGGACAATAATGACAGGAGCCATTATGGCTAAGTGAGTAAGTTTTTCGGCAAGGTTTCCTTTGTCAATAGTGCTGGACAAAGTACCTGGCAAGGAACTGTCGTCTAGAATAAAACATTGAGCTGAAGAACTGTGAATACATTGGTGTACACATAAAGAACCCTTGGCAGCCGGAATTCGAAAGCACACTGCATGGTGTATATACCAGTCTTCATTAGTCTGGCTGGACCCCATTTCCAGATCTGGATTTACCTAAAAGGCATCAAGATCTATGTAGTCAAGGTGCATAATATTTTTGACACTGTCTTAAACCCGCCTTAAAGCTTACACACATGTATACTGTAGTCTTAAACATCCGTTATCATCCGCAGCTTGCTCTAGTCTTGGGGTTCGGGGATTGGAAGGGTCCTCATAAGTGGAAAAGTTTAGGGCCTCTCTTCATCTCAGTCTGGAACTGCCCATGTCATTTCATGTCATATCCAATCAAGAAAAGCTAACATTTTGTATGAATATATATACCTGGAAGACCTATGGTAAACACTTGTACATTCCCTAGATTACTTGAAAGTATATCTATAGTTGGTTGAAGCCATTTGGGTCTTGTTGCAACTGAAATAAATAATTAAAATTTAGAACAGAACGAGTCTATAGTTAAAGTAGCTAAGTCTCTAACACAATATCATCCAAAGTCTTTGACATTGAAAACACAAATTATTTGTCAATTTAAATCAACACTGATGTTGTGATCTTACCGGGAAAAGATGGGCTTCTGATATCCAATATTTAAGACAAAATCAACATTTTATCATTGGTACACAAATTGTGTACCATAATGTGTTTCAGCGCCATTTGTAACAAAAGTCATGTCGAACGGTGATGACATATTTTTATCTGTAGTGCATGCACAATAAATACTATCGGTATAGACTGGTATAACCAGATGTTAGAGATTGACATTCTGACGTCACTGAAGTCATAGGTTTGTATTTGATAAGGAAAAGGGCTGCCTTCCTGATCTCATGGGTTTTTCTTTGGGTTTTCTAGTTTCCTCACATTGCTCAAGATCTTCCTTACATGCAAGTGAATTATAGATAAAAAGATGTACATTGTGTTGAGTGGACATTGTACCCAATTCTTTTTCCCACCACATAACGATGATTCAAAAATCATGTTTAATCATCTTTATGGACTTTTAGCAGCAGATAGCAGAAGAATTTAAAATCATATATCTTGTATCTGAGCAAGATGACCAAATATCTGAGAATGATAATTACATCGGATAGAAGAAAAAATACATAACAAAACTAAAATCACAATTTTTCATACAATTAGGGGCCATAATTCAGCAAGTGACAGTCCAATGTGCGTGAATATTGAAAGGAACCAAGATTTTTTGGATATAAACATATATCTTAAGTTTCATTAAAATCAGAACAAAATTGTGACCTCTCAAGGGTCCACAACCTTGATATTACATGATTTACTAATGTTTGCGTACAATCAGTGGCCATAATTCAGGAAGTTATGCGCAAATATCTGTAGGAACCAAGATCTTTGGGCTATAAACATACATTTGAATTTTCTTCAAAATCAGATAAAAATTGTGCACTCTAGAGTGTCCAAAGTCTAAAATTCCTGAAGTTACAGTCTGATACATGACAAACCTACATTTCAAGTTTTGTCAAAATCGGATAAAAAGTGTGACTGACCTGCAGACTGTGGACAGATAGGCGTGCAGTGCTGTCACGATATATGAATCGATTTATCGCGATTTATCGCGATTCACCTTCTAAAGATTTGTGTATTGAATCACGAGACTCTGAATTGATTTATCACCATTTTTTTTTTTCTTTTTTTGTCGCATCAGTAGTTCATACATGTAGTTCCCAAACACTCTTAAATTGTTTTGGTCCTTATTTGGTCTAAATCAATATCGTGTTATAGAACAGTTTTATTTCTTTGACATTGGGCATTGGCAAGACTTAAAGGGACTATCCCTTATTTGAATGGAGTCTCAAAAATAAAAGTCTGAGTATGTATGAAATTTAAACGCCAAAATATAGAGGAATGGTGTATTGACCGTATCTCAAAATTTCAGCTCAAAATATTGAGTCGTTTGGACGTGATCATCAAAACTGCTTATTCCTTTAATCTTTGTTTTCTTGGTAAATATTAGCCTGGTTATGATACAAATTTATTGTAGCACCTTAATTGCAATACATATTGTATTGTGACTACAGTGGCAATACCTAGCACTACAGGGGTGATAAAAATATATACGTCCACATAAAAATGTGGGCGTAAAAATAAGGACAACAAATTAGAAATGGTTAGGACCATGAGTGTTTTAGAAGGAAAGAATACTCGCCCTCTCCTACTGGAAAGAGTATTAGTATGGTTAGGGCCTATTGAACACACACTAAGGATACATAAGCAAAAGGTAACGGAACATATGTCCACAGCAGCTAAACCGTCCAGGCGGTCATCAAGGATTGTCACATTTTTATTCTTTTGTTGGCAATGGGATGCATTTACAAGACAATTTCATACAGATTAGATTATAATTTTCATTGTTTGAGGGTTTACAAGGTTCTACAAACTGAAACAAGTGCCTTAACTCTGGAAGTAATTTACAGAAATTATAGAAATTTGACAGTTTTTTCATTTTACTAATTTAATAAATTCCATTTAGATTTGGTGATAACTTTTGTCGTTCGAGCGTTCACAAGATTCAAGAAAGTGAATCAAGGGCCATAATTCTAGTGGTAATTGACGGAAATTGCTGAAATTCAATAGGCTTCTTCGTTTCACACATTTAAATAATGCATATAAATTTCACACAGATCGGATGATAACTTTTGTCGTTCGAGCAATCACAAGGTTCAAGAAAGTGAAACAAGGGCCATAACTCTAGAAGTAATTTACGGAAATTGCTGAAATTCAATAGGCTTCTTCATGTTACTAATTTAAAAGATGCATATAAATTTCGTACAGATATGTTTGCTGAAATTCAATAGTCCTAGCTCTTCATTTCACACATTTAAATGATCCATAAAATTTCATATAGATCGGAAGACGGTTCAACAAAGTGAAACAAGGGCCATAACTCCAGAAGAAATTAACAGAAATTATTGAATATAAATGTAGTCACAAGAAATTGTAGACAACAGACGGACGGACGGGAGCGAAGGCAATATACAACCACATTTCGATGTGGGTGTATAAAAAGGGGGATTTTCACATTTGGGTCTTCCATCTCTGGTCTTGACTTTATTATGCCAACATATTTTACTTTTTAACACTGTGCAAATAAATATTCTGACATTATAAAGAGAATAATATTAACAAGCCAACAGTGAGGCTGATGTCCCCTGCCGAAATCCCAAAATAAATAGATGACACATATTCATTAATCGCACATTTATTTTTTTCAAAAGTATCAAGCAATCAAACTGATTATCAACTATACACTAAGCTTCATCACTCTCTATCAGATAGAATGAAAGTTTGAACATTCTTCTACCTCAATTAGAAGGAGAGTTATTGTGTTCCAAAGTATCGACAAATCAAACTGCTTATCGATCCTTAGCCTAAGCAGAAAATTCTCATCAACAAACTTAGTCAAGGTAAAGAGTTATTGTGTTCCAAAGTCTCAACCAATCAAATTGCTTATTGCTCTCCTTACCCTCAGCAGAAAATGTTCATTATCGAACTAAGTCAAGATATTGATGTAATAAAGCTATACACCAAGTGTCCTCACTCTCACTTAATTAAAACAAAAGTTATCGTGCCCCAAAGCATCAACCAATCAGATTGCTTATCTCTTCTGACCGTAAGCAGACAATGTTTATCATCGAACTCCATCAAGGCATTCACCTAATGAACGCCTACACCAAGTATGAACATTCTACCTCAATTAGAAGAAGAGTTGTGTTCCAAAGTCTCGACCAATCAAATTGCTTATCGTTCTGCTTACCCATAAGCAGAAAATGCTTATTTATGGAACTTACTCAAGGTATTGATGAGATAAAACTATACACCAAGTGTCCCCACTCTCACTTAATTAGAACTAAAGTTATTGTGTCCCAAAGCATTAACCAATCAAATTGCTTATCTCTGCTTACCCTAAGCAGAAAATGCTCATCTTCGAATTTTATCAAGGCATTCACCTAATAAACACGTACGCCAAGTGTGAACAGTTTAGCTCAATTAGAATGATGAGAGTTATTGTGTTCCAAAGTCTCAACCAATCAAATTACTTATCGCTCTGCTTACCCCGAGCAGAAAATGCTCATTATCGAACTTAGTCAAGGTATTGTTGTAATAAAACTATACACCAAATTTCATCACTCTCACTTAATAAGAACCAAAGTTATCGTGTCCCAAAGCATCAACCAATCAAATTGCTTATCTTTGCTTACCCTAAGCCAAATATGCTCATCTTCGAACACTATCAAGGCATTGACCTAATAAAAACCTACACCAAGTTTGAACATTCTAGCTCAATTAGAAAGAGAGTTATTGTGTCCCAAAAAGTGTGACGGACGGACAGACAGACGAACACATTTTAAGAGTCCCCTGCTTTCTTCGAAAGTCGGGGGACAATAAAATTTTATACTTACAAATATTTTTTTTCTTACAAATATTTTTTTTCTTGCACAAATACAATATTATTATACATGTAATAAAAAGAATTGCTAGGACTCCAATGACTGAACTAGCAATGATAGTATCAGTATTATTTGCTTCTGTAATATAAAAATAAAAACAGAAAAAAATTCATACATAATACAATAAAACAATACATATTAAAAATCTAATGAACAGTGGTTGCCCACATCATGCAATAGATGAAAGAGAACAAGCTAAAATAAAAGCGCTTTTTCTTATAATCAGGGGCCATAATCCAAAAAGTTACAGTCCAATATGCATACAAGTATCTAATGAATAGCTCCAACGAATATATAAATGGAACGAGCTTTCAGATTGTGGGGTTGTATTTTTTTTTTTTATCAAAAACTTTTTTAAATATGTAGCAACAAACAAAAGTGAAGCTAAAAATGATGATACCTTCTGGGGTTGGTGTACTGGTTGGAGGAATACATATAGTATCGTGTGTATAATTACATAGATGTAATATGCCCCCATCACACTTCATGCAGTCTATACATGGACTATCAGGAAAAGAGTTATTATAATATTTTCCACTTTCACAATCAACACACTGGTCTGCTTCATCTCCATCTAATAATATACATAAATTTCTTTTTACAACACTGCCCAGCAAACAAGAAAGGCAGTATCTGCTAAATAGTGATTTTGAGAAAATTGACTTTAAAGTTTTACATTTTCCTGCATTCATAGTTTTCAATAAAATAATTTTTTGAACGAAAGGAAATATTTTGGTTTTCTTTCAATATAACTTGTCGATTTTCATATATTTCTCTGTGGGACTGAGATAAAGCAGATACTGTCCATTTTATGACTCTGGACCATTACCGGTGCCCATTGTAAAATCAAGAGAGAGAGAGAAATGGGGGTTTAGCTTCCACTCGACACAAACTAGGTCATTTCGGGGCTAACATATGGATTATTTTATTTCAATAATTGGCTTGCGCGTAGGGGTTTTTAGCAGTGGGAGTAAACCAGAGAACCCGGAAAAAAACCCACGAGGTTGGACAGGCGACCCTACTTCTTGTCACGTACATCCGGGGAATCGAAACCACGCCAGTTGACTCAATGACAGACTTTATGGTACAGCTCGCACGTGGTAACCATTCAGCCATTCAACCCCCTGTAAAATCAATGTGAAAAGCAGTATCTACATATACTCTCTAATTGTTTCTGTGATAAACAGTTTACAAACTGCATATTTATGCATAAATATTGTTCTAGACATTTCCACATTCAATTGAGTCCAAACCTTTGACATAATTACTGCTTTTCTTCTTAGTTATACCAGGGCAATTTACATTTACTGTCAACACCATGTCTTAAGGTGTCATATATGCACCAAGGAGAATGACAGTAACTACACATACTGCTTTTCTCCTTAGTTATACCAGGGCAATTTACATTTACTGCAAAAATCTTGCTCTGGGTTGTCATAGATGTCAGTTGTGGAAATTGAAAACATGACTTATTGGTCAATTTAAATCAACATTGATGTTATTATCTTACCATGAAAAGATGGTCTTCTGATATCCAATCTTTAACGAAAATGTTAAATTTGGCTTACGAATCTCATACCAGAATGCTTTTGTGCGCAAAGGGAAGACTAACGGAGTAGACACCGGAATAACCAGATGCCAAAGACTGCCATTTAATATGCAGTCTTCGTGTATTTTGCCGAAAAAAACTCTTTAGAAATTACAGTAAATACTGAAACGATTAACGGTATATCAGTTTATACAGAATTATATGATTTACAAGCATTTGTGTCCATTTCTAGGTGCCCAAGAATAGCGATTTAGCTCCTTTAAGCACAGCTAATGAAGCTCATTAAAGAAATTAGTCAAGGTATTGATGTAATGAAATTGTACACCCAGTTTCATGACTCTCATTCAATTAGAATCAAAGTTATCTGTCATTGGTAAAGTTCATAGTTCATACAGTGTTACACTAATTTCTGATGTTGCATTTATGAATTTGATTGCTCTTATACCTGTACTATAGATTAAGAGTGTTACTTTATACATCTAAAAAGAAAAGTATTTGATATGCATACCTGATCTGATAATATGTTTTGGGGGGTCACATGTCTCACAAATACTGGTATCCCAATATTTTCCATCTGGACAAATACATTGCGTATCCTGGGTTGATTTACAGGTGTCTGATATATTTTGCCTGTAAGTTTCTTTACAATCTCGACACGTAGCACAGGATTTGGCACCACCGTCGTATGTGTAGGATCCAACTTCACATTCCTTACACTCTGAATATCCTAGATCCTCATTACAAACATTCACCACATAATGTCCAGGTTGACATTTAATACACCTTATATTTCCATGATTGTATAAATCTGTAGCTTGCTTTATTTTAAAAAGAAAAAGAAAAGAAATCAATATTTCTGAAACAAAATATTCCTCAAAATTCAATAGTATACAATGTATGACCTCTCTCTTAAATTTCAAGAGTAATGGATGATATCTCTAGACTATCAACAAGATATTCCAAAGTGATCAAGGATTAAAGATACATTCCCGCGTACAAACTGGGTGTTTTAATGGTATATATTACATATGGACTAAAAACATATTCAAACTAATTAATTTGTCATAATTTTGCTTCAAATCCTTCTCAAACATTGTAATTGTGAAGGAATGCCCTGCTATAAAAATTTGATCAAACCAGGTCATATTTACGTCACGTCAGAGGAGAATCCATTGCATACATAATCGCTTACTATTTATTACAAATATCGAATCCTGATTAAATTCTCGGATTATCCACAACCCGCATCTTTTTCCGTCATTTTTATTTCAGAAAGTGTTGTACGTCTAACTCTTCATAAAGTTTATCAACTTGTACATCAAGCACTCAATGTTCGCGTGTGACATTTGACATCACGCGTGCAGAAATTCCTAATCGTTGGGGTGTTGATTAGGGGAACCCTTACATTTTTGTCCTGAATACGCTCCATGAGTGTTTTTCGGGGAATCCAGTATTTTTCTGGTAAGATTAGATATCTCTACTTTCCATATATACCAAAATTTCCATACTTTTATTGGAAATAACCACCCAATAAATACTTTTCTGGGAACCCATCTTTAACTATCAGAAATTGTTATTAACATCAAAATGCTTCTTCATCTCATGAACAAAAAAAGTTCTAAAAAATATCGGCCCGTGTGCACAAAAAAAAATTGCACAAGATGCACATGAAAAACCCAATATTCATGTGCAGCATTGTGTGTGAGCCCTTTAAAAGCATGTTTTCAACTTAATGTGCAGTACATGAACTGTGAAACGTCAATCTGTCGTAATTTGTTGTTGGACATGTGAAAGAATCGAGCTAGAGATGCTGAGACTTACTGAAAATCAACAGAATGAAGCCATGGGAATGTCCAGGGCTGGCATGTCTACACATGCTATTGCCAGACACTTCAATTGTCATCAGTCCACTATTGTAAGGTTGGTGGAACGTGTTCGAGTTACTGGATAAACACGTGACCGTCAACGTCCTGGTCCACAACGCGTTACAACCCAGGCTGAAGACCGCTACATCCGGGTCACTCATCTGCGTGACAGATTCCGCCCACCCACTCGAACAGGTGCAGCAGTCGTCGGAAGACAAGGACCAGTAAGTGCCAACACCGTAAGACGTCGTCTAAGAGAAGTATGGCTCCTTGCACGACGACCTTATGTTGGAGCTATCCTCAGGGACATCACCGTCTGCGGCATTTGATATGGGCTCAAGGACACCAGACATGGAGAAGAGTAGACTGGCAAAGTGTGCTCTTCAGTGATGAGAGTCGCTTTCATCTTTATCACGCTGATGGCCGTCAACGTGTGTGGAGACGTCTTGGGGAACGTCTTGCAGACTGCTGCGTCTTCAAAACGAATTGATGGGGTGGGGGAAGTGTAATGGTGTGGGGAGGCTTCACATTTCATCACAGAACCGCCCTACAAATTTGCAGGGGTCGCGTTAATACTGTAGCCTACCGTGATGATGTGTTGCAACCAATTGTTGTTCCGATGTTTCGAGTGCACCCACAACTTCGGCACTTCCAACAAGATAATGCACGCCTGCATACCGCCCGTTTTAGTATGGACTACCTGGCTGCTAACAACATCAATGTCTTGGACTGGCCAGCCACGTCTCCGGACATGGCACCGATAGAACATGTCCGGGATGAGATTGGACGCTGTCTGTATCGGAGACCACAGATGCACACCATTGCTGCTTTAGAAGCTGCTCTTGTCCAAGAATGGAACAATTTGCCCCAGGCCTTCTTTCAAACATTGGTAAATTCCATGCGACGTCGCTGCACAGCGTGCGCAAGAGCCCGTGGTGGACACACATGCTACTGACATCTGTGTCGTACTTTTGGTTTTGACCCCTCTGACTTTGTACCATTGATTACAGATTAAACATCCATAAGTGTACAAATGTGTTGTTATTGATGTGTTCCCATTTGAATATTGTTCACAATAAGAAGCAAAATAAATAAGATATGTTTACAGGATCATTTTGTTATACGAAAAACTAAGTGATGCTTTTTCCATGGCGCTCAGTATATAAACCATCATCATTTTGTATATCCTTTTGTTTTGAACAGCCCAGTGACCTCAAAGGCCTTCACTTAAACTACATTCCACAAATTAATTCCACAGATATATTAAAAGTAATATTAAAACTTTCCCTGATCCAGATTTAAAAGATCTTTCAGGAAAAACAAACTTCATTAGTACCAATAAAATGTGAGAAGTATTCTCAACTTCCAGGGAAAGTTTTCTCCACTATTTACTTTTCAAAAGTTGGATATTAATCCAAGAGTGTTTTATTTAGTGTTTGTATGAAAATAAAACTGGTGAAACAAAATACTACATCTTACTACATTTGACTTGTGACAAAAAGTTTTTTATATGTAGGCAGACTGAAACATTTTTGTACTTTAAATAGCAATGGCACAGTTAAAATTTTACTTCTTGACAATGTATTGTTTATAGCTTGTGATAGAATTTTATGGAAATAATAATGCCTTTAAGTTGTGTGTGTACTCATTACTGATCTACATGTACAAGGTATACAGAATATTCTTACCCTATTGTCAGCAGCACAGGATGGTGACAATATTAACAATATAATTAATACATTTACATATATCATAGGAATAGTTCTCATTGTCATTGTTTAATCAATAAACATCATCACCTTAAATAAAACACAAACATCAAAAATAAGTATATAATCAGACTCCTGAATATAAATAATGTGTGTTATAATTCATCAGAAACATACATGAAATGCAATTTGCACTGGTCACTATTCATAGCTAAATGTGACATAAGAGATTTAAAACTGTAACCTTCAATTATAAAAAATTTCAATCAAATTGATCCGCTCTGAACTGAGAATTTAGCGTTGAATTTTTGGCCTAGCCTCGATCATAATTACTAAAGTCGGTACTATAGTCTCGAAGATCTATTTCATGATTAAATAATGGATAAAAGTTGAGCAGCAAATGGGATCCTAATCCAGTAAATATCGCAGGCTAGCGTTGACATCTCGAGTTGATTATGATCTGGATAAGTTAATTAATGTCTAAATAATAAATTAAATAACATTTCAGGCCTAAACAAAGACCTGCAATAGGCAGATTTAGCTCTTGCATAATGTAAGTTTAAAATTCATCGATAGCTAAAATCAAAAGGCATGGCAATCGACTTCCACATATTATCAGTATTATTATTCACGCCTGTGTCAAGTTTTCGCGCCAAAATTAATTGTTTTACTATTATTGTAGTATAAAATGTGTGTATTCAGACCCCGGGTGCCGTAGTACATTTCCATGCAAAACCGCGGGATAATGGTGCTATCGCTGAGAATTTCAAAATGGAGTCTTGATAATAGCAGAAAATATGTTAACTAGCTAATAATTGGCAGCACTTTCGGGTTGGTACATGTAGCCTATATAGTGTTGGACTGTTGGTATGTTCTAAAGGGATGTAGTCATAACGGCCTTATGCCATAACGGCCAAAAACAGGTTTGGTCAAAACGGCCCTATTTTAGTCATAAATGCCAAACAGTTTGGTTATAACGGCCAAAAGATTTGGTCATAACAGCCAAACATTTTAATTTAATGAAAAACAATATACATGTATTGTTGTTGTTTATTAAAGATTTAATGTCCAATACGTTAGATATGATAATATTATGGACAGGTTGATTTAATAGGATTATTTACATTTAATGGGTTGAAAATTGGTAAAAACATACAATACAAATGTCTGTGTATATCAAAAGTCTCCTTAAAAGTGGTTAACACACAAAATACAAAGTCCTTGTATAAAGCACACTTATAAAATCGCTGTCGTGAGAAGTGAGGGCGGGTCATCTTCTCCCTTTTTCATAAAAAAAAACATGTTAAAACAGGAGTTCCAGCTCACTGATGTTAGCCGCCATCAATGCGGATAGAAAAAAAACCCGTGGATTTCATAAGCCACTCAAGAGCTGTGGATATTGCCTTTAGTTCTGCGGTATGGATGCAGCATCCATCTGGTAGCCTTTTTATATGCCCACATGGAAATGTGGACGTATATTGCCGTCGCCCCCGTCCGTCCATCGTCCACAATTTCTTGTGAACGACTAGAGGCTAAAGTTAATATCCGATTGACTTTAAATTGATACACAGTGTTTAAATTCATGAGACGAAGACGCCTATTGATTTTCAGCGATTTCCCATTATTACTTCCAAAGTTATCTCCCTTGATCACTTTGAAAAATCTTGTGACGCTCTAGAGGCCAAACTTTTAATCCGATTGACTTCAAATTGATACAAAGAGTTTAAGGTCTTGAGATGAACAAGTATATTGATTTTCAGTGAATTTTGATAACTGAACAGCTAAATCCATGATATTAAATGTTTTGTATACTAAATGTTAGCATGGGGCAGAACTTTATAAAAACCAAACAAATTCTAATGATTTTCTGATAATTACTTTCATGACTTGTTACTCTTAGTCTTAATCAGATTTTAGTGTATTATAAATGTTTCATTATCGAAAAAAGTAAAAAATATGCGACAACTCTTGTTGACTGCCCGGACGATTTAGCTTCTGTGGGCGTATGTTTTGTTGCCTGGCAACCTATCTTTTATATTAACATTAAATTCAGGAATAACTACACCTAATGCACTAATGTAGTGTACCTAGTCAGTTTTGGGTCCTTCTGCTTTGGACCTAATTTCGTTTCCTGTATGCATATTATATCTATTTTGGATTAGCTAACAAGGTGGTTCAATTCTGTCATACGTGGGCTGAGCAAATATTACTTATCTTTGATAAAAATAACAATTGACTTTTATCATTTGACAAAAATAACAATTCACTTATCAGACGAAGGAAAGAGGTGAGTACTAATTAATCAACTGATTGAATAATCCCTAATTAGTTACTTCACACCCTCTGATCAGTGATTAGGTAATAAAGGTAAAAGACTTTTGTGTTTTTAACAATTAAGTGTAAATAATTTAATTAAACCAACCTGTATTGGACGTTAAATCTTTAATAAACAACAACAACCAATCCATTCGGTTAGGGTTTTTTTTCGCGCATTAAATTAATGTTTAGCTAATGTATTATATGTTAGGCACTATTTTGGTGAATAAATATCATTTCCTGCATGATATTGGCCGTTTCGACTAAATATTTTGGCCGTTTCGACCAAATATTGTGGCCGTTAGGGCCGTTATGGTTTAAGGCCGTTATGTCTATAACCCGTTCTAAAGTCTAATAAAGGCACATTTAGTTGCCAGTGAATGTTTCTTTAAGTTCAAAATTATTATTAAAATAGTAAGACATGACCGAATCTTACAAAAGAAAATAATAAGAAATTAAAATATTGTGTATTGACATTGATACAGAGCTAATTAATGGGAAGTAAATACGAAGTAAAACATGAAAAAATTTCTGACAACTTTTTTGAAATAAAATATGCATATGGGACAGAGATTATCTGGGATAAGAGAGTACAGAAAAGGTTGGAAGGTACCGGTTAAATGCCTGAAGTGGCTGAAGTCAATAAAAGATTAACACAAATCTAGGTGATATGTGGCATTAAATATTGACGATTACATCAGCTTTTAGATTTTCTGTATGTCATAAAATTCCATACTCATCCTTGTAGTCTTTGTATTGTAGTGTAGGCTACAGTTGTTTGTGAATAACAACTATTAGTATTGGCATTGCTCAATTGGAGGGTCTAGAGCACAAGTGATCTAACAACCAACTAAAATGGTTGGTAGTTAGATCACTTGTGCTCTAGATCCTCCAATTGTTTATGAACCAACCTTGCTTTGGAGAAATTTAATCCTTAAAAAGTAGTTGGTAACTTTACGCGACTGTTCTTGGGTAACTGAAATAATAACAAAATAAGTTACTGCAGGCACAGGAAATACGCTATCTGCACTGAGAAAATTATTACCGTTCGGTAACAGTTTTCTCGATCACTCTAGAGAAGTTGGATTAAGACTTGTAATTATTTCCCTTGATGTTGTTAGTCTCGGTCACCCAGAATCTCCTAGTCTTCAACGTACGGATATTTGTCTGGATGATAAAGATTAGAATGAATTAGTTGTATTTTACGCCCGCTTCCATACCGAGGTGATATCGCAGACAAAAAAAGATTAGAAAACGTGAAATAGCTTTATTTAACGTCCACTTCGACCGAAGTGATATCGCAGAATGTAGTGCGAGCTATAAATAGATAATTTTTCAAAGCCACATGACATAATTATGAAACTCGGCAAACCTCGGCAGATTCCGTTACTGGACCAGTGGAATCCCGCCACTACAACCCGACATTTTTTTAACCCGAAAATATATACAGCATATTCACCCGACACCACGACATTAAAAATGTCGCGTAAAAATGTCGTTTTGTCAGGTTAAAATGTCGTGATAATGTGATGTCGGGTTGTCGTGGTGTCGGGTTATCGGCCATATATTCCTCTTAATACCATGGACCTTAAAGGAGCTTTTACGCGTGACGTATTTCCGGTGTCTATTTTAAGCCTGGCCTTTTTCAACACGAGTCTTAACATGGTAAATGCTAGGGAAAATGGGATTTTTCCTCTTTTTCTCCTTATACAAAAAGTATTCTTGAACGCCATTCATGTTGTAAGTTGGGTGTAGCATTCGTCATAAATTATCAATTTCAAATCGTGTCTAAATTATTTTTGTTTCGTTTTATTGACGATATAGACTGCGTTGTAGCAGACGATATATGTCAAGCTCGCACACGGTCCAGTTGACCGGAGTACGCAAAAGCATTACAAAGATGCATTGCTGTATCAAGCCGATTTATATGTTTTGTTTTAATTTTACTGCAAACAATTAATAGGCTAGATAACATCTGTTTGGTTGTAAAATGCCATGGAATAGAGCATAAGAGTAAATAATAGAATGGGTAATAAGAGATGGTGACCTGCGGTTCCACGAAAGAATTATTCAAGACGATATTAAAATTTAAGCACGACCGTAGAACATCTAATAAAGAAGAGAACAAATAATAATCACGATGTATAGAATGCACTGAGTACAGTTACATATTTTCATTCAACAGTTGTTCTCTGAACCAAATACTGAATTAGAAATTGATAAAATGGACACAAATGTATCGTTCTTCTTGGTTGCGGCAAGATAAACTGATTGGATTAAAATTTCACAGAGTGCAAAAGCTGTTTATGTGACTACAATTAATAGAAAAAACGGTTTTAAAAATATTCACAGATTCAACTTGATCGTCGTTTTATTCATATCCCATCAATCAAGAGGAAAATTTATAAAAATGGCTGAAGTTTTACCCCGTGTACCAAACAACTATTTTATCATTGATTATTTTATCATTGGTTAGAGCCGTCTCAACGCGGGGAAATTTACAATAGCTATTGGCTAACAGCACGCATGCATAAACAATCTTATTTGCATATTGCATACTATTTATAGTATTATTATCTGGAATTATTTTCAAGTCGACAACCTCAAACAAAGACCAAGTACCGTGTTTTGTGTCGAGTAGGGTCGTAGCATGCAGTGCTATAGCAGACGATATATCAACCTCGCAAAGAACTGTCCAGTCGACAGTTGAATGTAAATAGGATAGACCATTTAAATCTTTTGTGTTAATAGTCCCGTAATTAATATACATTGTATAACATCTGTTTGACCGTAAAATGCGTAATAAACCTCACTTAATTCTAGTTCGGGCCATTGGGCACGGATCAGTCATCCACTTGTTTCCTCAATTGCAAACCGCCAATTAACGGGTCTGGTAAACTTGCCGTATCTTTCCTATATCGAAGTTTTTGTAAATACCGCTTTCTGGCATCGGTCGGTAAACCTTACGCGTATATATAAATGGTGTTCAGTTCCATTTTATGTAAAAGAAGCTTACTGTTCGACGGTATTTTCACAAAAAAAAACACACACTGGCCTATGGGTTTCAGTCTACGAATAAGGCCAGTGTCTGCGCATGACCGAAAATGACGTCACAATGGAAACCCGTAAAAGCTCCTATAATAATGTATTATAAGGTCCATGTTAATACTAAATAATGGTTATTTTCCCCGGGATTTTGCACCGCGGTTTCTCCATGTCGGTAGTGCAGGACAAGGGGCATGGTATTGTAGACAAAATAAGCAACCTCCTGTGTACACATAGTTCAGCTCTGAGCGTAGGCCTCGTGAGGCCTACGTTCAGAGCCGAACTGGTGTACACATTGGCGATAAAAGAATCCTTCACAGCTGAAATTCGATGTAGAAATGCCACGGCCCATTGGAAATTCCCGTCAGATCACTATCTGCATAGCGTATGCCTATTTTCATTATATAGTCCGACTGGTTAGGAAACGTATGGAAAATGCTCCGGGAGCCACTGTGACTATAAGTGAGTAAGACGCTGGCTCGCTAGCCTGGATGTCGCGGTTCGCTCCCGGTTTTGGCCATAAATACTCAGCCAAATTAAAAACTTGACACTGATGAATTTCAACAAAAATTTTTTTTCTGGTAAGTCAAATAAATTTTAAAGTGTTTCTAACGATAGTAAGTAGTAAGAAGCCTTTAATTTCATAAAATTGTAAAGTCACGTGGATCACGTGACTTTTGAGCATATAAAGATGAAAAACCTGAAAAACACGTGCAAACACAAACTCGTGAGGTCAATCGATGCAAGTTTGCTTAAACTGAACACGCACACGTAACTTGAACTGGAAAAACAAATTAAAATTGTTATTTTCATCTTTGTTAGAAAATGCCGCGCCTTTCAAATGTAGAACGTCTACGTGCTATAGGTAGGCTCTATGCTGGTCAGTCTGTGGTCACTGTTGCAAGAGCCTTTAATTGTTCACGCCAGACAATAATTAATCTTAGAATGAGAGTGCTTCAAACTGGAACTATTGCCGACCGCCCAAGGGCGGGAGCGCCACGTGTGACGTCACTCCAGGAAGATCAAGCAATACGATTACGTCATCTTAGAAATATATTTGTCACTGCAACCTCCACAAGTAGAGAGCTGTTTGGTGGAAGGGTAACTGCACAAACTGTTCGAAATCGCTTGCAGGCTGCTGGTCTTCGAGCTCGGAGGCCCTATAATGGACCAATATTGACACTTCTTCATCGCCGTAACCGACTTGTGTGGACCACAAGAACATTAGATTTACTCAAAGACAGTGGTATTCGGTTGTCTTTAGTGACGAATCTCGATTCACTTTGAGATTTGCCGATGGCAGGGCCCGAGTGTACCGCAGACGAGGTGAACGTTACGCTCAAGTATGTGTCAGAGAAGTTGACCGATTTGGTGGCGGCAGCGTCATGGTTTGGGGTTCTTTTTGTGCACATGGACGTTCTCCTCTTGTTGTTGTCCAAGGGAACTTAAATGCTGTCCAGTACAGGGATCAGATTTTGCAAC